CAAAAGGTAGAGAGCCCACCCTCAGATGGGCCCGTTACAGCCAAACCAAACCACACAAACAAAGCCCCATGGGACAAGCAGGGCACACTTCAAAACCCAGTTAGGAACACACCACGTGACCTCAAACACGATTAGCCCAGCACTCACCAACACTCTTCTCGGCTGCACTAATCGACTTTCTCTTTCTCTGTCTTTGTCTAACCCCTAACAGTTGTTTCACGCCTTGCAGAACATGTGGCCCACTTTCCTTCTCGTGCTGACCTGCATACTGGGTCTCGGCACCCCAGAAATTATTGAGACCGGACCAGCCTCCGGGATCGTTTTAAAGGAACAACCCGGGCTCCTCATCACGGATGTCCGACTCCACACACAGCGAATCTTTGTCAGACTCAATCCTAGTGAAGTCTGCCGCAAGAACCTGCCCTTGAAGGTCACACTCAAAGATTGGGCAGGTGCACGCTGGACCCAGACGGTCGTGGAGCATGCTGAGGCAGACATACAACACATGCTGACGCAACTAGAGAAGTTCACGATCACTAGGACAGAGCTCAGTGACCCTCGCCCCAGACCCAAACGATTTATTGGGGCTCTCCTCGGCGCGGCGTCCGCCCTGGGCACCCTCTTTAGCTTAGGGATGTCCACGGTAAACGCCATCAGCCTATCCTCCCTCAGACGTCACCAACAAGAAATGGCCTCTGAGCTCGAGGATGTCAAAACCAGACTTGACCAACAACAGAACGACGTGGTAACCTTGGGAAAATCCCTAAAAGGAACCATGCTAGTACTTAACACACACGAGGTTGCGATTAAACGCACCTCCGCTGCGGTCAACCAACTCTTAGACGTCCTCCAACTAGACTACGCCCATACTCAGCTGACCACCCAACTGATGGAGGACATGCTACGTCACCTCAGTTCCTCGATCGAAAACCTAGCCATGGGCCGTATCCCGCCATACCTCGTGCCGCTATTGTTAGTTGAGAACATTCTAGCCGTAGCCACACGGGACGCCGTAACCCCCATGCAAGCCCACTTAGCGTACACGCTGGGCGCTGCAGTCCCCATCTATGTTAATCCTCTGGACCGCGAGGTAGCCTTTCTAGTCACCCTACCGATAGTTCCCGCCGACAAAACCTACCGACTAAAAGGGATCACTAACCTAGGGACTTGGAGGGACAATGCCCACGTCAGAGTCCAGACCCCAGACATAGTAGCCTACCACGACAGTAACCCCAATTTATACCTAACGCCAAACCTAAGGATGTGTACCCTCACCAAGGACATCCATTACCTCTGCCCCAGCAAACCTTTCGTCAGGGACAGCACCGATGGCATCTGCGGCCTGAGGCCCATGACTCCAGGGAGTCGATGCCCCGCGACGGTCACCTCTCGGAAACAAATAACCGAAACTAGAGCAGAGATTGTAGGGGCACGCTGGCTAGTGAACACTCCCCTTAGAACGGCGACCCTGACCTATGACAAACACGACACCTCGTCCCGAGTAAGCCTCCCGGACGAAACCTTTTGGGTCGACGTCCCAGCCGACGCTATCCTGCACGTAGGCGACCTGGCAGACCAAGAGACCCAGGAGTCAGGCGCACCGGCCCAAACCTTAGAGTTCACGGCCGGAGCTCACTCCCTAAAACCCCTGATCCCGGTTAGAACTAGCCTGCAGGGCCAGGACTCGCCTTAGAGAAAACCCGGCCTCGACAAACCAAGCCAGAGGCCCGAGACCCAACCGCCACGAGCCTGGCCCCAGTTAGGCGCTTGCGAATTGCTGAGTCACATTGAGACGGGAATGTTGTAACATGTCACCACAAATTGTACACTAACACCCGAACAGGCGAGAAGACCGACTGAGGACAACCCCACAGCATATCCGACATGACATGCACCTTGTCGGAAGGCGCATCTCTGCCGTGGGGGGGGTATGTAAGGTTAAACTTAGGACAGGGCCAAGCCTGTCCACTCTGTTTACCATTGACCAAATGGAGAGATACAGCTTCAAAGGAGCCATGGGGTCAGCCACAAGCCGCCATCAATCATGAGGATTACCGACGCCAATCGGACCCATAAAAACAGCGGGATACCCATCTGGTGCCCTTTTTCACGTCAACAGAGGATCTGATACAAATCAGCATTGTCACAATGCATTCCACGGACCAAGAGGTCCACCCGCGGCCCTCTGGCGCCCCCCAGTGGATACTGGACGCCATCACACCCGAGGCGGACGCTCAAAGGACATTATTCGATGACATTATGATTGATAACCGTTACAGACCTTACATGTGTGTATCAACGTCAAAGTAATGAAATACGGTGTGTGTTTGTACATGTGTTATGATCATTGGCATCAATCTGATGTGTTTCCTCTGAAGTATGTCTGTTGTGAAGGGGTCTGTCCACAGAGGGGGGGAGGCATGGACACGCCTCCCCTGGGGAAGCCTATATGAGCACCCACACGCCATTGTTCTTTCTCTTGCCTTCTCCTGAAATCACTATTCCAACCTCCCTGGCCATCGGCGTCCCGCGGCACGTGTCTCCTACTACGGTCGCGCCAGCACGCATCGGGCCTTCTACTCCGCCAAACATACTCTCCTCTGGTTGGGATTTATGAACTCTTCATCACCAGCCGGCCCTGGCTCTGGACTCTGCGCACGTGACTCATTCCGGACTGAGTGTGCACGCCTGGATCCAAAGTTGGACTGCCGTCGCTGGCTTCATAATTCCCGCCTGCCCGGACAAAGAAACCACGTGGACGACATCGCCTCCACCCTATTCTTCATTCTCATCCTCCACTCCATCCTCATCCCAGTCACCCACTTCCCTCTACGCTCCTTCAAAGTAAGACTGTTCCTTTGTTAAATGTATGATTTGAATGATATGTGTACAACTCCTGCTTTTAATGTGACCAGAAATCCCTTTTCGTTATATTTTTAACCTCATTTTTGTAATCAATAAACTACTTTTCTTTAACTCAACCCCTTCAGAGTCGCGTTGTTAGATCTCGGAATATCACTGGCCGATAAAAGTACTCACTACCTATTAGATTTATAAGACTGACTCGAGGCAAAGTTGGTTTGGATCTGTGCAGTGTGTCATACACTGCTGGTGCCTAAATAAATATAAAGCAGATCCCCCACTCGAATAGGACGGCCAGACTCTGATTTGAAGACTAGCCGCACTATTCTTCTCATAACATAACCTGGAGTATTATTACCCTAATATATATAAATAGTTACCCTACACTTTTTACTTTGTACACTCACGATTGTGTGTCCTCCTCTGACTCAAACTTGATCATCAAATATGCTGATGACACCACCATCATCGGTCTCATCAGTGACAATGATGAATCCTCTTATAGAGCAGAGATACAAAATGTGGTTCAGTGGAGTAAAACTAACAACCTCCAGTTGAACGCATCGAAAACATGTGAACTGGTCTACGACTTCAGTCGCAATAGTTCTCATTTGCCTGTCGTAATCGACAACTCCCAGGTGCAGATCGTAGAGGAGTGCAAGTTTCTGGGTTTAACTCTGTCTAACGACCTGAAATGGGTTAAAAACACTGACCGAGTCGTTAAGAAAGCTCGTCAGCGTCTCTACTTTCTGCGTAAACTTAGAGAATTTACCACTAACTCTAAGATTGTGCTTAACTTTTATCGCTGCACCATTGAGAGTTTACTTGTTGGTTCTGTGTCTGTGTGGTTTGGAAACATCACAGATAAAGAAAAGAGAGCTTTAAACAAGGTGCTCCGCTCTCCAAAGAGGACCGTGGGCTGTGAGCTTCCTCTTCTGGAGGTTCTTTATAAATCCAGACTTTTAAACAGAGCTCTTAGGATTGTCAATGACTCTTCTGGCCACCCTGGAAAAGCCATGTTCCAGCTTCTTCCCTCTGGCAGAAGATATCGCTCTCTGAGATGCAGGACATCTCGTTACGCTAACAGTTTTTATCCACAAGCTGTTATCAGTGTGAACAGAGCACTTAAAGACCTTATGACGGGTTTTTAAAAAAAAAATGTGGATATCAAAATTGCATGACAATGTCAATTTGAAAGAGATTCCGGCAAAAAAAATCCTATATTTTATAAAAAGAACGTGTTTTTCATGAATTTAAGTTGTCTATGCTCTAACCTGTGTGTGACGTCATAGCGGGTTACGCCCATGCATTGAAAACCATGAATCTATGCCACAGGACTGCCTTTTCTCTCTTCTCTCCACTGATGCACAACACAATACTGCCCTCTACAGGTGACAATTGCTCACTACACAATAATAGCCGTTTGAGAGTGAAAAAGTGTCCGAGGTGGGATTTGAACCCCAGTATCTGGACTGACAGTCCATCGACACAAGCACTGGACTATCTCCGTGACAACGAAATGATACATTCTAGTATTTATCTTAGACTCGCTGTACACGGCCTTGTCATCTTGAATATCCGCGAGAAAAGAACGAATACCAAATTGTAAACAACTTACAGCGTTGAAACGTACCCACTCTGACGTCACCAAGGGCTGTGAAGTTTTTTCGTTTCTAAGGGCGTTGCTATGGGGTTATTTCGATTTGGGGGGATCAGACAAAAAAAACAACAACAACAATTTTGAAACCTTTAGTAGTTCTCTTCTAATATAAAATGGTATTAAAACTGTATTTCTAAATCAATCAAACCCGTCATAAGGTCTTTAATGATTTGCACTTGTTTTGAAACTGTTTTAGTCGATCGATTTCACAGTGACATTTGTTTACTGTTTTATTTGTTTTATTTCTGTCTTTTAATGTTGTTTTATGTCTGTATTTGTCTGTGCACACTGGAGACTTTTGCAAATGTATTCCAATGTAGTTTTACTGCAAATGGCAAATAAACTGAATCTGAATCTGAATCCGGAGCAGATGGAATTCTGAGAGAGGTTCTAAATCTCTCAAAACAGAATCAGATAAAATCCAAAACCAGAACCGATGTTTTCATGAGTGGGTTTGGATCTTTGACCCCGGGCTCACCCAGAGGAGGCGGTCTGTGGGACGGTCTGTGGGACGGGCTCAGGAAGCAGCGCCGGGTCAGGCAGGAGGCGTATCTCTCCAGGACGTACCAACACATCTCATAGAAGAACGGGAACCGGAACTTCGAATGGACCTGAAGAACCATTTATACTTTAGCTTTGGTTTGAGTTTATTCTCCAAATCATCCGTTAATAATGATACAGAGCTCTACAGAACCAACAAGAGAGAAACCAGTGAGAGCCCAGAGAGACCAGAGAGAGACCAGAGAGAGACCAGAGAGAGACCAGAGAGAGGCCAGAGAGAGACCAGAGAGAGACCAGAGAGAGGCCAGAGAGAGACCAGTGAGAGACCAGAGAGAGATCAGAGAGAGACCAGAGAGGCTAGAGAGAGACCAGAGAGAGGCCAGAGAGACCAGAGAGAGAGACCAGAGAGAAAGACCAGAGAGAGACCAGAGAGAAAGACCAGAGAGAGACCAGAGAGAGACCAGAGAGAGGCCAGAGAGACCAGAGAGACCAGAGAGAGATCAGAGAGAGACCAGAGAGAGGCTAGAGAGAGACCAGAGAGAGGCCAGAGAGACCAGAGAGAGAGACCAGAGAGAAAGACCAGAGAGAGACCAGAGAGAAAGACCAGAGAGAGACCAGAGAGAGACCAGAGAGAGACCAGAGAGAGACCAGAGAGAGGCCAGAGAGAGACCAGAGAGAGAGACCAGAGAGAGGCCAGAGAGACCAGAGAGACCAGAGAGAGATCAGAGAGAGACCAGAGAGAGACCAAAGAGAGAGACCAGAGAGAGACCAGAGAGAGAGACCAGAGAGAGAGACCAGAGAGAGAGACCAGAGAGAGACCAGAGAGAGACCAGAGAGAGACCAGAGAGAGATCAGAGAGAGACCAGAGAGAGGCCAGAGAGAGAGACCAGAGAGAGACCAGACAGAGACCAGAGAGAGACCAGAGAGAGACCAGAGAGAGAGACCAGAGATAAATAGACCAGAAACAGAGACCAGAGAGAAACCAGAAAGAAACCAGAGAGACCAGAAAGAGAACAGAAAGTGGCCAGAGTAACACAAGAGGGATTTTGATGTGGACACACACAGGCACACACACAGAAACACACACACACACACACACACACACACACACACACAGGCACACTCACCTTGGTTCTGTTCTCAATCTCGTGGATGGTGAGCTGCATAGGAATGTTAAAGCTGTGAAGAATGTTTCCTCCAAAAACTAGAGTGTCCTCAGGAGTGTAGACAGCATGGATCCAACCTACACACATGGTACACACATGGTACACACATGGTTCACACATGGTACACACATGGATCCAACCAGACACACACAATACACACATGGTACACAAATGGATCCAACCAGACACACACAATACACACACGGTACAGACATGGATCCAACCTGATACACGGTACACACACGGTACACACATGGATCCAACCTGACACACATGGTACACACATGGTACACACATGGAACCAACCTGACACACATGGTACACACATGATTCACACATGGTACACACATGGATCACACATGGTACACACATGGAACCAACCTGACACACATGGTACACACATGATTCACACATGGTACACACATGGTACACACATGGTACACACATGGCACACACATGGATACAACCTGACACCCATGGTACACAAATGGTACACACACGGTTCACACATGGTACACACATGGTTTAGCACTGTTTCAACCTGGTCTACTCTGCTTTACTCACAGACTGAACTCTCTCTCTCTGGCCTCACTCTGTTTTCTCTCTCCTCTTTCTCTCCTCTCTCTCTCTGGTCTCTCTCTGGTCTCTCTCTGGTCTCTCTCTCTCCTCTTTCTCTCTGGTCTCTCTCTCTCCTCTCTCTCTCTGGTCTCTCTCTCTCCTCTTTCTTTCTGGTCTCTCTCTCTCCTCTATCTCTGGTCTCTCTTTGGTCTCTCTCTCTGGTCACTCTCTGGTCTCTCTCTCTCCTCTCTCTCTGGTCTCACTCTGGTCTCTCTCTCTCTGGTCTCTCTCTGGTCACGCTCTGGTCACGCTCTGGTCTCTCTCTGGTCTCTCTCTGGTCTCTCTCTTGACTCTCTCTGGTCTCTCTCTCTCTCTGGTCTCTCTCTTGACTCTCTCTGGTCTCTCTCTCTGGTCTCTCTCTCTCTCGGGTCTCTCTCGGGTCTCTCACTCTGGTCTCTCTCTCTTCTCTCTCTCTCTGGTCGCTCTCTCTGCTCTCACTCTGGTCCCTCTCTCTCCTCTCTCTCTCTCTGGTCTCTCTCACTCACAGCAGACTTACCAGATGGGATAAAGAAGGTGAAACCCTGCCTCAGCTCCACTCTCTGACATCCGTCCGCTCTGTCTCCGAGGAAGATGTCGCTCTGTTTCCCGGACAGAAGCCAGTCCTCGTACAGAGACAGGTTATAGGAGGTGGGCGGGACCAGCCAGAAGACCTACCACACACACACACACAACTGCTCAGACACACACACAACACGCACACACATCTGCAGACTCACAACAGAGACACAACACACACATGTGCACAGACACACAACAGAGGCACAACACACACACACACAACTGCTCAGACACACACACACATCTGCTCAGACACACAACAGACACACACATCAGCTCAGACACACACATCAGCTCAGACACACAACAAACACACAACTGCTCAGACCTACAACAGACACACACACATCTGCTCAGACACACAACACACACGCACAACTGCTCAAACACACAACACACACACAAATCTGCTCAGACACACAACACACACACATCTGCTCAGACACACAACAGACACACACACACATCTGCTTAGACACACAACACACACACACACACATCTGCTCAGACACACAACAGCCACTTTTGGACCATCTTGTAAAGACATTTTCGAGAGGTAAAAGATGCTATATGTTAGCATTGGCTAATTCTTGTTCCGGGTCCACCCCCACTGGCCCGGGGTGGTATTGCAGCATGTCAGCGCACGTCATTTTGGACATTTTTGAGTCGGAATCCGCCCCCACTGGCACATTCACACAAACACACACACACACATAAAAATGAAAGCACCTTCTTCCCTTTGAAGACGTGATACCAGACTGAGGTTCCTCCGAAGTCGATGTGAAAGTCCGTGTAGCAGCCCTTCACACTCATCAAACAGTATCTGCAACAGAGAACCAGCGTCTGACAAACACGACAGCAACTTTGCCGATGTTTTTATCATTTTGTCATCTATATTTCTATATTTTTTGGCAGCTTCAGTTTTCCGTTTTTCTTGCCCACTTTAAATGACCAATGAGATTTGTTTCTAGCTCCCTCTTGAAATCTCACTGGAACAAAACAAAAATGCACCGTGTGTTTTTTAGAGAAGACACAGCGAGGTGTGTTTCATTTACCGCACAGGAGCTAAAACTGGGTCTACAGCCTCAGTCCTGTGTCTACAGCCTCAGTCCTAGATCAACAGCCTCAGTCCTGGGTCTACAGCCTCAGTCCTAGATCAACAGCCTCAGTCCTGGGTCTACAGCCTCAGTCCAGAATATGGCAGTAAAAGTACCTCTGGACTTTGGGGTACTTCATCTCTGAAATCACGTTGGTTGCTTCAGTCTGACTGTGTTTCAGGTCTGGAGGCCACATGTTGTCCACCCAGTCCACCTGGTCGATCTGTGAGAGGATTAGAACATCCCAGAGAGTAGAGTGAGCCTCAGAGGATCAGAACATCCCAGAGAGTAGAGTGAGCCTCAGAGGATCAGAACATCCCAGAGAGTAGAGTGAGCCTCAGAGGATCAGAACATCCCAGAGAGTAGAGTGAGCCTCAGAGGATCAGAACATCCCAGAGAGCAGAGTGAGCCTCAGAGGATCAGAACAGCCCAGAGCAGAGGGAGGTCTCACCACTGTCGGTCTCCGGATCAGCGTCTCCAGCTTGGTGTGGCTGAACTCCAGACTGATCACGTTGAACAGTTTGTCTCTGTCTTTCTCCGGCGTCTCATAGTAACGGACGAACTGAGCCATGGACATCTCCAGGCCTTTCTGAGTGGACACGTCCATCACGTCCACCGAGCGCCGGCTCCCTGGGTACAGGCGGAGGACAGGTGACTGAGGGGTAGGGCTGAAACAACTAATCGATTAATTGACAACTAATCGATTATTGAAATAGTCGACAACTATTTTAGTAATCGATTAATCGTTTTCTGGTTCACACGGACTCAAACAGAGCAAAAATGACATGAAAATGAAGTATTTTTGATTAAAACCAACTTTGTTTTTATAATTTCATGAATATCTGTCTGTCTCATCCAATCAGATAGCAGAATTAGCACAAAGAGCCTGTTACAAACATTTACTTTAAGTTTACGCCATCAATACGTCCTCGAGTGTTGCCACTTTAGCTTTTTGTGATGAAAAAATATTTTTTTTCTACACAATTCACAGCCAAGCGATTACTCTATTAATCGTAAAAATAATCGATAGATTAATCGATTACAAAATAATCGTTAGTTGCAGCTCTACTGAGGGGACAAGCGGAGGACAGGAGACTGAGGGGACAGACGGAGGACAGCAGACTGAGGGGACAGACAGAGGACAGGTGACTGAGGGGACAAGCAGAGGACAGGAGACTGAGGGACAGACAGAGTGAGAGGACAGACGGAGGACAGGAGACTGAGAGGACAGACGGAGGACAGGTGACTGAGGAGACAGACTGGGGACAGGTGACTGAGGGGACAGACAGAGGACAGGAGACTGAGGGGACAGACAGAGGACAGGAGACTGAGGGGACAGACAGAGTGAGAGGAGAGACAGGGGACAGGAGACTGAGAGGACAGACGGAGGACAGGTGACTGAGAGAACAGACGGAGGACAGGTGACTGAGGAGACAGACTGGGGACAGGTGACTGAGGGGACAAACAGAGGACAGGCAGAGGGACAGACACAGGGACAGACAGAGGACAGACGCAGGGACAGGTGGACAGTAGGATCTGCACATACAGCCGTCTCCACTAGAGGGAGCTCATTCCTCTGAATGCACTGCTGTCTGTTGATGGATAAATAAACATCTGGATCCTGTGGTTGTGTGTTTCCTGCTGAAGAAACACCTTTAACCACTCGATCCCATGTGTTTTTTCGTCACTGGAGGATATGTTTCAGATGGACCGATTATACTGGCGAACCAACTGAGCTCCGTGACTTTTCTTGTTCAAAAGTACATTATAACAAGCACAGACTAACTTCAGCGGTCTAAGTAGTAAGTGAGTGAGTTAGACGGGAAAGCTGTGTATGGAGCTATGGAGGAGGAGCAGCGACCCCTGTGTGTGAGGAGGAGGAGCAAGCGTTGGAGGAGGAGCAGCTTTGGCAGAGACACAGGTGTGTGAGCTGCTATTGCTGATATTTTAGTTCAGGGGTGCTCAATACGTCGATCACAATCTACCAGTCGATCGCAAAGGTAGTATTGGAAGATCGCTTTACATTTAAAAAAATAAAAAAAAAACGTTTATGCATTTGCGTGTGGACAGAGATAACCAGAGTTTTGCATTTTTGCACGCCACAGTATGCTCCCAAAACAACAACAACAAACAAAACGTGCGACCTCTGATCACTGAAGCATGGATCATACTGCCTTAAAAACTGTTCACTAATCACTACTGCAGCGCTCCACATCAGAGAGCAGCAAAGTGAACAGGCAAAAAAACAGGAGCTAAACCAGGATCAAACCAGGGCTGAGGACTGGAGTCAATGCTTGTAAACATATGTCTTCACCATGGATCTCTAATAATACGTCTTCACCCTGAGTTTCTACTATGACTGTTAGTGCCGCTACAGAACAAAAGTTACGAGTGTAACTACGGTTCTTTGAATCCTGGATGACCGCCAGAGGCGGTGCTTAAATGCAAATTATTTCATAAATCATGCGGTTTTGGATGTACATCAACATACATTGTAGATATAAAGAATCCTCAATATATTTAGAAGTAAATATATGTTTTGCATTTTTGTAGTATGTAGATCATTTTGACTTGATAATTTTATAAGTAGCTCGCTTGCTGAAAAAGTGTGAGCACCCCTGTCTTAGTTCGAATGCACACATCAAAAACGTATCAAAAGCTTTTGTACACACTTCGAGTGCAGTGGATTTTGGGCTTAAGAAGTGTATGTTGTGGACAGTGTGTGTTGAGGCGATGACAGAAACGTTATTGGATGGAAAGAAGTCCGTCTGATCCTCCACGATGAACATGTGTTGCTTAAGGTTATGTATTCAGTCATTATTCAATGATAAACAAAAAATCCATGTGAATTAATTACAAAGCCTCTAATTAATTAGATTAAAAAAAATTATCGTGTCCCAGCCCTAGTTTCTACCTTTTCTCACTTCACTGACATTTCATAAAAACTACAGAAATAATCTACAGAAACAACTAATGATCGCACAGTCAGATTAACTGCTCTTTATACTCTATTTATATTTTATATTCTATAATCTAAATACATTTATATTCTATAACCCAAATACATTTATATTCTATAATCCAAATACATGTATAATCTATCATCTAAATACATTTATATTCTATAATCTCCGATACTCACCAACCAAACCTTTGATTTCACTGACGGTGAACTGTGGATCCGGCATTCTGTAATGACATCATCCACGTTAGTCTCCATACCCTTATGACACACACACACACACACACATGCACACACACACACACACACACAGACAAACACACAGACAAACACACACAGACAAACAAACACACACACACACACACAAACAAACACACACACGCACACAGACCCACACACACACACACAGACACAAACAGACACACACACACACAGACAAACACACACACACCAGGGACGTGCAGTCAGGGGAGGCAGGGGAGGCAGAGCCTCACCTGCCATTATTGGAAACTAATAATTATTTTAGTTTAAATATATAATTTATATCCACTGTCCTATGCTTTTAATGTATATTCGGCACGGTTCCCATCAGTTTTGATCATTTCTGAAGTCAAAATCGCCGAAATCCCGTTATTCCTATTCAAAGAGACGAGGTGAGGCAGCGCTCCTGCGTGCCTCACCCCAGACCGCTCCCTCACAGTGTGTGTGTGTGTGTGTCTGAGTGCACTCAGCTCGTGCAGTTGATATATCACCGTTTGTTTCAAATATCCTGCTTTAAAAACATTTTTTAAACTCCTCTTAGTGTTTAGTAGTGTATTGCACGTATGTGTGTACAATTTATATTTAGTTTAAGTCTTTTGATCGTAGATGAACACACAAGGAAAAAGCTTGGCGTGAGGCAGGCGGTATCTGTGCCTCACCGCTAGGGGTGATAGTGAGCATAAAGTTCATACCAGAGTTGCTAACAAACAATCAGCCCAAAATGCTATTTCTTTTGCTGGAAAATGGATGATTTGAATGAAGATTTTTTTTCTCAATTGGACTTTCAAACAAAGAAAGAATTAATATAGACTGGGAGACCACCACTGGACTTACGAGGTTAGTCCGGCTGCGGGGGAGGAGTTTGTTAATCTGTGTTTTATGTTGAACATTGACAGATACCGGCAAAGTAGTGCTTTTCCGAAAAACACTGATTCAAACACTGCTCAAGAGTTCTGCAACTTGTTTAAATTATTGTTTATGTTCCTCGCGTCTCTCTCTCCTCGCGTCTCTCTCTCCTCGCGTCTCCGTCTCTCTCTGCTCCTCGCGTCTCCGTCTCTCTGCTCCTCTCTGTCTCTCTCTGCTCCTCTCTCCTCGCGTCTCTCTCTCCTCGCGTCTCCGTCTCTCTCTGCTCCTCGCGTCTCCGTCTCTCTGCTCCTCTCTGTCTCTCTCTGCTCCTCTCTCCTCGCGTCTCTCTCTCCTCGCGTCTCTCGCACCTGCGCTTCTTAAAGATGTTGTTTGATGCGGAGCAGAGTCAGCAGCTAGATTTGTTGTGAGATTATTAAAAGAAGCTGGTTCTCTTATCTTTACAGTATATAAAGTTTGTGGATGTCATTGCATTGGTGATTAAATGCTATTTTATTTGAATAATGATTGTAAATCTGACTTTTAAAGTCAGTGCCTCCCCAATCACAAACCTCACCGCACGTCCCTGACACACACACACACCTGATCCCTAAGCCGTCCTTCTCTTTGAAGATCAGTGGTTTCCTGAGGCCTTCCCTCTGAACGTACTCATAGGTGAAATCTGAAACACAGTTTACAAACTGCTGCAGACGGAAACAAACTCAGGATGAAACTCTCTCTGTGTGTCTTTCTCTCCGCGTCTCACCCTCTCTCCCCGTGTCTCACCCTATGTCTCACCCTCTCTCCCCGTGTCTCACCCTCTCTCCCCTTATCTCACCCTCTCTCCCTATGTCTCACCCTTTCTCCCCGTGTCTCACCCTCTCTCCCTATGTCTCACGCTCTCTCCTTGTGTCTCATCCTCTCTCCGTGTCTCACCCTCTCTCCCTGTGTCTCACCCTCTCTCCCTGTGTCTCACCCTCTCTCCCCGTGTCTCACCCTCTCTCCCTGTGTCTCACCCTCTCTCCCTGTGTCTCACCCTCTCTCCCTATGTCTCACGCTCTCTCCTTGTGTCTCATCCTCTCTCCGTGTCTCACCCTCTCTCCGTGTCTCACCCTCTGCCCCTGTGTCTCACCCTCTCCCTGTGTCTCACCCTCTCTCCCTATGTCTCACGCTCTCTCCTTGTGTCTCATCCTCTCTCCGTGCCTCACCCTCGCTCCCTGTGTCTTACTTTCTGCCCCTGTGTCTCACCCTCTCTCCCTATGTCTCACCCTCTGCCCCTGTGTCTCACCCTCTCTCCCCATGTCTCACCCTCTGTCCCCGTGTCTCACCCTTTCTCCCTGTGTCTCACCCTCTCTCCCTATGTCTCACGCTCTCTCCTTGTGTCTCATTCTTTCTCCGTGTCTCACCCTCTCTCCCTGTGTCTCACCCTCTCTCTCCGTGTCTCACCCTCTCTCCCTGTGTTTCACCCTCTGCCCTTGTGTCTCACCCTCTCTCTCTGTGTCTCACCCTCTGCCCCTGTGTCTCACCCTCTCTCCCCATGTCTCACCCTCTGTCCCCTCTGTCCCCGTGTCTGACCCTCTCTCCCTGTGTCTCACCCTCTCTCCCTATGTCTCACGCTCTCTCCTTGTGTCTCATCTTCTCTCTGTGTCTCACCCTCTCTCCCTGTGTCTCACCCTCTGCCCCTGTGTCTCACCCTCTCTCCCTGTGTCTCATCCTCTGCCCTTGTGTCTCACCCTCTCTCTCCGTGTCTCACCCTCTCTCCCTGTGTCTCACCCTCTGCCCCTGTGTCTCACCCTCTGTCCCCGTGTCTCACCCTCTCTCCCTGTGTCTCACCCTCTGTCCCCTCTGTCCCCGTGTCTCACCCCCTCCCCCGTGTCTCCCCCTCTCCCCCGTCTCACCCTCTCCCTGCAGCACTTGCACAAAGCTGGAGGTGTAGATGTTGCTGGTGACCTTCTCCTCGACACTGAAGCCTCTGATGTTGTCGATCTCCTCCACGTCTGACGGGTCCTCGTTCTCATCGTACATCCTCCGACAGGTGACGCGCTGCAACACAACATAACACACGTCAACACAATACAACACACAACACAACAAAACACACGTCAACACAATACTCCACACGTCAACACAACACGCGTCAACACAAAACGCGTCAACACAACACGCATCAACACAACACACGTCAATACAACACACGTCTACACAACACACGTCAACACAACACACGTCAATACAACATACAACAACACAACACACGTCAACACAACATACGACAACACAACACAACACACTTCAATACAACCCAACATGTATTAATACGTCCATACTATAATACTAATACTTTTATACTATAGTACTAATACTTCCATACTATAATACTAATACTTTTATACTATAATACTAATACTTCCATACTATAATACTAATACTTCACAACTGTATATATTTTATCACCACCGTGTATGGAGTGAATGAATAATGACATGTAAAGCGTCTTTGAGTGTCCAGAAAAGCGCTATATAAAACCGATGCATTATTATTATTATTATTACTATAATACTAATACTTCCATAATATAATACTAATACTTCCATACTATAATACTAATACTTCCATACAATAATACTAATACTTCCATACTATAATACGAATACTTCCATACTATAATACTAATACGTCCATACTATAATACTAATACTTCCCTGCTATAATACTAATACTTCCATACTATAATACTAATACTTCCATACAATAATACTAATACTTCCATACTATAATACGAATACTTCCATACTATAATACTAATACTTCCATACTATAATACTAATACTTCCCTGCTATAATACTAATACTTCCATACTATAATACTAATACTTCCATACAATAATAATAATACTTCCATACTATAATACTAATATTTCCATGCTATAATACTAATACTTCCATACTATAATACTAATACTTCCATACAATAATAATAATACTTCCATACTATAATACTAATACTTCCATACAATAACAATAATACTTCCATACTATAATACTAATACTTCCATACTATAATACTAATACTTCCATACTATAACACTAATACTTCCATACAATAACAATAATACTTCCATACTATAATACTAATACTTCCATACTATAATACTAATGCTTCCATACTATAATACTAATACTTACATTCTATAATAATAATACTTCCATACTAAAATACTAATAAATTCCATGTGATACACTGTCATTACAGGAGTACAGAGATGTAGTTTCCATAGCCTCAGTCACACACTTCTAATAACACATGAGTTTTAAATACTGCAGTTTCGCAGCAGTGAAGGCAAGTTTATTAGAATAGCACAGTTCATACACAAGGAAACTCAAAGCTTAACAAAACAAGATGAAACAAATCACAATAAATCATCACAGTGCCATAAAACGGGTTCAGTTTCATGCACGGCTGAGCGGAACTGTTGTTAAACCTGTTCTCTTGCAGCACGGTGGTAATAACGGTTAGCTTAGCTTCTAATTAGCCGCAGAGCCGTGTGTAAGCTAACCCAGCCTCTCCTCCCGGTCTCGGTACGCACCAGTTTGCGTCCGTACTCTGCAGACTGAGCCATGGTCCACACGGGGCCTGGGGTCTCTGTGCCCGGGCTCAGACTGGGGGGAGCCCGGGTCTCTGTGGAGGAGTTAAAGCCACACTCAGCACGCTGCTTTTGGGGTTCAAAACAACGGGATCCATGTTTGTGTCTATGACGTCACAGCGCGGACCAAAACAATGTGGGACAGATGTTCAGAGAGTTATTATTATAGATCCATGTCAGAGAGGCTGCACCGGGACTCTTTGGATTTCTGTGGTTATTTCTCATTTGTAAATAATGTGCTCAATGATGCAGTGGTGAGTACGGGAAGCATGTCCAACCTGAGGCCCGCGGGCCAAACGCGGCCCGCTGTGTCATGACATGTGGCCCCTCTGCCTTCACAGTGTCATTCAGCAAATTTCAGCTTCACCAAAATAGGTATGCTTTACCTCTTGTCTCTTTCTGGTTTCTCTCTCACACTTTGCTCTCTGGTCTCTCTTTCCCGCATCTCTCTCTGTCTCGCTCTGGTCTGAGTTTATCATTTAGCCAACGTCTGTATCAATATGTCATACTTCATGTTAAAGCTCAGACCCACTGAAGCCAGGTTCCGTGTTGTGTGTGGAACTAAAGGTTTGGACGCCCCCGGTCTTGACAACGGAGACTGCTGTATGTGTATTTAGTATGTGTTTAATATCTTTAACTCTGTATCTATTCTATTGTATCTTTGGCTGTAACAATGTTTATCTCTTATGTGAAATAAGTTCATAAATAAATCTATAGAAAATGTAGTTTTCAAATTGTGTTGTGTTTTATCTTTATTTTCAAAAATCCTTGAGAAAATTTGTAATAATAGACTTGAAAAATTCATAGAAAAAAAACATTTATTGAATGAAGGTTAGTATGGCTTCAGAGCAAGGAGGTCCACATCAATGGCTGTTATTGATGCTATGGAAGAAATCACAAAATCTTTAGATAAAAGAAATTATGCTGTTGGAATTTTTATAGACTTAAAGAAAGCCTTTGACACTATTAACCACTCGATACTCCTCAAGAAACTTGACAGATATGGAATACAGGGAGTGGCTTGGGAATGGATCAAGAGCTATTTAACAGAGAGACAGCAGTTTGTGGTGTGCCGCAGGGATCCATATTGGGACCTACACTTTTTAACTTGTACATTGATGATATATTTAATGTATCAAACTTACTCAAACTGGTGCTATTTGCTGATGATACAAACATATTCCATTCAGGCAATAATTTTGATACTTTAGTGGACAATGTCAATAATGAATTGATTAAATTGAAAACATGGATGGATATTAATAAATTGTCAATAAACATTGAAAAAACAAAAGTAATAATGTTTGGAAATTGCAAAGTTAGGAAAAGAAAATGTATATACATTGATAGTACTAAAATTGAGGAAGTATCTGAAATAAAGTTTCTTGGAATAATTATTGACAATTGACCCCTTGCATGTGACGTCCCGGCCACGCCCACTCTCCGTGACAGACGGCAGAAATCTAACTGCGAGCCTACGGACATCTGACCAAAACTACCTGTTTCAGCGCATTACAGCCAAAACTGTGACATTTTGGAGTGCGGTTGATTATACTAACAGGCAAGGACATAAGCTTTTTTATCTGATACCTGCTCGTCATGAAGACAGAAGACGACGATGGCCAGCGGCAATCAACCAAAAAGGACTGGGACCCATCCAAGTACTCCCTAATATGTAGTGAACACTTTTTACAAGATAAAGCAATCACAAGTTTGTATTTATTTTATTTCCATTAATTTGGAGGACAATGACACACGTCAAACGTGTCTCTTACTACTGTCCTGTATGTGCGCTGCAACATTGACATTTTTATCTTTTAAGTCAATTGCGTGTTTCACTATTTTCCTCTCCGTCAGTACGTATCATGTTTGGCTGTAGACAGAAAAGCCACAGAAAAGTGGATTATTGCTAATGCTACCAGCAAAATGTACATATAAATCTGCTCCAGTGTGAGGGGATGCATTGTTAACGATAATGATAATGATCATGTAGGGTGAATTTGGGCGAAAATAGACATTTTATTTAATCGATAAAATTGACTGGGGGGAGAAGGTACGGGTCAACATCCAGTTAGGCAATCCTTAACTTCTCCAAATACCACTCTTTGTGAGCCCTGACCTGATGTCCTACTTCCACCTATAACGTAATCGAACATGTGCTTGAGGCAACCACTTCTCGATTTAGGAGAGGAAGCTCCGTTTTTATGAGTTGTGTCCGTTTTGCTCTCGCAGCAATGCTAGTTTCCAATACTTACGCCGTAAGCTCATTCACAATCACGTGACTGGATGACGTTGATGCATCTGGTCAATAAGATAAACCAGCCATTCCCAAACTCAGTAACACCGAGGCCCCCTTAAAAATCTGACGGGTCTGCGTGGCCCCCCAAAATAATAACCAAGAAGACAACATTAAGAATAGGCTCTTCTGGTTATTTTATTTTGGGGAAATAGCCTCTGCTACAAACATTGTAATACAAAAATGATTACAGTGGATTATTCAAGTCAAATAATGAACACAAATATTTTAATATTACAAACAAAACATTATAAATTTAACATTAAATAATTATATATATATATATATTTTTTTATGACCTCCCGCGGCCCCCTGCAGTACCCTCGCGGCCCACCAGGGGGCCGCGGACCCCACTTTGGGAGACACTGAGATAAACACATCAAAGTCACACATCAGTCATATACAAAAGAAGATTTCAAAAAATGTATCGGTAATGAACAAAACCAAACATGTTCTGGGTCATATTGCACAAAATGTACTTTACTGCAGTCTTTTTTTACCGTACTTATCCTATGGGTTGGAAATTTGGGGTAATAATTATAAAAGTTCTCTACTTCCCCTTGTAATTCTTCAGAAGCGTGCCGTAAGAAATATTCATATGGTTAGGTATTTGGATCACACAAATGACTTAGTTGAATTTCATACAGCACAACTCCTGTACAAAGCAAGTAAATATATGTTGCCGGCAAATATTCAAAGACTCTGTGCAGAAAGAGATGGAGGTTACAGTCTGAGGGGATTTGGAAAACTCAAAGTAAAGTTTTCTAGGACCACTAGGAGAAAAATGTTTGTTTCTGTTTGTGGAGTTTGAGTTTGGAATGGACTGGGACAACAGCTCAAGCAATGCGCAACAGTGAATCAATTCAAAACAAAATACAGAGAATTTGTGTTATCAAAATATAGAATGGAAGAACAGGGCAATTCTATAAATTGACCCTAATAAGAATCTGTCTATTTACTATGACATTTTGAATTAATTAATGCTATATTAATTTTTCTCATCAAATTGAATGCATTTTGTGCAATAATTTTGTAGTTCTGAATTCAGTTGCCACATTCTTGTAATTGATTAACAGTGTTGTGTAAATGTATGTATATATAAAATATCGCAACTGCTTGTGTTGTAATGAGAGGGGGTGGGAGTACATAAGTTTACTTCTTCTCACTCCCTTTTCGAGCTTTGTATAATTTTTTTTGACATGTTATGTATTATTACTAACATGTATTTCTGTTTATTGTAAATACATATAACAATGCATGAACATGTTTAAATGGCATTGTAAATATGTAAGCTCAAATAAATCCAATCAAATAAAAAAAACAACAAGACAGCACTACATCCATGACTTTGGCAGATTTGCAGATATACACAATCTGTGTTAGCATTGTCCACATATACACAATCTGTGTTAGCATTGTCCACTTATACACAATCTGTGTTAGCATTGTCCACTTATATACAGTCTGTGTTAGCATTGTCCACTTATATACAGTCTGTGTTAGCATTGTCCACATATACAATCTGTGTTAGCATTGTCCACATATACACAATCTGTGTTAGCATTGTCCACTTATATACAGTCTGTGTTAGCATTGTCCACTTATATACAGTCTGTGTTAGCATTGTCCACTTATATACAGTCTGTGTTAGCATTGTCCACTTATATACAGTCTATGGGAGCTAGCTGTGTTCAGTGGATGTTCCTTTAGGGGCGCAGTGGATTGTGGGAGATGTAAAGGTGCAGAAACACTCGGGATCCGCAGCTGTGGACTTCTGCCGCCGTCGGAGTGAATAAATAGCTTTCTCTGTCAGCGGACAAGGTTAAGAGTTTGTTCCGTGTAGCCTGTTAGCATGCGGGAGCTGCCGGGTGCTTGCAAACAGTCAATTAGTCGGTGAATCGGACGCAGATCATGAGTCTTAACGAGCACTCTCTCCAAGCCCTGTCCTGGAGGAAGCTCTACCTCAGCCGGGCCAAGCTCAAGGCGTCGAGTCGGACTTCTGCGCTGCTCTCTGGATTCGCGATGGTATTATAGTCTGTGTGTTTGTCCATGTCATCACATCACGTTACATGTTATCGTTGTTGTCGACGCCAGGCATGTCCAAGCTGGGGCCCGCGCGCCAAATGCGGCCCCGTGTGTCACGTTCCACGGCCCGCTGCTGTCAAATCCAGCCAACTTCAGCTTCGTCCATATGGTTTTGTTATACTTTCCTGTAAAGCTCAGAACCTCTGGAATTTGGTTGTTGGTCTCTCGCTTTGATCTTTTTCTCTGGTCTCTCTCCCTGTCTCTCTCTCTGGTCTGTCTCTCTCTGCCCTCTGTCTGGTCTCTTTCTCTTGTCTCTCTCTCTAGTCTCTCTGGTCTATCTCTCACTCTGGTCTCTATGGCCTTTTTCTGGCCTCTCCATGCTCTCTCGCTCTTGTTTCTCTCTGCTCTCTCGTTCTTGTCTCTCTCTGCTCCCCTTCTCTGGTCTCTCTCTGTGGTCTCTCTCTATGGTCTCTCTCTCTGGTCTCTCTCTCTAGTTAGTAAAGTGTATAAAGAGTGAAGGTTTTACAGCTTTAAAACACACAGCTGCTACTGAGAGGATTTACCTTATCGCAGGTTATTTTTAGAACACATCACCCTGCGATAAACCAGGCCCAGTGTAGCGTATTACTGATTGCTCAGTGCAAAAATCTTGGTTGTATTGGTCAATTACACACGTCAGGACGGTCTGTTAGACTGTTTGTGAGTATAACTAAAATGACTGTGATGATCCAGGACACTCAACATTCTACAACATGTATGGACATTTATCAATATTCATGGACATTGGTCTCTCCCTATGGACCAATACCATGTGTTCTACATTCTTTGTGTTTGAACTGTTTGAGTTTCTGATCTGTGTTGGCGAATTAAAAGTATTCTGAGATTACTACTGTTGTGATCTAGGGCTCTATAAGAATACATTTAATTGAATTGAATATGTTCTTCTCGGGTTCCTGATCTATTGACAGTGTTTATGTGAATGAGGAGCCGATGTTTTTGTTTAATATATTGACAAATTTCTGGGATAATGATAGTCTGACACTGATAAGAGCTGAGATGATGCATCTCAATGGGCTCTTAATAAACATTCATAATGATATCTGCAGGTGGCCATGGTGGAGGTGCAGCTGGACAACAGTTACCCCTACCCCCCCGCGCTCCTCATCGCCTTCAGCGCCTGCACCACGGTCCTGGTGGCCGTGCACCTGTTCGCCCTCATGGTCAGCACCTGCATCCTGCCAAACATCGAAGCCGTCAGCAACGTGCACAACCTGAACTCTGTGAAGGAGTCTCCTCACGAACGCATGCACCGCTACATCGAGCTGGCCTGGGCCTTCTCCACCGTCATCGGCACGCTGCTGTTCCTGGCCGAGGTGGTGCTGCTCTGCTGGGTCAAGTTCCTGCCCATCAAACCCAATAAGTCCAACAACCACACTGTGTCGTCGGGCGTGGCGGCAGCGATCACGTCCACCTCCATCATGGTGCCGTTCGGACTGGTCTTCATCGTGTTCGCGGTGCACTTCTACCGCTCGCTGGTCAGCCACAAGACAGACCGACAGTTCCAGGAGCTGGAGGAGCTCTCCAACCTCACACGGCTGCAGAACGAACTGGACAACAGGGGGGACGCCTCCATGCTGCAGTCCCCCTCCTCACACTTCCCCTAGAGACAGGGTGTCCAAACTAACGCCTCTGCCACTGAGGCACTTTCACTGTGTCATCCAGCCAACTTCAGCTCCACCAGTCCTGGTACTACTGCTACTGTACTGCACCGTGGAGCTCAGAACCATTGGAATCCTTACTTTATTTGACTGTTTCTCTCCTTTTTTCCTCCTCACTCTTTCTGATCTCTCGATGGTCTTTCTCTGATCTCACGACGGTCTTTCTCTGATCTCACGACGGTCTTTCTCTGATCTCACGACGGTCTTTCTCTCTCACGACGGTCTTTCTCTGATCTCATGACGGTCTCTCTCTGATCTCACGATGGTCTCTCTCTATTTTGTGGTGTGAATCAATATGGACATATATCAAACATTTTAAAGCCAAGAACAGTAGAATCCAGTCAGAACAGGTTTAAATCCTGGTTGTCGGCCCCTGGACAGGTCTGGTATAAAGTTTTGACACCCCTGCCGTAGAGGACCCCACTTCCTGCTCTGAGGGGGGTCTCTCACCGCTGCATGTTTGACAGTTTCATCATGACTTAAATGTATAATGAGTCTTAACTTTTTTTAACGAATGTAACAGAACACAGCCATGTTCTTTTATTGCACACTGTTGTTTTGTACTGTTTTATAAACCGTTCACTTAAAGCTGCGGTACCTAACTTCAAAGTTGGATTCATAATGACCCTAAACATCCTTTACAGACTGAGAGCTGATTGGCTGAGAGAGGGTGCTCTAATAAGGCCGAACACATAAAACTAGTGACAGAACGTTTTTGCCAGTAGCGACTGACGGCCTTAATACCTCCATGGTTGCGCTGTGGAGTTTGCATGTTCTCCCACTGTCTGTGTAGGTTTCCTCCGGGTGCTCCGGTTTCCCCTACCACTACAAATATGTACAATAAGTAAAATCCTCCAGCTCCCGAAGCGCACCAACTTCTGAAGCTGTTACTACGGCAACCGCTGACAGAGGCCGGAGTGGAACAGATGGGTCAAATACAGAGGACAAAGTATAAAGTATTAATTTACACCACATTTGGACAAGTGCATCCAACACCTGTTTAGTAATTTTAGAGATACGCGACATTTTACAGACTAAGACCACCCAAAGCGCTTCGCAATGTTCATAAACCAGATATTTTTCCACTCTCCACACTGTAATGATGGAAGTGAGACATTTGTACATGTTTTAGCGGTAGGGGAAACCAGAGCACCCGGAGGAAACCTACGCAGACACGGGGAGAACATGTAAACTCCACTCAGAGAGGCCTTTTTCCGAACCCAGGACCTTCTTGCTGAGAGGCCACCACTCAGCCACCATGCCCCTTATTTCAGCTTTAGCTCTATAGGATCTGGAATTCTTAGATATTTCCATAAAACATGTTTTGTTTTCCACTAGTTTTTATAGTAAGTTATGTATAAAGTTTTTCTTATCCTGGGATTATCCAAGAGCAGTACAGACATGTGAAAAACAAACAATAAAAACACATCAAAACCAAAACGTGTTTCTTTATCCCTGTTATCAAGATTTGTTTATTTTTGTCTCCTTTAGGAGAGATTTGGTTTGGACTGATGGGTCCGCTACATTTCAGTACAAAAAAATACATACATACAAAGACACCAACACACGTGCTGTACAGCTCACACACACTTCATCTCCTCATGTCCTTATTTAACAGATTCACTGAGTTCAAAAGCTCATATTCGGGGGAAAGTACATGTGTGGGATCAGAGAGGATGCTCCTGGTCTGTCTCCTCATGGCCTGCTCATAGAGCTCCTGGGGGCCAAGACGGACAGGCGTGCCCATGATTTTCCCAGCGCTCTGTCCTCCGAGAACCAGGACCTCAGAGATCCAGCTGTCAGCGCTGCAGAATGACCAGTTTATTATGATTATTATACTGACATAGAAACCGTATAAGTTATGAAGAAATGTACAAAAGTATTTACACTTCAACGTGAAAACCCGTCGGATTGAAGTCGTTTTTGATGCCACTGGTGTCACTATGAGGGGGTGTGTGTTCTGAATCTGGAGGCAGCCCTTATTTTATTACAGAGTCTTGGTGTTTGAAAGTTAGGTACCTGAGCTTTAGCAGCAGCGTGGTTCTGTATCTGCATGTTCCTGATCCACAGCAGTATTAGCACACTAAAGGGTTTGGTTAATGTTTCATTGAAGTTAAGTTATTAGAACCAGTGACTAAACTGTTTGTTTACCATTAAAATGTAACATGTAATTACTTTCTACTTCTGTCTTTTTACCACGCTCTGCTCTGCTTTGCTCTGCTCTGCTCTAACTCTGATTGAGTCTGTCTTTAGTCCCTCTTGGTCCTGTTAAACCCAGGCTGAGCTGGTTCTAAAGTCTTCAGTGATTGGTCAGAGTGCTGCTGGACGCCGTGGTTACCAAGGAATTTCCCTGGGTACTGGATTGTTGTGGGGAGGTTGCAAGGATACAGTACCTTTGTGTTCCCTTGTGTAGGAAAGGCACTCTACAAATAAAAGTTGATTGATTGATACCAGATGGTAAATGTCATAGAAACACAACAGGTGCTGGTCCACAGGAGGATACTGTCCCTCCCTCACCGCTACAGGTGCAGGTCCACAGGAGGATACTGCCCCTCCCTCACTGCTACAGGTGCTGGTCCACAGGAGGATACTGCCCCTCCCTCACTGCTACAGGTGCTGGTCCACAGGAGGATACTGCCCCTCCCTCACTGCTACAGGTGCTGGTCCACAGGAGGATGCTGCCCCTCCCTCACTGCTACAGGTGCTGGTCCACAGGAGGATGATGCCCCTCCCTCACTGCTGCAGGTGCTGGTCCACAGGAGGATACTGCCCCTCCCTCACTGCTACAGGTGCTGGTCCACAGGAGGATACTGTCCCTCCCTCACTGCTACAGGTGCTGGTCCACAAGAGGATACTGCCCCTCCCTCACTGCACCAGATCCACAGGAGGATAATGCCCCTACCTCACTGCTATTGGTGCTTGTCCACAGGAGGATACTGCCCCTCCCTCACTGCTACAGCTGCTGGTCCACAGGAGGATACTGTCCCTCCCTCACTGCTACAGGTGCTGGTCCACAAGAGGATACTGCCCCTCCCTCACTGCACCAGATCCACAGGAGGATAATGCCCCTCCCGCACTGCTATTGGTGCTTGTCCACAGGAGGATGCTGCCCCTCCCTCACTGCTATTGGTGCTTGTCCACAGGAGGATACTGCCCCTCCCTCACTGCTACAGGTGCTGGTCCACAGGAGGATACTGCCCCTCCCTCACTGCTACAGGTGCGGGTCCACAGGAGGAGGGCTGCTCTGTTGTCTGCTCTGGAGATCGACAGCTAATTGAGCTGTGGCCAAGTTCCTTTCAACCCATGCACAAACACACACGCCTACACACAAATTATTTCACTGTACTTTACTGTATTTTAAGGTCTTCCTTATTTCAGCATTGCTGAGAATCATGAAGAAAACAGTGACTGTAGACGTTAAACACATCAGTATTTCAACAAGGCCCTGAGTTTCAAATGGGACTTTATTCTGGAGCTGTGGTCATGGGATCACTGGTCATGGGATCACTGGTCATGGGATCACTGGTCATGTGATCACTGGTCATGGGATCACTGGTCATGGGATCGCAGAAGGCAGACTGGGCTTCTGTCAACACTTCCTGCTGATCCAAAAGCTGACACTGGAAAAAAAAAATCATCTGACTCAAATCAATTTATTTTTGTTTTTGTGTATGCCTTAAATCACAACAGCAGTCGTCTTCACCAGAGAGGGACCAGAGACCAGAGATACCAGAGAGAGAGACCAGCGAGAGAGACCAAAGACAGAGACCAGAGAGAGAGACGAGCGAGAGAGACACCAGAGAGAGAGACTAGAGAGAGACCAGAAAGAGACCAGAGAGCGACTAGAGAGAGACTAGAGAGAGACTGGAGAGAAACCAGAGAGATCAGAGAGAGGCAAGAGAAAGACCAGAGAGAGAGTGGAGAGAGACCAGAGAGGAACCAGAGAGAGAGACTAGAGAGCGAGACCGGAGAGCGGGACTGGGGAGCGAGACCGGACAGCAAGACCGTAGAGCGAGACCGGAGAGCGAGACCGGAGAGCGAGACCGGAGAGCGAGACCGGAGAGCGAGACCGGAGAGCGAGACCGGAGAGCGAGACCGGAGAGCGAGACCGGAGAGCGAGACCGGAGAGCGAGACCGGAGAGCGAGACCGGAGAGCGAGACCGGAGAGCGAGACCGTAGAGAGCGAGACCGGAGAGCGAATCCGGAGAGCGAGACCGGAAAGCGAATCCGGAGAGCGAGTCCGGAGAGCGAGACCGGAGAGCGAGACCGGAGAGCGAGACCGGAGAGCGAGACCGGAGAGCGAGACCGGAGAGCGAGACGGGAGAGCGAGACCGGAGAGCGAGACCGGAGAGCGAGACCGGAGAGCGAGACCGGAGAGCGAGACCGGAGAGCGAGACCGGAGAGCGAGACCGGAGAGCGAGACCGGAGAGCGAGACCGGAGAGCGAGTCCGGAGAGAGAGACCAGAGCTGCATAACCACTGCACAGAAATGTTCATGAGGTGCATTAATAGATAAAGATGGAAAACCTGTGGGATGTGATATTTGGGAGGTTTTGGAGCTTTGTCTCTCTCATAATCCGACAGAGTTCCACATTTTGCAGTTCCATCCAACCAGAAGCCCTCGTAAAGCTGCCCTCGGTCGGAGAAGAAAAACCTCCCGTGTCCGTTCTTCTTTCCTTCTCTCCACGTTCCTTCAAACTGGTTTCCATTCACTGGACACAAACAACAGAGACAGACCACTCTATTACACTCTATCTAGACATGAGACCAGAGAGAGACCAGAGAGAGACCAGAGAGAGGCCAGTGAGAGACCAGAGAGAGACCAGAGAGAGACCAGAGAGAGGCCAGTGAGAGACCAGAGAGAGACCAGAGAGAGACCAGAGAGAGACCAGAGAGAGACCAGAGAGAAAGACACCAGAGAGAGAGACCAGAGAGAGAGAGACCAGAGAGAGACCAGAGAGAGAGACCAGAGGGAGACCAGAGAGAGACCAGAGAGAGAGAGAGAGAGAGAGACCAGAGAGAGACCAGAGAGAGAGACCAGAGAGAGACCAGAGAGAGACCAGAGAGGGACCAGAGAGAGACCAGAGAGAGTCCAGAGAGACATCAAAGAGACACCAGAGAGAGACCAGAGAGAGACCAGAGAGAGACCAGAGAGAGACCAGAGAGACACCAGAAAGAGACCAGAGAGAGAGAGACCAGAGAGAGAGACCAGAGAGCCCAGAGAGAGAGACCAGAGAGACCAGAGGGAGACCAGAGAGAGACCAGAGAGAGACCAGAGAGAGACCAGAGAGAGACCAGAGAACCAGAGAGTCCAGAGAGGGACCAGAGAGAAAGACCAGAGAGAGAGACCAGAGAGAACAGAGAGAGACCAGAGAGAGAGACCAGAGAGAGACCAGTGAGAGACCAGAGAGAGACCAGTGAGAGACCAGAGAGAGACCAGAGAGAGACCAGAGAGGCAGATCAAAGAGAGAGACCAGAGAGGCAGATCAGTGAGGCAGACCAAAGAGAGAGCAGAGACAACAGAGAGACCAGAGAGAGATTAGCGAGAGAGACCAGAGAGAGAGACCAAAGAGAGGCCAGAGAAAGAGAGCCCAGAAGCAAAGACTAGACTGTTTTTGGCTGACCAGAAAGAGATACCAGAGACAAAGAGTCCTTTTCGCTGGTATCTCTTTCTGAGACCTGAGATAGAGACCAGAAAGAGAATAAAGAGAGACCAGTGGCAGACACCGCAGACAGTATTTTGGACTGACCAGACTGGACCAGGCCGGTACCGTGCTGCTGGTCCTCACTCCACTCTCCTTCGTAGATATCTCCGTTGGCAAAGTACATCTTTCCCCAACCGCAGCGGACGCCATCTCTCCACTCACCGTCATAAACAGAGGAACATGTGTAACGAAAGGTTCCAATCCCCTGAAGAAGAACTCACAGTCAGCAAGAGAGAGACCAGAGAGAGGCCAGAGAGAGGCCAGAGAGAGGCCAGAGAGAGGCCAGAGAGAGGCCAGAGAGAGGCCAGAGAGAGACCAGAGAGAGACCAGAGAGACCAGAGAGAGACCAGAGAGAGACCAGAGAGAGAGACTAGAGAGAGACCAGAGAGAGAGAGGCCAGAGAGAGACCAGAGAGAGGCCCGAGAGACCAGAGAGAGACCAGAGAGAGGCCAGAGAGAGACCCGAGAGAGACCCGAGAGGCCAGAAAGAGACCAGAGAGAGACCAGAGAGAGACCAGAGAGAGGCCAGAAAGATACCAGAGAGAGGCCAGAGAGAGACCAGAGAGAGGCCAGAAAGATACCAGAGAGAGGCCAGAAAGATACCAGAGAGAGGCCAGAGAGAGACCAGAGAGAAACCAGAGAGAGACCAGAGAGAAACCAGAGAGAGACCAGAGAGAGACCAGAAGAGAGAGAAGAAAGAGGCCAGAGAGAGGCCAGAGAGAGGCCAGAGAGAGACCAGAGAGAGACCAGAGAGACCAGAGAGAGACCAGAGAGAGACCAGAGAGAGAGACTAGAGAGAGACCAGAGAGAGAGAGGCCAGAGAGACCAGAGAGAGACCAGAGAGAGGCCAGAGAGAGACCCGAGAGAGACCCGAGAGGCCAGAAAGAGACCAGAGAGAGACCAGAGAGAGACCAGAGAGAGGCCAGAAAGATACCAGAGAGAGGCCAGAGAGAGACCAGAGAGAGGCCAGAAAGATACCAGAGAGAGGCCAGAAAGATACCAGAGAGAGGCCAGAGAGAGACCAGAGAGAAACCAGAGAGAGACCAGAGAGAAACCAGAGAGAGACCAGAGAGAGACCAGAGAGAGAAGAAAGAGAGACAAGAGAGAGACTAATAACAATCTTAAACATGTTTTGTTTTTGCCAGTGAATTTGTTAGAATTTTCTCAAGAAGGGGTGAAACGTTTAAAAGGACTAACATATCTAGATGTTCACAAAACTATTTACGTTTTTCTTTTCCTTTATCTGTTCTTCTGTTTTTTCAGAGGAACTATTCTCATGTGATGATTGAAAACGTACGTGCTTCTTCCCGTTTTTCCACTCTCCGCAATACTTCCTGGAATACTCTTGGGTTTTTGGATCTAAAATGCTGTAGATTCCGTATCCGTCGCGTTTGCCACATTTCCACTCTCCATTGTACATCGCCCCAGTCTTCTTCCAGACTTGAATCCCCCTTCCTGGAGAGAGACCAGAGAGAGAGACCAGGAGAGAGAGAGCCCAGAGAGAAAGATCAGGGAGAGAGACCGGGGGGAGAGACCAGAGAGAGAGAGATCAGGAGTGAGTGACCAGGAGAGAGTGAGAGACCAGAGAGAGAGACCAGAGAGAGAAACCAGGGAGAGAGTGAGAGAGACCAGGAAGAGAGACCAGAGAGAGAGACCAGAGAGAGAGACCAGGAGAGAGTGAGAGACCAGAGAGAGGCCAGGAAAAAATTAGAGACCAGGAGAGATCAGAGAGAGAAATCAGAGAGAGAGACAAGTGAGAGACCAGGAGAGAGAGACCAGAGAGTGAGAAAGACCTGAGAAAAAGAGACCAGTAGAGAGAGAGAGACCAGAGAGAGAGAAAGACCAGAGAAAAAGAGACCAGTAGAGAGAGAGAGAGAGAGAGACCAGAGAGATTAACCAGAGAGAGAGACCAGGAGAGAAAGAGAGACCAGAGAGAGAAACCAGAGTTAGACAAGAGAAAGAGAGAGGGACCAGAGCGAGACCAGAGAGAGAGAGAGACCAAAGAGATGGAGACCAGAGAGAAAGACCAGAGAGAGAGAGAGATATAGACCAGAGATAGAACATAGAGAGAGAGACCAGTTGTCCTGACAGTTTCTCCCTGGTGTCTGTAGCTGCTGGTCTCACCGTGCTTCTGGTTGTCCTTCCACTCTCCTGTGTACTCAGCTCCTCCCACAGAGTAAACTGTGTGTCTCTCTCCACTCTTTTGAGCCTTTTGGTCCCATTCTGTCGACAGACTCTGCTTTTTGCAGGTGGATCGTGAATGTTGCATGATTTTAAAGTGGAAAGCTGTCAACAAGAAGAACAGAACACAGAGCTCTCAGTGAAAAGGTACAGGACCCCCCATGGTCTTGACGACACTGATGCAACAGAGGGCGCTCCTACAGAACACATAAAAACTAAAGGCTTCAGTTTCAGTTCATTAAAAAATAAAAACATACCTTGACACAGCGGGTCTTAGTTTGGACACCACTGACACACACAATACGAATAAACAATATTTTACAGTAAACATCTTTGAAATTATGACTTCTTGCATTCAGTGATACAATAAAATTACCTTTAAAGGGATGTAGAATTTATGAGCCCAGACTCTCAGTGGAGGCTGCACTGACACTACACTTAGATGTCCACTAGGGGGCCACAGAATACCGTTTTGTGGGCCGTAAATGGATCGCGGGCCGCATGTTTGAGACCCCGCTGTGTAGAGCACTATCTTAAGTCCAATTGGGGAAGTATAATGTAGACTGTATAGTGTGTTTTGATGCTGAAGTGCATGTGGAAGTTCTATGACTGTGTGCACCGGTGTTGTTCTGTGTCTGTATAGCGTTAAGTGATGTGTTTACGTGCACATCTGATGCCCAAAACAAACCGTATTAGATTTGTCTTGGGCATCAGAGGTGAATATAATTTAACTGCAAACAAGGGAAGCGTTCAAACATGTAATTTATGCAGAAAAAGGCTAAAACTTACCCCCTCCAACCTCGTCAGAGCTCCTGTGAGCAGCTTGGCGCAGCTGAACCTCGTCGCCTAGCAACCTGTCTGTTTACTGCCGTGGGAGAGGGTTCACTAAAGGGTACAAAAGTGGGACAAAAGGCCAAAAAATAGATTGAAATGATCAAATATGTTATTTTTTTAATTCATCAAAATACATCTTCAGTCCAATAGAAGAACTAGAACAGAACTGTTACATCTGTCAAGTTTTGGCTTTGTCTGTCTCGGAAGTTTGTTACATATTTTCAGATCCACATTTAATTAAGAGATTTTTTTTTAAACACAGAGTAGAAACAAAGTGATTAATTTCATATAGTAAACCAATTAAATGTGAAACCAGACGGTCTTTTTTACGTTTTTTTTTTTCAAGTTTAATTTTTAGGAAGAAAATGCCAGAAACCATCACCTCAATTTTCAAGGGTCATTTTAATTTGTATTGATTTTTTTGGATGATTTCTTTTTAAATGAAGTGATTTCCTGATGTTGTATTGGTGTTGATGTGGGATCTGCCGCTTTGTCACTGATGACCTTTTATTTTCTGCATATCAAAAAATATAATTTGGTAGTTTAAATTTCGCCAAAATGATTTCATCCACTTCCCTTTGATATGTCTGTGTTTGAAGTATTTTTTAAATGGTAAATTTATTTACTTATTAACCTTTTACAGTCCAGAAACTACTCCCCCCCGCTTCCTCCTCCCCTCTCCTGTGGTGTCTTGTGCGCATGCGCGGTGCAGATCCGTGGTCACTATCCCGGCTGGTGCTACTGTCGCCCGTCTGCTTAGCTCCTGCGGCTTCTACGATGTCCAAATCAAAGTTTCTGACAGAGTGGGAGGAAATAGACGAAGAATATCAACAGTTACAGGTGATTGTTTGTGTTCCAACACCAGCAGCTGAAGGATGTGAGTCCTCTGAGGCTCACGGAGCAGGTTAGCAAGTGCGTCTGCTGCTCCCTCCGCCAACCCCTCACTGAAACCTGGAATAACAGTCTCCAGCCTCTGCTTTGACAGGCTTTAAAGAGAGCTACACTGCTGTTATCAACTGTTTCCATTGCATTTCACTTTGTTATAATTTAACAAGTTGGTCAAGTGCTGTCTGTCCTGCTAGTATTGTGTTGCTAATTCAACTTTTGCCTTATTCACTGTAAACTATGGTAGCTTTGGATCCAGAAATATTGCGCACAGACTATGAGTTTGTCATCATAGTGTTTGTGCATCTATTAGCATCACAAAATGTTCAAAAGTCTTGCTTATTCATGTTAGCATACCCTCACCCAGCCCTGTCCCCACTCTACTCTACTCGGTTCTACTCTACCTGGTTGTGTTTCCATTGCACTTTCCTATCTGGTACCGTATCCTAGCAACTTACCCATAACAAATCAGTATCCAGAGGAAATTCCTTGGCTACCACCATGACTTCCAACAGCAACCAGAACCAGTAAGAGTAGAGTAGAGTAGAGTAGAGTAGAGTAGAGTAGAGTAGAGTAGAGTAGAGTTTTTACGCCCATGTTTGTTTTGTTTTTAGGAAACTCATAAATTATACCGACAGAAGCTGGAGGAGTTGACGAGTCTTCAAACATCCTGCAGTAACGCCATCAGCAAACAGAGGAAGTGTTTAAAGGACGTTAAATACAGTTTAAAAAGGTGAGTGTTCTGCTGACACATTAAACCTCCTGTTGGTGCGCTGCAACACTGACATTTCCTCACTTTGGGACAAATAAATGCTCTCTTAACGTTTCATTTGTTTAAAATGGTTCATACACACGGCAACTCAAAAGTGACAAACGGTTTTGAACCTGGATTTGAACATTGCCAGAGTAGAAGCCTGTCTCATATTTTCAGGAAGACGGTTCCAGATTCAGCCCAGTATTCAGTGTTTAAACCAGACAAATATTACTGTGTAAAACTTAACTATACGCCGCTACTTTTCCCTGTTCTGTAAACGCTGTAATCAGCAGAGAGGAGGTGTTTATGGGAACACCAGAGAGGAGGTGTTTATGGGAACACCAGAGAGGAGGTGTTTATGGGAACACCAGAGAGGAGGTGTTTATGGGAACAGCAGAGAGCAGGTGTTTATGGGAACACCAGAGAGGAGGTGTTTATGGGAACACCAGAGAGGAGGTGTTTATGGGAACACCAGAGAGGAGGTGTTTATGGGAACACCAGAGAGTAGGTGTTTATGGGAACAGCAGAGAGGAGGTGTTTATGGGAACACCAGAGAGGAGGTGTTTATGGTAACACCAGATAGGAGATGTTTATGGTAACACCAGAGAGGAGGTGTTTATGGGAACAGCAGAGAGGAGGTGTTTATGGGAACAGCAGAGAGGAGGTGTTTATGGGAACAGCAGAGTGGAGGTGTTTATGGTAACAGCAGAGAGGAGGTGTTTATGGGAACAGCAGAGTGGAGGTGTTTATGGTAACAGCAGATAGGAGGTGTTTATGGGAACACCGGAGAGGAGGTGTTTATGGGAACAGCAGAGAGGAGATGTTTATGGGAACAGCAGAGAGGAGGTGTTTATGGGAACAGCAGAGAGGAGGTGTTTATGGGAACAGCAGAGAGGAGGTGTTTATGGTAACACCAGAGAGGAGGTGTTTATGGTAACACCAGAGAGGAGATGTTTATGGGAACAGCAGAGAGGAGGTGTTTATGGGAACAGCAGAGAGGAGATGTTTATGGGAACAGCAGAGAGGAGATGTTTATGGGAACAGCAGAGAGGAGGTGTTTATGGGAACAGCAGAGAGGAGATGTTTATGGTAACACCAGAGAGGAGGTGTTTATGGTAACACCAGAGAGGAGGTGTTTATGGGAACAGCAGAGAGGAGGTGTTTATGGGAACAGCAGAGTGGAGGTGTTTATGGTAACAGCAGAGTGGAGGTGTTTATGGTAACAGCAGAGTGGAGGTGTTTATGGTAACACCAGATAGGAGGTGTTTATGGTAACACCAGATAGGTGTTTATGGTAACACCAGAGAGGAGGTGTTTATGGTAACAGCAGAGAGGAGGTGTTTATGGTAACAGCAGAGAGGAGGTGTTTATGGAAACAGCAGAGAGGAGGTGTTTATGTGATCAGCAGAGAGGAGGTGTTTATGGTAACAGCAGAGAGGAGGTGTTTATGGTAACAGCAGAGAGGAGGTGTTTATGGTAACAGCAGAGAGGAGGTGTTTATGGTAACACCAGAGAGGAGGTGTTTATGGTAACACCAGAGAGGAGGTGTTTATGGGAACAGCAGAGAGGAGGTGTTTATGGTAACACCAGAGAGGAGGTGTTTATGGGAACAGCAGAGAGGAGGTGTTTATGGGAACACCAGAGAGGAGGTGTTTATGGGAACAGCAGAGAGGAGGTGTTTATGGGAACAGCAGAGAGGAGGTGTTTATGGTAACACCAGAGAGGAGGTGTTTATGGGAACAGCAGAGAGGAGGTGTTTATGGGAACACCAGAGAGGAGGTGTTTATGGGAACAGCAGAGAGGAGGTGTTTGTGTGATCAGCAGAGAGGAGGTGACTATCTCTAACTAAACTGTATGAATATAAATAATTCTGCTCTGGTTCCCAGGTCAGCTCAGACCTCAGCTCAGACCTCTGAGAAGGACCTGCACGCTCTGGCTGAGATCCAAAGCCAAGTTAAAGAGCGAGAGAATGTGTTTTTTGATATGGAAGCCTATTTACCAAAGAAGAACGGGTATGTGCTTTTGGCCCATTCCTCTCCTGGCCCTGTTTTAACACAGTGTATTCTTCCTGCAGTCTGTACCTGAATCTGGTTCTGGGGAACATCAACGTCACGCTGCTTAGTGACCAGGCCAAGTATGTGCTCGACACCAGCAGGAGCAGTCACTCTGACTGCTTTAGTAGTTATGGCTCATGTGAATCTGAGACATTTCAGTTTCTAGTACAGTTTATTATCATTATCTTTATGAAATTATCTTTTATTTTGAAATATGTTCTACCTTTATCTAATATACAAATATTGCCATTTTCAGTTGATTTCTATATGGTCTCGGTCCTGGACTGGTTCTTGCACTGGTTTTCTAACAGAGAAGAGCCAATGCCTGTTACCATAGCAACACATTGTTTCTGTCAGCAGTTAGCATTTAGCATTAGCATTCAACAAAGTTCTGATGTACTTCAGTTATATTCACCAGTTTTAGCTAAGTGAGTGATGGTGAAATGCCTCAGAATTCCGTTGGTTTGACAGGGAGCAGTCAGAATGACTGTTCTAGCTCTGCCTGAGAATAACCGTACCCTTCCTCTGGGACAGATTTGCTTATAAAGATGAATATGAGAAGTTCAAGCTGTACCTGACCATCATCCTGCTGTTCGGAGCCATCACCTGCCTCTTCTGCTTCAACTATCGGTCAGTGTTGATGCTCACTTTTAAATGTTTAATTTGTTTGACCCCTCTATAATGTTATAATGGTCTCTCTCTCTGGTCACTCTCTTGCCTGTCTCTGTCTCTCTCTGGTCTCTTTCTCTCTGGTCTCTCTCTCTGGTCTTTCTCTTGTCTGTCTCTGGTGTCTCTCTCTCTGGTCTCTCTCTTTTGTCTGTCTCTGTCTCTCTCTCTGGTGTCTTTCTCTCTGGTCTCTCTCTCTGGTCTCTCTCTTGTCTGTCTCCAGAGTCACTGATGAAATCTTCAACTTTCTCCTGGTTTGGTACTACTGCACTTTAACCATCAGGGAGAGCATCCTCATGTGCAACGGCTCCAGGTGTGTCTGTGTGTATCTGTGTTTGTGTGTTTGTGTCTGTCTGTGTGTGTCTCTGTCTGTGTGTGTCTGTCTTTGTGTGTGTGTGTCTGTCTGCGTGTCTGTCTGTGTCTGTGTGTGTGTGTGTGTGTGTGTCTGTCTGTGTGTTTATAATGGGTGTGTGTGTTCTGTCCCAGGATAAAGGGCTGGTGGGTCTCTCATCATTATGTCTCCACGTTCCTCTCAGGAGTGATGCTGACCTGGTGAGTCTGGTGGTGTTACTGTGGTGTTACCGTGTTCCTACCGTGTTCTTACCGTGTTCTTAACATGTTGTTACCGTGTTCTTACCATGTTGTTACCGTGTTCTTACCATGTTGTTACCGTGTTCTTACCGTTTTCTTACCGTGTTGTCACCGTGTTCCCACCGTGTTGTTCCCACCGTGTTCCTACCGTGTTCCTACCGTGTTCCTACCGTGTTGTTACCGTGTTGTTACCGTGTGTGTTGTGTCCAGGCCGGAGGGACCCATGTACCAACGCTTCAGGAGCCAGTTTCTGTCATTTTCTATTTATCAAAGTAAGTTTCTCTGTAAAACTCATGGAGATGATGTCATTTCTATCGTCACTGTTTGGTTTTCTGTAAAAGGACACACTATAAAGTTAGACCTGCTTTATGTGAGGCCATGTTTCCACCAGTTCTACCCTACTCTACCCTACCCTACCCTACCCTACCCTGATTGAGAGTGTTTCCTCTGGTCCTGTGTGACCAGTACCAGGTCCTTCTTTAGTCCCTCTTGGTCCTGGTTCTATCCAGACCGAGCTGGTACTAAAAGACAGTGATTGGCTAGAGTGCTGCTGGAAGCCATGGTTACCAAGGAATTTCCACGGTTACTGGTTTGTTGTGGGTTGGTTACCAGCAGTGACGTGCGGTGAGGTTGGTGATTTGTGAGGCACTGACTTCACAAATCAGATAAACATATATCATATAAATCAACAGGACCTACAGAGTGGCTTTTTCACAATTTGTTTGGCTACAGCAGAATATGTTTCATGTCCGAATTGTTTGCTCATACCAAACACAATATGTAAAAAGCACATTTCAAAGTGTGTTATGGTCTTACCTTAAACCTGTACTGCACAGACCACTTCAGTTCAGTCCAGTTTCATGTTTAAGTCCAGATTATAGTTTGAGCGTAGATATGTAATCCTCCATTTAGAAATAAGTCCAATGAGTTTTAAAAAGTAAATCAAAACGGGTGTCTCCTCTATGGACTCCTCTCATGTTTTGCTGCAGCCGAGTCTCGGGTGCTTCCCATTTCTAAAATCAACCTTCTTACCCTTCACCTCTCTTCCTTATCATTCCTATCATCATTGGAAGCATAAAATTACCCTAAGTGAATTTTAAATAATATTACAATGTGTTACATGTATTTTAGCCAAACCTGTAGCTGCCCTTAGCAGAGTAAAAACAAGAAAGGAACTTTCTGATGAATTTGGATGCAGCCGAATTCTGGGCTCACATGCGCCCCCTACTCTGAGGCTGGCCTCAGTTGGTAACATTACAAGCCGTGATTTGAGCACGATTTAAGACCCATATTTGTTTTAAAAACACAATTCATGACCATCCTCTCAACTGTAGACATGTTGATTGTAGGAAATATGTTTGAACTTTGTAAACTGCGATAAACAGAGAGAACCGTTCGATAGCAGCACACGGGCTCCTGCCTCCGTGAACTACAGGCTTTTACGTTTCTCAAGTGAGGCTCGCCTCACAGCGCACCGCTCTGTCAAATATGACAAAAATATGTGATTTCAAGGTAAAAATTAATTAAATAAGTCAAAGTTACATGAAAATAATACAAAAACATAAATTACTTGATATAGTGACCAAGTATTATTTCCGTTTTATTCTTTTGTCTTCCCATGATCTAGGTGAGGCCAGGCCTCACTTGCCTCATCTGACCGCACGTCACTGGTTGCCAGGATACGGAAGAGTGGAGTAGGTAGCTTCAGATGTCAATACTTTTACATGTTGGACAAAAACCTAAAAAGCTCCTTAAAGCCATAATGAATAATGTTCTGGTACCTCTCTCTTGGTTCTGGAACTTATCTAATGATTCCTGGTACCCCTCCCATGATTCTAGTACCTCCCATGATTCTGGTACCTCCCCTGTGGTTCTGGTACCTCTATCATGGCATCTGGTACCTCTATCATAGTTCTGGTACCTATTTCGGGATTCTGGTACTGCTCATGATTCTGGTACCCCCCAATGGTGTCTGGTACTATTATGATCCCGGTACTTCACTGTCATGTTTCTGGTACCTGTCTCATGGTTGTGGTACCTCTCATGATTTCTGGTACATCTCTCATGGTTGTGGTACCTCTCTCATGGTTTCTGGTACCTCTACCATGTTTCTAGTACCTCATGATTGTGGTACCTCTCTCATGGTTCTGATTGTTTCTGGTACCTCTGTCTCAGGTTTCTTACAGTTCCTACAGTACTATTACCAGAGCGGCTGCTTGTACAGACTTCGAGCTCTGGGGGAGAGGAACCAGCTGGACCTCACAGTGGGTACGTGTTTATCTGTTTCTGGTTCAACTCTCAGACCATGTGGTGTCAGTGGAAGGTCAGAGGTCACAGTTAAGGTGGATCTGAACCAACGAAAACAAGATAAGATACAGTTAAGGTGGATCTGAACTGAAGGTGTCTCTGCAGAAGGGTTCCAGTCCTGGATGTGGAGGGGCCTGACCTTTCTCTTACCGTTCCTCTTCTTTGGACACGTGAGTGTGTGTGTGTGTGTGTGTCACTGTTGTATTGTGTGTCACTGTTGTTTTGTGTGTGTGTGTGTGTGCCACTGTTGTATTGTGTGTGTGTGTGTGTGTGTGTGTGTCACTGTTGTATTGTGTGTGTGTGTGTGTCACTGTTGTATTGTGTGTGTGTGTGTCACTGTTGTATTGTGTGTGTGTGTGTGCCACTGTTGTAGTGTGTGTGTGTGTGTGTCACTGTTGTATTGTGTGTGTGTTTGTTCGTCGCTATTGTATTGTGTGTGTGTGTGTCACTATTTTATTGTGTGTCACTATTGTATTGTGTGTGTGTTGCGTGTCACTAACACAGAAGTCTGTTGTGTGGTGTGATATAAAGTTGTGTGTCTGCTCCTCAGTTCTGGCAGCTGTATAACTCTGTGACGTTGTTCCATTTGGCTCAACATGAAGACTGTAAAGAGTGGCAGGTACCGGGTCTGAGACAGGTCTTCACTTTGACCATTCACTGAACAGAACTGTGTCTGCAGGTTTTCATGTTGGGGCTAACTTTCCTGGTCCTGTTCCTGGGAAACTTCCTCACCACTCTGAAAGTTGTTCACCAAAAACTACAGAAATATCTTGAAAAAGGAAAGAAAAAAGACTGAGGAGGAACTAGGAACCGGACCATTGAGGATCACATGACTGACTGAAGAGACTGCGGCGCCTGGAGTAGTCCGTCACAGAACTCTGTCTTCGAGACCAAGACCCGGATCTCACGCAGAGACGGTGGGTTTGGGTCGAAGCATCGTTATTCTTTGATAAGATGCGACGAAAGAATCAAAATAAAAACTCTTTGTTGAAGTGTTGTGCTCCTGCTTCAAAAGAGGTCTAGAACCCAGAGGTCAGAGGTCACACTGGTTTTCACAAGGAAGGGTGAGAGACCAGAGCAGGAGAGAGACAAAAGAAAAAGGGACCAAAGACTGAGGGTTAGGGTTAGGGTTAGGAGGAGGGTGAGACCAGAGACTGAGGAGGGTGAGACCAGAGACTGAGGAGGGTGAGACCAGAGACTGAGGAGGGTGAGACCAGAGACTGAGGAGGGTGAGACCAGAGACTGAGGAGGGTGAGACCAGAGACTGAGGAGGGTGAGACCAGAGACTGAGGAGGGTGAGACCAGAGACTGAGGAGGGTGAGACCAGAGACTGAGGAGGGAGAGACCTGAGACTGAGGAGGGAGAGACCTGAGACTGAGGAGGGAGAGACCTGAGACTGAGGAGGGAGAGACCAGACCAGAGAGAAAGGCACCAGAGACTGAGGAGGGAGAGACTTGAGAGAAAGGGACCAGAGAAGGAGAGGCGAGAGACCGCAGGAGGAGAGACCAGAGAGCAAGAGAACAAAGAGAGACCAGATTGACGGGAGAGGTGAGAGACCATTCCACCTCCACCCATTTCAAGACTTAAGGTCACTTGAGGAAATGGATGGAGTCTGAGAGATCCAGTCTTTAATTTAAGATGATCCTGTTCTAGTCCAGAGTCTGGGGGAGTTATTCTAACAATGCAGTGTTTTAAATTCATTCCTGATGAAACTTGAATCCAAACGTGTTTTAAACCATGAATAACGATTCTTCTGACACATGTTTGACGACGCCGCACAGACATTTGACCTGTGTGAAGTTAAATACCTGCAGTCTTTAACTCATTGACTGCTATTGACATATTTCTCTTAGACCCTCTTTTTGACTGGGGATTACAGCACAATAAAAATAGCTAAACAAAGTTATTTTTGCTGATCAAAGTAGACAATCCAGTCTTTCAGAATCTGGTTTCACATTTCACATAGTCTTAGGAAAAACTATTCTATGGGTCTTGAGAATCGGTGAAATAATCAAAAACGGCTGGCAGTCAATGAGTTAAACAGTGAACCGATAAAACACAGGAGCAGTCTGACCTTTTCACACTGCAGCGATCCCGCGCTTCACCACCAGTGGGCGCTATTGTAACGGTAATAGAACCGAGCCACGGCTGCTCCCAGGCAATCCAGGCAAGGTTAACGTGAATAAGCCTTGTTTCTACCCTACCCTACTCTACCCTGACAGTGATTGGTCAGAGTGCTGCTAGGAGTAATGAGTTTTAGTATTAGTAGTAAGGGGAGGAGTATTAGGACGAGGAGAGGTAGTGGTCAACAAAATATTTTAAACAGTCTTGAGGTTTAATAAATATTAGGCAAAGATCTTTGACGAATAAACATGTACACCTTTTGTATTTAAATTATTTCATTCTGACGTCTCTCCCTGAGTCTCAATCTGCGGTTACAGTTCAAACTAGCTCCACACGATCTTCCTCTTGTGCCTTTAGCCTCCTCTTCCTCGTCACAGGATCAGACATCTCCTTCGGTTGCCTCCTCTTCCTCATCACAGGACCTGACACCTCCTCTTGTGTCTCCTCCTCTTCTTCTTCCTGAAGACCAAAGCTCTTCTTGAAGCTTCTTTGAAAATATCGTCCACATTTTCTTGAAATTTTGCCGAGCACTCGAGATAAACCTCTGCATTCATCTGTCTGCAGGCGTCTTCCCCCTGAGAGTCACAAAACACACTGAGACCAGAGCGAGAGAGACCAGAGAGCGAGACCAGTGCGAGAGAGACCAGAGAGTGAGAGAGACTTGAGAGCGAGAGTGACCAAAGTCAGAGAGAGAGAGCGAGAGACACAGACCAGATAGACAGACCAGAGAGCAAGACAGACCAGAGAGCGAGAGACCAGAGAGCGAGAGACCAGAGAGCGAGAGACCAGAGAGGGAGAGACCAGAGCGGGAGAGACCAGAGAGAGATCAGAGCGAGACAGACCAAGACAGACCAGAGTGTGAGACCCTAGAGCGAGAGAAACCAGACTTGTAGCTGCTATACCCGATGGAAAGCAATAATCTGCTCAGAGCCCTAATCACATAAACACAGTGTATTTCCCCGCACTTCCTCATGTCTCTACTGTTCACATAAACACAACAAGAAGCAGGAAGCCGCAGCTGGTAGAGCATTGGCTGTTCTGGTCCAGCAGGTCCAGGTCCAGCAGGTCCTGGTCCAGCAGGTCCTGGTCCAGCAGGTGGTGTACTTACCTGTGTGTAGGTGACGGGTTCTAAGGTGGAGGCCCGTAGCTTCCTCAGGCACTCGTCCTCGTTCCTGAGGTCCGTTTTGCAGCCGATGAGGATCAAAGGAGCGTCTCCACAGAAATGCCTCACTTCTGGAAACCACTGTTTGGGGAAAATACTTTTGTTTGAGTTTGATATGAAGCTGACTGACCCTGACCCTGACCCCGTGTGAGGTGGGGCCTGTTTCCACCAGCGCTACTTGGCCCCACTTAGCTCGGCTCTACTCTATAGAAACTCAGGATGAAACTCTGTGTCTGTCTGTGTGTGTCTCTCTCTGGGTCTTTCTCCATGTGTCTCACCCTCTCTCTCCGTGTCTCACCCTCTCTCTCTGTGTCTCTCTCTCTCGTTTCTTCCTGTGTCTATTCTCTCTTCTAGTGTCTCACGCCCTCTCCCTGTGTCTCAACCTCTCTCCTGTGTCTCACCCTCTCTGCCTGTGTCTCACCCTCTCTCTCCGTTTCTCTCTCTCTACCTGTGTCTCACCCTCTCTCCCAGTGTCTCACCCTCTCTCCCTGTGTCTCACCCTCTATATGCTTGTCTCACCCCCCTCTCCCTGTGTGCACTCTCTCTCCTTGTGTCTCACCCTCTCTGTCTTACCCCCTCTCACTGTGTCTCACCCTCTCGCTCCGTGTATCACCCTCTCTCCCTGTGTCTCACCCTCTCTCTCTGTGTCTCACCCTCTCTCCCTGTGTCTCACCCCCCCTCCCTGTGTCTCACCCTCTCTCACTGTGTCTCTCCCTCTCTCCCTGTGTCTCACCCTTTCCCTGTCTCTCACCCCCTCTCCCTGTGTCTCACCCTCTCTGTCTGTGTCTCACCCTCTCTCCCTGTGTCTCACCCCCTCTCCCTGTGTGTCTCCCTCTCCCTGTGTCTCACTCTCTCTCCCTGTGTGTCTCTCTCTCTCTCCATGTCTCACACTCTCTCTCCCTGTCTCTCTCTCTCCTCTCTTCCTCTCTCCTCTCTTCCTCTCTGCTCTCTTCCCCTTGGGTCATGGTTCAACAGGCAATCATTTTAACATGTTTAATACACATTCAACCAGTCCGGCCCTCGTCTTGTAGCAAATTACAATTTTTTGTTGGCCCTCTGATGTATGTGACGGTGCTGAAGGCCCTGGTTCTGTCCAGGCCCAGAGCTGCAGATAAAGCTGAGTGTGAGGTCAAAGTTCGCTCTGGAGTTAATCATTGGACCCAAACAGAACAAAGTCAGCTCCAGTAATTATCTACAGAGCTACATCTACACCTGTTTGGTCTCTGCCCCTGGTTTGTACCTCTGTGTCTCACTGTCTCTGTCTCTCTGAGTCTCTCTCTGTGTCTGTCTCTCTGTGTCCCTGTCTCTCTGTACCTCTGTCTCTGTCTCTGTCTGTGTCTCTGTCTGTGTCTGTCTCTCTGTGTCTCTGTACCTCTGTCTCTGTCTGTGTCTGTCTCTCTATCTCTCTGTACCTCTGTCTCTCTGTCTCTGTGTCTGTCTCTGTGTCTCTGTCTCTGTGTCTCTGTCTGTCTCTCTGTCTCTTTGTGTCTGTCTCTCTGTGTCTCTGTCTGTCTCTCTGTGTTTGTCTCTCTGTCTCTGTCTCTCTGTGTCTCTGTACGTCTGTACCTTAACCAGGACGTTTTCGAAGCTCGTGGGGTTCGTCACATCGAAACAAACCAGAATGACGTCAGCCTCTTGGTACGCGAGGGGGCGGAGCCTGTCGTAGTCGTCCTGTCCTACCGACGAGAGAAGCAGGTCAATGACACTGCGCCTGTGTCAAACTCACGGCCCGCGAGCCAAACGCGGCCCCTGACACTCTGTCTGTGGCCCTGATAAGGATTTAAAGACATTAATCACTTGCAGCGTTGATTTTCATGACGACAATATTTTGCCTCAATTTACAGATAACTTTCTCAAGAAACCTCTGCATGTTGTGTGTTTACTATATTTAATTGCTGGAAACAGTCTTTTGTGTTTATTATTTTTGTTATTTTTCTTGCTTTTTTCTAGCTGTAAATGTTACTGCAGTACAATGTTCATGGTTTAACACTGATCCAGACCAAAACAGACAATGCAGTCAGAATTTCACTCTAAACCAGAGCAGAGAGAAAATAGTCTGAACGAAGCAGACTCTGGGACCTTTATTACTATTGTTTGTCACTTTTAGAATTATGTAATTATTTGTTTGTATGGATGGATGTGTTTCTGCTACTGACACTTTCTCCTACAGGGATCACAGTTTAATGAACGGCCTGTTGATTAACAGTGGCTCAGTTGGTAGAGCATTGGCCCTTAGAGCCCGAAGATCGTGGATTCAAGCCCACCACAAGACCTACTTCGCGACTCCCACTGATGACTGCTGTCCTTGGGCAAGACACTTAACCCCACTTTGCCTGAAGCCCTCGCTGAAAGATCAAGGCTCCTCAGCACCAGTAGGAGAATCAGTGAAGGGCTGGTGCTCTGTGAACTGGGTGCAACTCTGACTCCCACCCCCCGACCCAGAAATGGATTAAGGGGAAGAAAATGTATGGATGGATGGCTGTTGATCGACAGTTACAAGTCTTCGTGTGTGTCTCTCTCTGTGTGTCTCTGTGTTTGGACACCTCTGTCTTTAGTCGAAGGAAGTGTTGTTCGAACTGATACTTTATCTGCTCAGAACTACAGCAGGATGTGGTCTACACACAAACACACACATGTATATATATACAAACACACATGTACATACACACACACACATGTACATATACACACACTTACCTGCTGTGTCGTACAGGTTCAGTCTTACTCCACTTCCTCCCACTGTTATCGTTGTGTTGTATTTCTCGAACACAGATGGGGCGTAAGTCTAAAGTATTTCACACAAACAGGAAATAGTTTCTCAGACCTTTTCTGATTTCAGTTCAGGATCTTCACAAAGACAAAGTCTCGGTCATCGTTACCTCTGGAAAGTCTCCTTTAGCAAACACCAGCAGCAGAGAGGTCTTCCCACAGCCGCCATCTCCAACTATCACCACCTTTATCTCTGCTGTGCTTCCAGAGGGGTTCATGGTATGGTCTCTGTCTCAGGAGGTCTCTTTCTGAGGAGGTCTCTCTTTCTGAGGAGGTCTCTCTTTCTGAGGAGGTCTCTGTCTGAGGAGATCTCTGTCTCAGGAGGTCTCTGTCTGAGGAGATCTCTGTCTGAGGAGGTCTCTCTTTCTGAGGGCTCTGTCTGAGGAAGTCTCTTTTTCTGAGGAGGTCTCTGTCTGAGGTTAGAGACCTGACCTGACCATGTGTAATCTGTGATAGTCTTTCGCTCTCTGGTCTCTTTCTGGTCTCATTACTGTCTCTTTCTGGTTTGCAGAAGCCTCATGCAGCAGGTATCTGTCTGCATTGGCTGCTTCACCACTTCCTGTTCCTGTTCAAGCTGAAACGTTCACAATGACCCCGCATTCCTGCAGTGGATGAACAGCAGCTCTACTCTGAGCTCCTCATTAGACAGTCATTTTCTTTGTGTTTCTTTGTTTATATCTATATTTAAAAAACACACAGACACCTTTCTCCCTGCAGGTTATAGTTAATAGGTCTGTGTGTGTGTGTGTGTGTTTGTTTATAATAAAAACACTCAGGTTCTCTTGTTCATTCTGCATGGATTTCTTTATTCCAAAAATAAGCAGTTTTACAAACAACATAAACATTAGTCTCTGTAGGTTTATAGATTCGAAACAGCAAAAGCATTTATTTATTTCATTTCATTTTTAATTGTGGATAATTCACAACATATTAGAATTACATTATTAGAGACCAGAGAGAGACAGACATATTAGAATTACATTTCACATGAATGTAGGCCCACGACACAAAAGAAATGTAGCAGAGAAGAAAAAGATCTTGTGTCGTCTCTGCAACATAATTTATGACAGCAGTGTTCCTCAAACCTTAATATTGGTTTCATTTTTGTGTTGATCTTTTAGTTTCCATATTTCTAATTATTAATTAATAAATAATTATTAATTATTAATGCTTTGAGTCTCTAGCTTTATACATCAGAATGAGAGAGACCAGAGAGAGAGAGGTCAGAAAGAAACCAGTCACCAGAGAGAGTCCAGAGAGACCAGAGAGTCACCAGAGAGAGAGAGAGACCAAAGAGAGAGACCAGAGAGAGAGAGTCCAGAGAGACCAGAGAGAGAGAGTCCAGAGAGACCAGAGAGAGAGAGGTCAGAAAGAGACCAGAGTCACCAGAGAGAGACCAAAGAGAGACCAGAGAGAGAGAGAGACCAGAGAGTCACCAGAGAGAGAGAGAGACCAAAGAGAGACCAGGGAGAGTCACCAGAGAGCGAGAGACCAGAGAGAGACCAAAAGAGAGAGAGACCAGAGAGTCACCAGAGAGAGAGCGAGAGACCAAAGAGAGAGACCAGAGAGAGTCACCAGTTAGCGAGAGACCAGAGAGAGACCAAAAGAGAGAGAGACCAGAGAGTCACCAGAGAGAGAGAGAGACCAAAGAGAGAGAGAGAGACCAAAGAGAGAGAGAGAGACCAAAGAGAGAGAGAGAGAGAGGCCAAAGACAGAGGGACCAGAGATGGAGTCCAGAGGAAGACCAGAGAGACACCAAAGAGAGACCAGAGAGAAATTGAGACTGCAGAGAGAGACCAGAGAGAGAGACCAGGGAGTCTTTGGCTTTATACATCACATTGAGTGACTGTAGTTTCATGAGATTGTGTAATTTTAACAGTTTTGCGCGTATGAATAACTGCTTTGTGCTTTCTATTGAGTCCATGGATAAGTCTTGCTGATTTCTGTTGTCAGAAAACTAAAGGATGTATGTATGTACAGTATGTATGTATCCACATTCTCCCAAACTGTAGGTGAACTGAGATAACATCAGGGTACTGCACATTATCGCACATATGACTTTAGAAGTGTGAGAATAAAACACTGACCTACAATAGTGTGAGGCTACCAGCGAACAGAGGAAAAAAGCTTTCATAATGGTCCATCTGAACACAACAGTGAGGCTCAGAGTCAGATGCAGTGGATTAGAACGTCCCTGTGTATCGTGTGGCAGAGCACGGCTGCAGGCTACACACACACACAGAGAGACAGTCGCTTGACCCATGTTTTCCCTTAAGAACAAAGGCAGCTGTCCTGTGACTGCGAATATTCCAGATAGTCCGGTAATGCAGCCCACAGGGACAAAGGGCGTCTCACTCAACAAAAGGCAAGGGACTATTAATAACCTCAAGTGTTCAAATCAAAGACAAACATCCAAGAAAGACCCCACCATGTGCAGCTCAGTGTAGGACTGGCAGAAGCACTGAGGCTGACAGCCCCCTCTCTACTGGGGGCTGGTGCTGCGCTTGCGCTCGTCTCAAAGCTGCGTGACCTGCTTTACAGGAATGTGCAGAGAGTCGGCCCTGGATTAAGGTGAAGAGATACTGTAAATAGATCATGTATATGGTGAGGAAATAGTGTCGAATCCCAAGTTACAGAGCAGTAGAATGAGAGCCACACAGCAGAGAATCATAAGTATAGTACAACACTATAACAAATCTATTTTAGCTTAATAAAGAAGCAAAGTATCAAAATAAACCTATTCTCTAGTGCAAAGACCTAAAGATAGCATGTATACATCTGTCATACACTCCAGGGCAAGAATTGTGAAGTAAAAAGTCATTAGCTCAGAGGGTCAAATATTCAGTGATGATAAGATTGTACATGTTAGCAGCTAGAAGAACTGGCCTCTGGTTGCCATTAGCGACACTACCAGCTATGGTTTTTAACTGTCCATTAGTGTTGTGCTAAAGTGAATAGTTGATATTTTTCTAGTGTTGGCCTCATTCTACTGTTGTGTAAACCTGTGATGCAACACTGACATTAACCCACAGTGGGACCAATACACAGTCTGCTAATCCTAACCTTCATGGCAACAATCCACCAGACATGCGTGACCAGGGAGAGACCAGGGGGAGAGACCAGGGAGAGAGACCAGGGAGAGAGACCAGGGAGAGAGACCAGGGAGAGAGACCAGGGAGAGAGACCAGGGAGAGAGACCAGGGAGAGACCAGGGGGAGAGACCAGGGAGAGAGACCAGGGAGAGAGACCAGGGAGAGAGACCAGGGAGAGAGACCAGGGAGAGAGACCAGGGAGAGATCAGAGAGAGAGACCAGGGAGAGACCAGGGAGAGACCAGAGAGAGACCAGAGAGAGACTAGAGAGAAACCAGGGAGAGACCAGAGAAACCAGGGAGAGACCAGAGATAGATCAGAGAGAAAGACAAGAGAGAGAGATCAGAGAGAAACCAGGGAGAGACCAGAGAGACTAAAGACCTGGGAAAGACCAGAGACAGACTAGAGAGAGACCAGGGAGAGAGATCGGAGAGAAACCAGGGAGAGACCAGAGAGTCACAAGAGAGACCTGGGAATGACCAGAGACAGACTAGAGAGACCAGGGAGCAGGGAGACTGGAGAGACCAGGGAGAGAGATCAGAGCAAAACCAGGGAGAGACCAGAGAGACAACTATAAATAAATAAAAAACTATGTTTAGTATCCTCTCGTTTGCAAAAGTAAGTCCTCTATTATTAAATACTGGTCTGTTTGCTCGACAACAGAGCGACACAGCCCTTCTCCCGCAGCCTCATCAGACAAAGAGCTCTTGTTGTTGACTTGACTCGGGCGAGTTCCTCATGACCGTATATGGTAGCGCGCTGTCATGGCAACCGGCCAGAGCTCGCGCGTTGCCTTAGTAACCAGGGCGGTTCAAACCGGTTTGAGCCCTGATCTCCCCCCCCACACGCGCGCGCAGAGACACACACACACTCTCTCTCTGTATTTTAACATTCTCTCTAAAACCTCGAACAAAAACAATTATAAATCCTGGTTAGAAATCTTTGATAAATCCATCTTCCCTGGCCTGGTGCACGTCTCCGGGACTCGGGACACCATGTGTCTCTCCCCGTCATGGCGGCTCAGAGCCCGGTTGTCCTTTGTCTCCTGTCGCCATTTTGAGAGACGCAGGAAACCCATGTTCCTACGGGGTCGTTACCAAAGTCCTCTCGGATTCAGGAAAAACAGTCAAGAAAACACTTTTGAAATCAGATTGACAATTCTTTTGGATTATATGTGAAAACTATCTGTAAGTTTACATCACGAACAGCTTGATTTGATTACTTTGACATGCGTGAAATGGTTGTGTTTAAACAAGACTGAACCAAAGATAAGGAAATAGTCCATATTAATCCTGTTTATCTATAAGCCTTGAGCACATTAAGTACATGTAAGAATGAACCAAAGATAAGAAAGTAAGCCATTTTAAGCCTGGTTATCTGTTATCCCTTAGTACATAAAATACATTTAAGTTTTACAGCCTACTTCTCTGAAATCCTCAAACAGACCAGGCAGCTCAGATGAGATATGGAAAGATGCAGACAATCACAGACCTTTTTTATTCCTATATTTTGATGGATTCCTTGTTTTTCCAGGCGATACCACCCAGCCCTGTGTCAAAGCGAGGATAAGATGACACTGCAAATGTCCCTGCACTCAGGCCTCCTGTGTAGAGTGCTTCAAAAAGCTGAGGTAAATGGATATAGTTGTATTTAGGCATTAACAGGGAGTGCTGTCACTTACTAAGACGTTGCAAGACCCTGGCGAATGACTGGTTTTGAGAAAAAGAAGTAAAATGGTCCTGCAGCCACTGTCTATAATGCAGCTCACTAAAAAGGCTCGTCTCTCAGGGAAGTACAGCCCAAGCCCTGTTGCAGAGAGAGCAGAGTAAATCCTGCTGAGAGAACAGTGTACATGTTATTGAGGACCTTATAAAACACAATATACCCAACAGTAACCTCTGCAAACCACTTTAGTTCACCCCAAAGACAGATTCACATTACAGCCTTCACAGACGTCTGTTTAATTTGGTGAAATACAAAAATGATAGAGTACATTCCACAAAAACATGCTTCATTTACTGACTACAGATCATTAAGAATAAAAAAGTGACTTACTTATTGGAACTCTTATTTTACAAGGCCTCAAATACAAAAAAAAAAATCCACACATTCTATTTAGGCCTACATAAACTGTGTTCAACAATGATTCCTTAAACATAGCAGTTGTTTATTTAACACGTTTATAAGTTCACTTAATACTTTTATAGGCTGTGGGTGTGCCATGACCTAGTTAAGACAAAGATGGATTCCAAGAAGAGGAAAAATGTTCAAAATGTCCATTACATTAGGCTATCTTCCTTCTTCTCAGTCCTTTAAAGGGAGGAATCATAGTTTTATCATAGTCCAAAGAAGGTGAAATGTAAGATCCCTTTAGGAACAAAGGAAACCCATAAAGGCCATGAGTCCTGTTTCAGGAAAATGGCTGCCAGAGCGTGTGCCCCCTCTCTCTGCTCTGTGTTGAAGGACTCCTGAGCTGTGGCTCTAATAGCAGTCTGCTCCTCTGCTGCTGAGCTGTGATTGGACAGACGCACCGCCTCTATTAACCAGCCAATTGCCCGAGCAGAGACACAGCTCCTGCAGAACGGCTGGAGTTTGACACACAAATAACCTCAACGCATTAGAATAGTCTTGTATATTATTATAGTTAGGCTACACTTAATATTTACTTATTTTGTGTTGTGTTGCGGGCTCCTGATGCCTATTGTTCTGTAACCTGTGATACAACAGTGACATTTTCCACTGTGAGACAAATACAGTGTCTTTTGATCTTAATCTGAATATAAAATAGACGCACAAATGCCCACATGCTTCACTGTGACATCAGCTTCAAAGCTCGATGTGCAACACTTATGTCACTTTGAGTTATATTAATTCAGAACGATGAAAGATTTAAATAGTCGCCATATTTATTAGCATTATTTACGGACACACAGCTTTTTAAACATTATTGGGAAAAGGGTATCGGAGGATTTTTTACTTCCGGGTGGATCATCAAGACTATTGGTCCTCTCAATTGTCAATCATTCTGGTGATATGTGCTCGTCAAATAAGACCAGAGAGTTTTGCTTATTTAGGGAAATCCATTATACATTTAAATGCTACATGATAGAGGGAGCTGGAACTTGTGGCTAGTCTGTTAGGTAAACGTATCCTGATAATCCCACATGGTCCACAGTTTAAGTGAGTTTTAAACAAATACATGGACGCGTCAACCTGAGCTCACGCTGGACCTCAGATGCACCATATCACTTATAAACATGAATATTCAGTTACTGCCGCTTACCTTTAGTAAAGTACGAGTTCCAGGGAGGGTGTTTTTGGGGTAAAAACAGTAAAGTTTATAAGAATCATGTTTTGTATCTGGCTACTCTCTGTTATTTGTGAACCCTGACCGCAGATTCTACACACTCACAGAAAAATGAGAGAACCGAGGTTTGGTAAAGCAGAGTATCTTAATTATTATTCCACACGTTTCCCGTCTTGGAAAAGCTTGTTTAATAGTATCCATCCCCGGACAGAAGACACCGGAGCGAGTTGTGTCGAATCTGCGACCGTGGCGTCCGGAGGATAAGCCTAGTGGTGTATTGTGGGAGAGACAGCAGCTACAGACCAGAGGCACAATATGTGTTGGCTCTCGCCTAAAAGGAGGCAGTATTTTTCAAGCTAAACCATGTAATGTACGCGGCGAAAGGAACGATTTTGTGTCTTTTCGTCAAAACCAATAGCAGTGTATTGGGCGAATCATGTCCAAGCCCGGGGAGAGAAACAGACTGAACGAGGACCATGGCAGAAAACAGAGTTCAAGTAAGCTGGTTCTTTTCCCTCTTTCTCCAGCCCTTCTCTGTGTTTCCGTGACTGTTGTTGTATTTCACAGCGTGTGGATGTGTAACCTGCATTACAATCATATGGTGCATGGTTAAATGCAGTTTGTTGCCAGCCACTGCTTCTTTAGTAACGTCGCTCTTGTTTCAGGTTTGGCGAACGGCATGGACAGTCATTCTGGCTCCACGGAGAAGCGGAATCACCACTGGAGAAGTTACAAGTTGATAATAGACCCAGCGCTGAAGAAAGGATCCCAGAAACTCTACCGCTACGATGGGCAGACGTTCAGCATGCACGTAAGTGGTCCGCGGTGGGGATGGGGTTCCCCGGGGCCGAGGTCCTGGAGAGTCGCTGGACTTCTGGGCACTCTAACGCGGTGTCCGAGCTCCACGAAGCCGCCCTGTCCGCCCTGCAGCTCGGTCATGTGTGCTCAGACCGCGCGGATAACTACATGTCATCTGTTTGTAACGCAGAACCCCGGATTACCGCCAGTGGACTCGGTTCGGGACCCACGCATCGGGCGCCTCTGGACCAAGTACAAAGAGACCGACTTACCTGTGCCCAAGTTTAAGGTAGTGTTTCTTAAAGACAGCAGATGTGATGCCATGTGTGCATGTGCTGACACACCCCCTTCATCTTTGGGATGTGGATGAGTCTTAGAATGACAGCAGTGACAGCACTGACAGCTCCCTACACATTCTCCTCAGTCTGACAACTAACCTGCTTTAGCATTATTGTCACGGGATCATTTCAAACTCACTGATACAATCACATTTCACTTTTAGTCCAGCCTCATGCTTCTAACATGTACAGTAGCATCACATGCTAACATGTACTGTAGTATCACATGCTATTATGTACAGTAGCATAACATTCTATCATGTACAGTAGTATCACCAATGTGAATATTTGAACTCTCTGAGCTGATGACTTGTGTCTGTAATATTCTTGCATGTATTTATAGTTATAAAACATATATATGTCCATACAAGTTTATCCTTTTCAATGTGTGTGTACTTCTTTATACTTTGCTTTTTTCATTAGACCAATGATAGAGATAGAGCTAATGACAGAGATTGTAATGTATAGAGTTGTGTAGTACTTAATATTTACTTATCTTGTGTTTTATGTCGTTCCTACTCTTCTGTAACTTGTGATGCTACACTGACATTTCCTGTAAAACGAGAACAGAATCTCTTCATCCTAATCTCTCACCGTTTGTTTCCAGATCGATGACTGCTACATTGGACCGGTGCCCCCAAAGGAGATCACGTTTGCCCGATTAAACGACAACATAAGGGAAGGATTTCTTACTGACATGTGCAAGAAGTTTGGAGAAATCGAGGAGGTGGAGATTCTGTACAATCCTAAAAACAAGAAGCACTTGGGGATCGCTAAAGTGGTATTCGAGTCGGTGAAATCAGCCAAAGTGTGCGTTCAGTCGCTGCACAACACGTCAGTGATGGGGAGCCTGATCCACGTGGAGCTGGACCCCAAAGGTAAACCCTCACATGTATTGTTTATGTGTGTGCCTGGGGAGTTGGGTAATTGAATTTCTCTCAAACCAAAGCTGTTCCCCAGAGTCCTCCCTCTGAGCCTCATTTCAGACCTGTACACAAACACGCTGAGCGAAGGCGGCTGCACCTGTTAAATATATTGTTTTTTATTTCATTCTGTGGTAATTATTACTACACATTATTATTATTTCTGTCATTATTATTATTATTATTAACTGAAATGAATGAATGGTTACTTTGTGTTAGCGGCAGAGGGTCTCACTGGTCTCTCTCTCTGGTTTCTCTGGTCTTTCTGTGGTCTATGTCTGGTCTCTCTTTCTAGTCTCTTGCTAGTCTCTCTGGTCTCTTATAACTGACTGAAATGAAACCTTAAGTTGCTGTAATTAAACCTTTAATGTGTTCACCTGTGTCTTTGTTGTTTATTGCATTAACATAACATTAGATCAGGCATGTACAAACTGAGGCCCACGGACCCTCTTTCATATGCCTCTGTCGCTAACACAAAGTAACCATAAACATTTCACCAAGTGTCATTCTGGCTGACCTCAGCTCTGCCAATGTATGTTGGACATGTTATAGAGAATCCACTTGTTGATTGAGTTTGACTGTTTCCTTCAGGTGTCTCTCCTGGTCCCTCTCTGGTCTCTCCCTGGTCTCTCTCTGGTCTCTTCCTGGTCTCTCCTTGGTCTATCCTTGGTCTCTCCCTGGTCTCTTTTGGTCTCTCTCGTGTTTGTCGACGCCTGCACTAGACACATGTACAGAAACATAATTTTCTCTGCTTCAGGTTTGACTCTTTTCCTCTTTCAGGTGAAAATCGCCTTCGATACTTTCAGCTCCTGATGAATGGAAGCTACACGCCGCGGACGCTTCCAGTTGGTGGTGACGAGACTAAAGAAGTCTCCCCTCGAACTCTTGCTGAAGCCCTATTGGTAAGACAAGGTTGTGGATTCTCCAACAACAGATCAGAAAATCAAACGGGAAATGCAATTATAACAAACAGAAATCTAATGTCTCTACATCACTGTCATTGTACAAACTGAGTAATAATAATAATAATGCATTGCTTTTATATAGTGCTTTTCTGGACACTCAGACGCTTCACAGCATTATTCTAGGCAATGTGGGGGAAGTGTCTTGCCCAAGGACACAACAACAGCAGTTGGAGAAAGTCTTGTGGTGGGCTCAAACTCACCTCAGGCTCAAAGGCTAATGCTCTACCACCTGAGCCACTATCGCCCTGAAGATGTCTTTTGTTTTGTCTTTGCTTGTCCATTTAAGTACAATGTGTTAGTAATTATCATTATTTATATTGACCTTATTTGATCCTCTCATCCTGAATCCTGAGGCTACTATGTGTGCCCTGAAATATGTCACATGTCCTGAAGGCCCTACGTGGCTGAAACACTTTGCTAGTCCCTGTTTATTTAAGGTGTTTTTAGTGCCTCGGATCTCCTCCTTTCTCAAAATCAGCTGTATGTGTGTTGTGTGTCCCAGGCGTGTGAGCCCATCCGGAGGTTGTCTGAGAGCAGTGGACCTCTTCCTCCCAGTAACTCCACGACTCCTCTGTCGTCTGAGGCGGGATACTCCAGTCTGCGGCAGGACACGCCTCAGTCCCAGGGCACGCCTCACACCCCACGCCAGAGCACCACGCCCTTCTCCCAGGACTCCAACTACTCGTCCCGTCACTCCACGCCTGCGTACCAGTCCAGCCGCGCCGAGAGCTCCGCGGGGGGCTACAAGTCCCGCAGACACGACAGTAAGTTCCAGGACGCCTACAACCGGCGCCCGGAGAGGCCTCAGTACCGGAGCTCCATGTTCAGGTCCGAGCACAGCAGCTACAAGCAGCAGGCCACACCCCCTGAGCCTCCACCACCAACACCAACGTACCAATACTCTGCTCCCACTCCCCCCACGCCTAGCTTCAAGTCCAACTTCTCACCCTATCAGACCCCCCTCCCCCCCGCCTTCCCCCCTGCGGAGCCTGCCTACCACCACCCGTCTCAGAGGGACACGTACCTCAGACCTCCTCAGCCGCCTCCAGAAGCTCCTCCTGAGTTTGTGCCCATCAAAGATGGACCAGAGACCCCCCCAATCCCTGAGCCCCCCCCCTGAACCTGTTCCCCAGCCCACCACCCCGCCCCCCCGGACCCCTGAGCGCTGCCCCTCTCCCAGCTCCCCCAACATGGACTCAGAGCGCAACAGTCTGGACTCCAGGATTGAGATGCTGCTCAAGGAGAAAAGGACAAAACTGCCTTTTTTAGCCGAGCGCGACTCGGACCCAGAGGTGCGGATGGAGGGCAGCCCCATCTCCTCCTCCTCCTCCCAGCTCTCCCCCATTCCCCCCTTCACAGGCAGCTCTCAGGGGGCTCACACCTCCCGTCCCTGTAGCACCGGTCTGGAGGACGTGAGCCCAACTCCACTGCCAGACTCTGAGGACGAGGAGCTGCCGCTGTCCACCGCCGCACTCCTGCAGAGGGTCAGCTCTCCTCTGAGGGACAAACGCAGCAAAGACAAAGATGGCCACTATCGAGCACACACGCCCACGGAGAAGATGGACCAGGTGAGAAACCCCTTTTTATCAGGATAACTGCTTTTACTGCTGCTTTTTACTGTACTCTCTTTTTATACTTATGTATTTATATAGCACCCCCAACCAACACCATCCAATCACTCACTCATTACGTTCATACCTACTGTTTTTTAGTGCATGTACATGTTCTTTAATAGTAGGGGAAACCGGAGCACCTGGAGGAAATCTACACAGGCACGGGAAGAACATGCAAACTGCACTCAGAAAGGCCCTATTCAGATTGGGATCCGAACCCAGGACCTTCTTGCTAAGAAGCAAGAGTGCTCAACTCAGTGGCGCCTGTTTTGTTTATTTTTAAGCAATGTTTACAATGTGCTGCACGTGGCATAAAATAACAACAAAATAAGAAATACAGGTAAAAGGGATTCAACAGACACGCAACTAGGGATGAAAACATTTATTAACTAAGTCATCAAAGTAGTCTCTCTGCCTTCTCTCTGGTCTCTCTCTGGTCTCTCTCTGGTCTCTCTGCTCTGCCATCTTTCTCTGTGCTCTCTCTTTCTGGTCTCTCTCTCTGGTGTCTCTGTGAACAATGAAGCAGATGCACGTGCTTCAGGAAGTGGGCTCTAGTTTCAGAAGTAGTAACACACTTTCCCTTTCTGTCTCTGTGTTGTCAAATTCTTCTGTCTTCCTCAATGTTTTTCTCTCTTCTTTCAGTTTGAACTTAGATATTTAATTCTTAAATTAAAAATATCTTTGTCTAAACTGTTAATGTGTTAATGTTAGTTTGGCTCAGTTTCCAATGTGTTGCAAGTCTTTAGTTTCTGAGATAAGAGCACAGTTTGGCTGTTGACCTGCACTTCCTGGTTCTACAGGATGAACTGATCCGATTGGTCGAACGTGTCTCGTCTCATGTTTCAAGCAAACAGTGCGAACAGGTCATTTGGTTAACGACGCCGCTCCCATCCTAATGCTGCACTTTCATTTCTATGAACTCAGTACTGGGTCTAACAAAAGATGGAGGTTATTTACACTTTTCTAGAACCGTCAAAAATCTTATGGTTCTTCTCAGTTTTATTAAAAGTAGGTCATCTTTAAGGTTTTTTTAACCGTTGCTCTATTTTTAGTAAGTGCTAAAACTGGTGAATATAACTTGAAATGGAGCAAAACATAGTTGGTGGAAAAGCTGCTGAATGCTAACTGCTAACAGTAAACGGTGTGTTGCCATGGTAACTAGCACTCGTTGTTCTCTGGGCAACCACAGCTCTGGAGTTATAATTCTTCACATTTCCAAAATAAAAGATGATTAAATAAAAACAATGACACATTTAGGAAGATTAAAAAGGTAAACACGATGAGTAATAACACTTCCCAAAACCTGTCAAATGGACTGCTCTGATGCACATGGATGAACAAGAAAAGAAACATTCATAAATAATCACAGTGCATTGAAAAGAGTAAAGACAAAATCCTTCAGTTGTTGCAGCAAAACAGAACTGTTTTTAACATTGTCAGAGAAGAAGCCTGTCTCCCATTTTCAGGAAGACTGTTCCAGATTTTAGCTGCATAAATCTGAAACGCTGTAATTGAGTTTTGAACAAAAACTGAGCAAAGTTTCAAGAAGCAGGAGTTGAACCCATTCACACAGGGCTCACCCCACTTTAGAATCTGGTACCATATCTTAGCCACCCCCCATAACAAACCAGAATCTATAGAAATTCCTTGGTAACCATGGCTTCCAGCAGCACTCTGGCCAGTCACTGTCAGTTAGAACACGTTAGCACCAGCTCAGCCTCGATAGAACCAGGACCAAGAGGCACTAAAGAAGGACCTGGTACTGGTTACAGAGGGAGTTTTACTGGACAGAACCAGGACCTTCACCTTCACTGTCTGATGGTGGTGGTCCGACTCATCTCTGTCACGGTTTTTATTTTATTTTCCTGTTTTACAACCAACTGTTCAGGGACTACAGGTGTAAATTAGCACTGCTGCTACAACCTGGTACAATGCATCTCTTCTTTTGGCTAATGTTTATTGTACACTGTCCCTGTCTGTAATAAATAAAAAATATACCAATTGCCTCTGTCTCCATCCTCAGAGTCAGCAGTCGTCCGGAGAGGACATGGAGATCTCGGATGACGAGATGCCGAGTACGCCCATCACCGGAGACTGCGCCAAAGGCATCGTGGTGAACTCTGCTCTGTCGCCGCTGCACTCTATGGCCCTGCACCCCTCCAGCCTCTTCCACCAGGGGGGGTACGCCCTGCACCACTACGGTCCTCACCCTCACATGGGGGACCCTCACGGCCTCTCTCACCACATGCTCCCCCACATGGACCCCTACGCCCACGGCATGGTGCCCCTGGTGCAGGTGGAGCTGATGAACTGCCTGCGCTGGGAGCAGTGGAGCTCGGTGCCCATGTCCTTCCAGATGCAGCAGCAGGTTCTGAGTCGCATGGCTCAGACCCGAGGGCCGTACCCCTACCCTCAGTACATGGACAGCAGCTTTGGGCCCTACCCCCCTCTGTCTATGAGCACTTCCCCAGTGAGTGGAGCTGCTCCTGGGCATCAGTGGCAGCAAGCTAGCGTACCAAAGTTCAACCCCACGGTTCCTCCACCTGGGTACGACTCCCTGAAGGACGATCCTCACAAAGCCACAGTGGACGGAGTCTTGTTGGTCATCGTCAAAGAGCTGAAGGCCATCATGAAGAGGGACCTGAACCGCAAGATGGTGGAGGTGGTGGCCTTTAGAGCGTTTGACGAGTGGTGGGACAAGCAGGAGCGCTCGGCCAAGGTAACTACATCAACGGGTTGGAACAGGGGTGTCAGATGGTCCTCAAAAGGCAGCCGAGGGTTTTAGTTTGAAACAGCCGGAGCAGAGCAGACTCCACCCATTCCCACATATCTTCAGAATAAAACAGGACTCACCTGAGGAAACGGGTGGTCCGCGGTGCTCCTGCCGTTTGGAACCAAAAACCCGCAACCACATCTTTGAGGACCGGTTTGACAGCCCCAGGGTAAAGGTTATTTTACTCGACTTAACTAAGTCTGAAACTAGTTCTGCCTAATCACCACATGATTAGAAACATGATGCTAATGACGTCTCTGATCAGACTCTGACCACGCCCCCTCAGATTAAAAAACATAATAAAGACATCACTAACTTACATGTAGCACTTCTCACGCTAATGCAGCTGTAAGAGCTTTGTTCTTCTTACACAGGCGTCTGTGACACCAATCAAAGGCACAGAAGCTAAAGATGAAGAACCCAAACCCAAACCTAAAGAAACCATGGGCTCCAGTCTGTTGGAGAACTGGAACAAAGGAGAAGGTCTGGGCTTCGAGGGAATGGGGCTCGGCATCGGTCTGAGAGGAGCCATCCGCCTGCCGTCCTTCAAGGTTAGCCTCTGTGTGTCTCTGTCTCTGTGTGTTCTCTGTCTCTGTGTGTGTGTCTGTCTCGGTCTCTGTGTGTCTGTCTCTGTCTCTGTCTCTGTCTTTCTCGATGTCTGTCTCTCTGTGTCTCTGTCTCTGTGGTTGTCTCGCTCACCGGTGTGCTGTGGTCACAGGTGAAGAGGAAAGGTCCTGATGCCACCGCGGTCAGTGAAACTAAACGTCCTCGACCGTCCACTCCAGTGGACGACAAGGACGGGAGCAAACCAACCGAGTGCAAGCTGGATGAAGACGCGGCGGCGGCCAAACGGCGGCATTCCCGACCTCTGGAGCTGGACAGTGAAGGAGAGGAGGCCGACACGTCTGAGAAGGAGGAGTCTCTGTCCGACCGGGAGGAGGAGCGAGAGGAGGCCGAGGCCAAAGGCATACCAGCGAGCAAGGTACAAGGCTGCAGTGTGCATGCTAACAATGCTAACATAGACTGTATACAGATGGACAATGCTAACACAGACTGTATACAGATGGACAATGCTAACACAGACTGTATACAGATGGACAATGCTAACATGCAACTTTTAAAACTCGACTTAAATGCAATGATATATGTGTGTGTTTCTCTGTGACACTGTAGTGGCAGTAGTAGATGTGTGTCTGTCTCTGGTTGTGTAGCTGCAGTAGTAGATGTGTGTGTCTCTGGTTGTGTAGCTGCAGTAGTATATGTGTGTGTGTCTCTGGTTGTGTAGCTGCAGTAGTATATGTGTGTGTGTCTCTGGTTGTGTAGCTGCAGTAGTATATGTGTGTGTGTCTCTGGTTGTGTAGCTGCAGTAGTATATGTGTGTGTGTCTCTGGTTGTGTAGCTGCAGTAGTAGATGTTTGGGTCTCTGGTTCTGACTGTCGCTATTGTCCTCAGAGTGAAGAGGATAGCGACGAAGAGCAGGACTCGTCATCTGAAGACGCGTCCTCAGATTCCTCAGATGAAGGTACCAAAACAAAACTGGAAAGTGTGTGTGCGTCTGTGTGTGTGTGTGTGTGTGTGTGTTTATTTTCAATAAGTGGGTTCAGTGAATTGGGTGGCAGCTGATGGCCACCCCCCCAACCCGGAAATGGATTAAGGGGAAGAAAATAGATGGATGGATATTTTCAGTGTTGCGCACATTACTTTGAAAAAGTAGTTAGTTATAGTTACTAGTTACTTCTCCCAAAAAGTAACTGAGTTACTCCACTATAAAAGTAACCTGTGTTACCAGTAAAAGTAACTATTGCGTTACTTTTTTGTTTCGTTCTAGAACATAATGTGCACTCGACGTGCACATTATTACCTTTTAACCTCGGTGAGTTTGAAATAGTGGTGATATTTCCATTTGGAAAAGGCTGTTCTGTTGCTGGAGTCCTCCTCACTCTTCATCTCTCTCTGTGCTGTAAGCTCTAAACACCAGTGACAAGCGGGGAGGCTGGTGATTGGCACTGACTGTATGAAAAAACACATTTTAATGTGTGTTATGGGCCTTACCTTAAACATGACCTGCTCAGACCAGCTTCATGTTCCATTTGGAAATAAGTCCAATGAGTTTTAAAAAGTAAAACAAACAGGGCACTCCTCCATAAACTCCTCTCGTGTTTTGCTGCAGCCGAATCTCGGGTGCATAAAATTTCTAAAATCAACCTTCTTACCCTTCACCTCTCTTTCTTATCACTCATATTGTCATTGGAGCATTACCCTAAGTGCATTTTAATCCATCCATCCATCCATCCATTTTCTTCCACTTTATTCGTTGCCGGGTCGCGGGGGCAGCAGTCTAAGCAGAGACGCCCAGACTTCCCTATCCACACACACTTCCTACAGCTCATCCGGGGGAACCCCAAGGCGTTCCCAGGCCAGCTGGGAGACATAGTCCCTCCAGCGTGTCCTAGGTCTTCCCCGGGGCCTCCTCCCCCCCATGCATTTTAAGTTATCTTAAAATGTGTTATATGTATATTAGCCAAACCTGTTGCTGCCCTTAGCAGATGAAGAACAAGAAAGGAGCTTTGTGATGGAATTGGATGCAGCCGAATTCTGCGCTCACATGCGCCCCCCTGAGGCTGGCCTCACTTGGTGACATTAAAAGCCGTGGTTGAGTGCGATAAAGACCCATATTTGTTATGACCCATCCCGTCAACTGTAGATAACTGTAGACATGTAGATTGTAAAGGAAATATGTTTTACATCAGCCAATACTTGCTGAGAGGTTTTCTCATCCTCGCTTCTCTCATGACAACACGTGCACGAGTCCTATCATGAAGTTATAAAAAAAGTTCATCATGCGATGTGAGTAACGCGCAGTAACGGGGTGTCGGCAATGATAACGGCGTTATAGTGACAGCCAAATTAATTAGTTAGATTACTCATTACTGAAAAAAGTAGTCTGTAAACGTTTATTTCAACGCTGTTATTCCCATCACTGGATATTTTTTAATGTTTATCATTAAAATCTGTACTATGCAGAAATATCCCAGGTTTAAGACCACAGAGAGGGCCCTGTGCTCTGGGTTTCAGACCACAGAGAAGGCCCTGTGCTCTGGGTTTCAGACCACAGAGAAGAAAATGTGAAAGTGTTTCCTCTCCCCTCAGATGACGCACAATCCGTCGTGTCTAAAGCCAGCTCGGACTCGGGATCTGCGAGCTCGGACTCTTCTGAGTACGAGGTGAGCTCTGAGGAAGAGGAGAGCGAGGAGGAGGAAGAGCGAGGGAGTGAGGTGGAGGACGGCAGTAAGAAGACCTCCTCATCCTCCTCTTCGTCGTCGTCCTCCGATGAGAGCGAAGCTGAGACAAAGGAGGCCCCTGGTTCCCCACCTCTATCAGACACACAGGAGGCCAGACCCCCGAGCCCAAAGGAGCCAGAGGAGAAACTCAGGCCGCCATCGCCACGGGCCACAGGTGAGACCCGTAGGACTGAGGCTGTAGACCCAGGACTGAGGCTGTAGACCCAGGACTGAGGCTGTAGACCCAGGACTGAGGCTGTAGACCCAGGACTGAGGCTGTAGACCCAGGACTGAGGCTGTAGACCCAGGACTGAGGCTGTAGATCCAGGACTGAAGCTGTAGACCCAGGACTGAAGCTGTAGCCCCAGGACTGGACGCCTAAATGTGTTTATCGCTTGCAGCTGTTTCTCCATGGCTCTAAAGCTGAACATCTTTCTCTCTTCAGTGAATCTCTCTGATGATTTTGGGAAGTCTCTGGTCTCAAACCTCCGTCCTCCGACTCCCACCGGTGTCCAGGACAGTGACGCCGAGTCCAAAGGTAAAACTGAGACAGAGAGCGCTGTGGTTCCTCCTGTCGAGCCCTCTGCCTCCAAACCCTCTGCATCTCTACTGCACCTCCCTCTCCCTTCGTCTCTGGAGCGTCGCTCTCTCCTCCACCCTCCCCCCTCCTCCCTCTCAGACCTCCCCCAGCAGCCGGACCTCCCCCATCGGCCACGCCTTCCCACAGAGGAGGAGCTGCCCAGGACTCCCGGCCGTGACCTTCTTGGGCGTGCGCGGAGCCTGGGTAAGTCCCAGAGCACGGACACGGTTCCCGTCACCCCCGGAGGAGACGGTCCTCTGACGGGCAGCAGTCTCCTCAGCTCCCCTCACGTCCCCGGCAGTCCCTTCTCTTACCCCGCCCAGTCCCCTGTCCTCAGTGCTGGCCTCCCTCGGACTCCAGGGAGAGATTTAACCTTCGCTCCTGTGTTCCCTGACCCCACAGCGCTGAGCAGGACCAGCTCCACAGACGATGGAGCCGTGTTCAAAGAGCCTCCTCTCAGTGCGGCTCAGAGTGTCTCTGAGGACACGGCTCTGTCTCTGCATGTCCCTGCTCCGTCGGACAAGAAGAAAGCTGCCAGACTCAAGTCCAAGAAGCCTGCAGTGGTGCCTGAGGAGAATGTGAAGGCCCCGGTGGCCCCTGAGGAGCCTCCTCGGTCCCCTGACCTCCCCACATTGGACTTCAGGGACCAGGAGGAGCCTCAGACCGTGGTGGACGACGGCTTCTTGTCGTTGGACGACGAGGAGCGAGTGGTGAAGCCGACGCGGAGAGCGCGCAGGACGTACGAGGAGCTGCTGCTGGGCTCGCTTTCTCCCGTCTCCACGCCGCGGCACACTTACTTCAAACCGCGGTCAGACTTCGAGGAGATGACGATTCTCTACGACATCTGGAACGAAGGCATCGACGAGGAGGACGTTCGTCTTCTCAAGGTCACCTACGAGAAGATGCTGCAGCAAGACAACGGCAACGACTGGCTCAACGACACTCTGTGGGTCAACCACCCAAATATCCTTTAACTCTGAAGAGGGGAAATGCCAAGGTTGTATCGCAGGGTAGAATGAAGAGCACACAACTCCAGATGGATATAGGTTTGAGGTTTAACACCTGTTGGACATGACACACAAACAACAACAAGGTTCTTACACTGCACAGTCCCATTAATGCAAACACAATAACACACTCGTAAAAGACCACAGATCATAACAGTGTTCACACAATAAGCAACAAAGTACATACAATGACTAAAGTGCTAGTGCGGTGCAGAAAGAAGTACAACAAAGTGCTTGTACAGTTGGAAACACTAAAACCATTGCACACAGAAACCTGAGAGCGCCTGCATCGGCCCGAGAGAGAAGACTGTTCAAGTTTTCTGCTTTTAATTAATATCAAAACTCTATAAGACCATTAGATTCTCAGTTACTGAGATGTCTCATTCATTATGGCTCCTAAAAAGTACAACAATCCTCTATCCATTTGTGAATGTATTCTGGCTCCTCTAACCCTGTTATAGTGGAGTGTTGGAAATCAGCAAAAATGTGAGGATTTGATAGTACGGCCATATTTTGGCCACAGTTTGCAGTTCTGTGATATATTGTGATTCATGTCCCTCATATTATTCAAAGACTTTACAAACATGGAGAAAAATAAGAGTCATGTTTCTGACATTATGGTTCTGTCACAACAAGCCGCAGTCACAGAACCCCTCTTAGTATTAAAACAAAGTATTGTGATATTTATTTAAATATTAATTAATGTGATACTGAGCAGAAATAGATTTTTCCCCCCAAACACTAATCCTTGATGTTTTACTGAGGCCTTTAACTACCTCAGGTGTGTTCTGGGAACAGAGAACAGCTCCCTCTGGTGGTCACACTGTGTCATGTCTAGACTTCATAGACTCTGAGTTAGTTTGGTCCAGGTTTTTCCTTGACCGCGCTGCACCGACCAACATCCCCGGAGTGAAGAAGAAGCGGCGAGACGACGGAATGCGAGATCACATGACCGGCTGCGCTCGGAGCGAAGGCTACTACAAGATCGACAAGAAGGACAAGATCAAGTACCTCCAGAGCACGCGTCTTCTGTACGACGAGGTGCCCTTCGACACGCAGGTGAACACCCTTCACATGTTCACTTTTATTTCCTCCTGAAGATGATATTTCTCATTCTTAAACATGAAATAACAACAATAATAATTATAATCATTAACAGCCAAAAATAATGCAGAATCGTTAAGATAATTGTAAAGAAAGGACGGCTCTTCAGCTCAACATTTTCTCATCTCTTTTCTAACCGTGCTACTACATTACTCCACCTCAATATCAGACCTGGAGTTGTTTTTAACTCTATCCACGCTCCACGTCAGCCTTAAACTCTATCATCCAAAGCCATAGATAGATACTTTATCGATCCCAGCAGAAACACATCCACACAAACAATCACATAAATGCATCATTTAGATCACAGCAGCAGGAGGTGTAGCCGCGCCTTCCTCTGCTCTGGTTCAGAGTGAAATTCTAAATGCTTTATTCGCATTTTGCAAAAAAAACATTAGCATTCCTCCAGTGGATATAGCTTGATCTGTTTGGTTGGGACCATCGTCTCTGCTCTGGTCTGGACCATCGTCTCTGCTCTGTTCTGGATCAGTGTAAAACCATTGAACCATGCTCTGCAGAAACATTTACAGAGAAACGTGTAAAGAACCAAACAACAATAGTTTCCACTCGTTAAGGCGCTTTCAGACCGGACTTAACTTCGACTTCAAAAGTGTCAGGTTTGCATTGAAAGTGAATGGTGAAGCGCGTTAGGTGAAGCCAAGAGCCCCGGCGTCACTTGGCGCGCGTCAAAAGCTTCAAAAGTTGCGAGTAATACGCGCTCACTTGAAGCTTTTGACGCACGTAACGCTTGCGTATCAAAACAATCCCTTTGACGCTGAAGTTGAGAAAAGCTGAGCTTTTGAAGCTTTGATGCGGGCTTCAACCAATCAGGAGATGAGGAGCAGCAGCAGGAGAGGGTCTGTCTCTGTCATGGAGAGAATTCATGTTTTATTGTCATTATTGTTATTAGTAATATTATTTGTATGAGTAGTAACGTTCTTAATAAGTGAGTAACAAAACTATTGTACACATGCTGTGTAGAAAACATAATTTATTTAAGATAAGAACAAGCTGACGATGAGTCTGGCTCAGAGCGAGGCAGCTCCAGGCGGGGAGAGGAGAGCTCCAGGCGAGAGCGAGGCGGGGAGAGGTGAGCTCCGGGGTTTGGGAACTCGGACTGGGCGAGTAACATGCGGAAGTACCGCTGAAAGCGAAACTCCTCCGTACGGAGCTCCTGGAGGAAATGACGAAACTTTGCAATCACTGCAGCCTCTCAAGTCTGTGGTGAACCCAGAACATGTTTTGTGGAAACCCCACGACAACGTTATTTTGCTTTATATAACAAATAAAGGCTCGCTGCTCTCTGGAAGTCCACCGCTGTCCTGCAACAGAGAAGCTCCTCCCACTGGCGTCAGGCGCGTCAAAAGCTTCAAGCACCAAAATGACAAAAATAACCCGGCGTCAGTTGAAGCGCGTCAAAAGCTTTTTGAAGCACCAAAATGACAAAAATAACCCGGCGTCAGTTGAAGCGCGTCAAAAGCTTTTTGAAGCTTTTGGTCTGAACGCGCCTTTACACCTCTTTATGAAGCAACATTTCTCAGGAAAAGGACTGTATCATTCATTTTGCTCTAAACCAAAAAGTAATTTGTTAATCATTCGTGCCCGACCGTGTCCCGACCCTGTCCCGTCCGTCTCCTGATTGTTTTGTGCGTCTCAGGGGATGAGTATTCCGGCTCAGGTGCACGCCTCGACCAGAGCAGGATCAGAGCGACGCTCGGAGCAGAGACGGCTTCTGTCGTCCTTCGCCTGCGACAGTGACCTGCTCAAGTTCAACCAACTCAAGGTGAAGCTCAGGAAGCATCAAGCTGCTCTCTCTCTCTGGTCTCTCTGGTCTCTCTCTGGTCTCTCACTGGTCTCTCTCTGCTCTCTCTCTCTGCTCTCTATCTCTCTGGTCTCTCACTGGTCTCTCTCTGGTCTCTCTCTGGTCTCTCTCTGGTCTCCCTCTGGTCTCTCTCTCTCTCTGGTCTCTCTCTGGTCTCTCTCTAGTCTCTCTCTGGTCTCTCTCTCTCTCTGGTCTCTCACTGGTCTCTCACTGGTCTCTCACTGGTCTTTCTCTGCTCTCTCTCTGGTCTCTCTCTGCTCTCTCTCACAGCAGATGTTGTGGTCCATGTCCTGAGGTGATTTTGTTGTTTCAGTTCCGTAAGAAGAAGATCCGCTTCTGTAAGTCTCACATCCACGACTGGGGCCTGTTTGCTCTGGAGCCCATTGCTGCAGACGAGATGGTGATCGAGTACGTGGGCCAGAACATCAGACAGGTGAGCCACTGCTACAGGAGGCCAACACTCTCTGGTCTCTGTATGTGGTCTGTGATCTCTCTCTGGTCTCTCTCTGGTCTCTCTCTGTGATCTCTCTGTGGTCTCTCTGTGGTCTCTCTGTGGTCTCTCTGGTCTCTCTCTCTGGTCTCTCTGTATTTAAATGTGTGATGTGTCTTCAGGTGATCGCCGACATGAGAGAGAAACGGTACGAGGAGGAGGGCATCGGCAGCAGCTACATGTTTCGAGTCGATCACGATACGATCATCGACGCAACCAAGTGTGGAAACTTTGCCCGATTCATCAACCACAGCTGCAACGTGAGTGACCCAGGACTGAGGCTTTAGACCTAGGACTGAGGCTGTAGACCCATGAGGACTGAGGCTGTAGACCCATGAGGACTGAGGCTGTAGACCCATGAGGACTGAGGCTGTAGACCCATGAGGACTGAGGCTGTAGACCCAGGACTGAGGCTGTAACCCGTCTCTCTTGTCTTTCAGCCTAACTGTTATGCGAAAGTGATCACGGTGGAGTCTCAGAAGAAGATCGTGATCTACTCCCGGCAGCAGATCAACGTGAACGAGGAGATCACCTACGATTACAAGTTTCCCATCGAGGACGAGAAGATACCGTGTCTGTGCGGCGCCGAGAACTGCCGAGGGACGCTCAACTAGGCTCCGCCCCCTCACGTTTACACTCATGGTGCTGATGCAGAGACTGGAGGAGACGAGAGACAGAGCTATGTCTCCTCCTCTACCTCTCTCCCCTCTCCCTCTCCTCCCTCCCTCTCATTTCTCTCCCCTCTCTCTCCTCTCCTGCCTCTCTCTTCTCTCTCGTCCCCCATCTCTCTGTCCTCTGTCCTTTCTCCTCTCTTCTCTCTCTTCTCTCCTCTCTCTCCCTCTCTTTTCTCTCCTCTCCCTCCCTCCTCCCTCTCCCTCCTCCCCCATCTCTGTTCCTCTGTCCTTTCTCCTCTCTCTCCTCATCTCTCCCCTCTCCCTCCTCCCCCAGTGTGTTTCTTCTTCTCATCACATTTCTGACGTTGAGACTCAGTTTGAGGTCACCATCGAATCATGGTTTATTCAACAAGTGCAGCACAAAGGGTTTCAGTGTTTCCACCTACTCTACTCTACTCTACTCTACTCTACCCTACCCTACTCTGTCCTACTCTACTCTTTTCTACTCTCTCCTACTTTCCTCTGGTGTGGAGACAGTATTTGTGTGATTGATCCTGAGTGCACTGCCCCTGCTGGGCCAAACTGTCTAAACCACAATCCTGCAGAAAATGAAGATTTAAGGATCACCTTCCAATGAAGCCAAGCCGTCGCCCTGAGGCAGACAGGGCAGGTGTGGCTGCAGGTTTTCACTCTAACAGCAGGAGCCCGCCACACTCCAGCCATTTCCTCAAGTCTTCATGTTTAGACTAGACTCATGAAATTCACTTCAATGTATTTGTGTCTTGCCCTAAATCACAACAGTAAGAAATTCAATAAAACTTTAGATCCAGGACTGAGGCCGTAGACCCAGGACTGAGGCCGTAGAGTGTGGTTGGAGTGAAAACCTGCAGACCTCAAGCACAGTGATTATGAATTTGCCATAATAATAAGTTTGTAGGTGTTAAATGAACTGTTCTCCTCCTGCTGCACCTGGGTGTTCTGCATCAAGACCCTGAGTCCGCGGGTCGCCCCCCCCCCCCCTGTTTATAGTGTGTATATATCTTGTACAGAAGATCTCTTTTTATCTCTGCAGGATTCATACTTTGTCATATGCTTCCTGTGTTTTTTAAGACTGAGTATTTAAAATCATTTCAGGGATCTGTGAAAGGAATCATGAGGGTTCAGAGTCAAACAGGCCTCAGACCGCCGCGGGTCTTCACTCCAACAGCAGCACGCTATGCTCCTCCCACTCCCTCGGGTCTCCAGGTTCAGACTGGACTCACTGAGGACATGGCGGAGTCTGCTGTGCTCTGTCTGGCCTCTTTCTCTCTGGTCTCTCTCGCTCTGGCCTCTGCTCATGGTCTCTCTCGCGCCTCGCCCTGATCTGTCTCTCTCTCTCTCTCTCTGGTCTCTCTCTGCTCTCTCTCTCTGGCCTCTCTCTGGCCTCTCTCTGGTCTCTCTCTGGCCTCTCTCTCTGGCCTCTCCGCCTCTCTCTCTGGTCTCTCTCTCTGGTCTTTCTCTCTGGCCTCTCTCTGGTCTCTCTCTGCTCTCTCTGGTCTCTCTCACTGGCCTCTCTCTGGCCTCTCTCTGGCCTCTCTCTGGTCTCTCTCTGGTCTCTCTCTGGTCTCTCTCTGGTCTCTCTCTGGTCTCTCTCTGGTCTCTCTCTGGTCTCTCTCTGGTCTCTCTCTGGTCTCTCTCTGGTCTCTCTCTGGTCTCTCTCTGGTCTCTCTCTGGTCTCTCTCTGGTCTCTCTCTGGTCTCTCTCTGGTCTCTCTCTGGTCTCTCTCTGGTCTCTCTCTGGCCTCTCTCTGGCCTCTCTCTGTCCTGCTGCTGGAGTGCAGACTCTGAGGATTGGTTCGAAGCCCTGGATCGGTGCGAGCTCCATTTCCCTTTGAGAGTGTTTCTTGTGGAAACGTTCCAAGTGTAAATACTGTAACTGTGAATATAATAAATCTATATTTTTGTTTTTGGTATTTGCTGAAGCAGCGGTGTCTGCGGCGTCATGAGGCAGATTTAGCTTGTGTCAAGCTTTGTTTTTTATTTCAGTTGTAAATTCTATGAACACGTGTTTGCGGTGTAAAGTTTAAATCAGCAAAAACAAAATGGAGGATCGTGGCCTCATGTTTATTTATTACAACTAATAACAACAACATTATGTATAAAAGAAAATAAAGCGATTTTCAATACAGCAGCTGTGGGAGTTTAATACTGTGTGTGTGTGTCTCTGGTCTCTTGTGTGTCTCTCTCTCTCCAGTGACTGAGTGTGTCTCTTTGTGTGAGTGTGTTGTGACTGGAGAAGTGTGTGTTTAAAGCAGATTTAAATTCAGTCAAATGTCAGAACCATGAGGTGGCATTTACCTGCGGCTCCAGGAGGAAATCCTGCCAAATGTCAGAACTGCAGAGTGACGCGGGGAAGTCCCTCCTCTGAACACTGAGGAAACCAGAGCTGTGACCGTAGACTGCAAACCACTGACCGCGACCAGGAGAAAGAGAAGTCTGTTCACTCACTGCTGACGCATCAGGAGCTGTTTATATCAATGACATGGGCTTTAGTGTAGCCACAGTTGCCCTGGGGCACTCTGACAGAAGTGAGGCAACCAGTCTGTGCCATCGGCCCCTCCCACCACCACCAACCATTCACACACACCAGACTCATTCTAATGTGGGGGAAGTGTCTTGCCTAAGGACACAACCACAGTTTGGCACTTTACAGCCGCAGCCGCCGCACTGTGGCACACACACACCAGCCACAGAGACCGGAGAGAGAGAGACCAGAGCGTGTTGGACAGTGACTTCTAAAGCATAATACATAAAGTGTTACTTACTGTTATTTCAAAGCATAGAGCACATAATACATAATCTACAACTACATTACTTTGAAGTTACTTTCACCAAATATATAAATACAAACTAAATGTAGCTTATGATGCAGCGAGAGGTTGACAGAGCTTTTGGCTGAACATAAACTTTACCCCACTTTGCCTGAAGCCCCTCTGAAAGATGAAGGCCTCTGTGGACTCGGCCTCTGTGGACTCAGCCCCTGCAGAGGATCAGGGAGGGGCTGGTGCTCTGACTGCCACCCCCTACCCAGATGTGGATTAAGGGGAAGAAAATGAATGGATAAACTTAACTGTTATGTTCCACAGTCTGTCCATCTGTAACATGTACTAATAATGTAATGTATAGACAGAGAGATACTTTATTTATCCCGTAGGAGAAATTCAGGTGTCCGGTCGCAGCAAAAATTAAAATTGACCATTCTAAAAAGATAACAATAGTTGTAATCAGCAACAGTCCTTCAGGTCACAGCAGCAGAGGTGGAGCCGCTTGGTTCAGACCATTTTCTCTGCTCTGGTCTAAAGTAAAAAGCTAAATGCTTCATTAGCATTTTTTAAAAAGTTAGCAAACCTCCAGTGGATTTTCACCTGATCCACTTGGTTCGGACCATAAATCCTCTCTGCTCTGGTCTGGACCAATGCAAAACCATCAACACTGTACTGCACCAACATCTCAGGCAGAAAAAAGCAATAAAAAAAATGTTGTGAAGCACAAAACAATTGTTTCAGAGGCACTTGGGACTTGCAGCCGTTTTCCAGCGCATTCAAAAGATAACTAGTAATAATGATAGTAATGTAAAGGCAGTAATCAGATTCCTCAACACTGGATGTTTATGAGACTAAAGTTACAGACCTCAGCTTTAACTGGTTTAACAGGCAGCACATCCACAGACCGTTCCAAAGGGATGAATGGGTCTTGTTTCTCTCTGCAGTGTGTGTATGTGTATATCTGTGCGTGTATGTGTGTGTGTATGTGTGTGTGCGCGTGTGCGTGTGTGTGTGTGTGTTTGTGTGTGTGTCTGTGTGTGTGTGTGTGTGTATATCTGTGTATGTGTGCGTGTGTGTGTATGTGTGTGTGTGTGTCTGTGTGTGTGTGTGCGTGTGTGTGTGTATGTGTGTGTGCGTGTGTGTGTTTGTGTGTGTGTCTCTCTCTGTGTGTGTGTATCTCTATGTGTCTGTGTGTGTGTGTGTGTGTGTGTGTGTGTGTATGAGTGTGTCTCTCTCTCTGTGTGTGTGTGTGTCTGTGTGTGTCTGTGTGTGTGTGTGTGTGCCTGTGTGTTTGTGTGTGTGTGTGTGTTTGTGTGTGTGTCTCTCTCTGTGTGTGTGTATCTCTGTGTGTGTATGTTTGTGTGTGTGTGTGTGTATGAGTGTGTCTCTCTCTGTGTGTGTGTGTGTGTCTCAGCATCAATGAGCCTCTTCATCACTTAACACCACTGCACTGGTGATGACGAGCTCCAGCGACCAGACCGAGACCTGATAAAACCTGCTCCTCTCCTGCTCCTTCTGCTCTTTCTGCTCCTACTGCTCCTACAGCTCCTACTCCTCCTACTGCTCCTTCTGCTCCTCCTGTTTCCGTCCTACTGACCTCCAGACCTCTCCTCCTCCTGGTCCTGCTCCTCTTGCCTCTGGGATGCTCTTGCCGCTCCTGGTCCTCCTCTCAGCGGTGGTGTGGGTGGATGCAGGTGGGAGAGAGCAGAATCTCCTCTTTGTAGGGATTAACCAAAAAGTGATTTTGTGTGTGTCCTGCAGACGGATACTGCTACAGCGAGCCCGAGTGCGGTGAGTCCAACACACACACACACACACACACACACACACATCGGTACAGGTTATTTATGTTGCGCCTTTTGAGGAAGAGAGGAATATTTTAGTACTTACACACACTTTTTAGAGCTGATACAAGCAGAGACTGTGTGTGTGTGTGTGTGTGTGTGTGTGTGTGTGTGTGTGTGTGTGTGTGTGTGTGTGTGTGTGTGTGTGTGAGAGAGAGAGAGAGAGAGAGAGACCAGAGAGAGAGACCAGAGAGAGAGAGAAGAGAGAGAGACCAGAGAGAGGGACCAGAGAGAGAGACCAGAGAGAGGGACCAGAGAGGGACTAGAAAGAGACACCAGAGAGAAAGACCAGAAAGAGAGACTAGAGAGAGAGACCAGAGGGACCAGAGAGAGAGACCAGAGAGAGACCAGCGAGAGACCAGAGAGAGACCAGAGAGAGACCAGAGAGACCAGAGAGAGGGACCAGAGAGGGACTAGAAAGAGAGACCAGAGAGAGGGACCAGAGAGGGACTAGAAAGAGAGACCAGAGAGAGGGACCAGAGAGAGAGACCAGAAAGAGAGACTAGAGAGAGAGACCAGAGGGACCAGAGAGTGACTAGAAAGAGAGACCAGAGAGAGAGACCAGAGAGAGACCAGAGAGAGACCAGAGAGAGACCAGAGAGAGACCAGAGAGAGAGACCAGAGATAGACCAGAGAGAGACCAGAGAGAGACCAGAAAGAGGGACCAGAGAGGGACTAGAAAGAGAGACCAGAGAGAGGGACCAGAGAGGGACTAGAAAGAGAGACCAGAGAGAGGGACCAGAGAGAGAGACCAGAAAGAGAGACTAGAGAGAGAGACCAGAGGGACCAGAGAGAGACTAGAAAGAGAGACCAGAGAGAGAGACCAGAGAGAGACCAGAGAGAGACCAGAGTGTGACAGAGAACAAAACATCATGATGTTAAAACTTGTGATAGAAGCAACAGTTTTGGAGCCGGGAACTCGTGGTTTGAAAGTCACGGACCTGAGCTTTAATAACCAGATGTGCCGCTCTCTCACGCCTCCCCCAGGTCCTTACGCCTGGGGGGACCTCACTCCCTCCTGTCACCCGCTGCTGGAGGAGCATCACTCCCCCATCGACCTGGACCTCGGGGACATGAGGAGGGACCTGTCTCTGGGTCCTCTGCAGCTGGAGGGGTTTCTCTCACCGCAGGACGGACACTGGACCCTCAGCAACGACGGACACTCAGGTCAGACTACGATAATAACAACTCTGTATTTGTCATTTTGTCAGATCACAAAGAAATACAGGAGAATTAAGTTAGAGAGAGACCAGAGAGAGAGACAGAGAGAGAGACAAGAGAGAGAGACCAGAGAGAGAGACTAGAGAGGGACCAGAGAGAGACTAGGGAGAGACCAGAGAGAGACAAGAGAGGGACAGAGAGAGAGACCAGAGAGAGACAAGAGAGGGACAGAGAGAGAGACCAGAGAGAGACAAAAGAGAGATCACAGAGTAGAATAGAGCTTGTGAAAACAGGGCTTCTCTCTCCTCCAACCACTCCCTCTGGTCCCTCTCTTTGGTTCCTGGTTCCTGCTGCAGTGGTCCTCTCTGTGGGTAGTGGGATGTGGGTAAGTGGGGGAGGTCTCCCAGGTCTCTATCACACCCTCCAGCTGCACTTCCACTGGGGCAGCCCCGCCTCCAACGGCTCGGAGCACACACTCGCCCGCCGCAGGTTCCCCATGGAGGTACTCTACGTCTTTCTCTTTGGTCTCTCTCCGGTCTCTCTCTAGTATCTTTCGGTCTCTATGGTCGCTCTGTTTCTGGTCCCTCTCTCTCCTGTCTCTCGCTGATCTCTCTCTGGGTCTGACCCTCTCTCTCTGATCTCTCTCTGGGTCTGACCCTCTCTCTCTGGTCTCTCTCTTCTCTCTCTCTGGGTCTGACCCTCTCTCTCTGGTCTGGGTCTGACCCTCTGGTCTCTCTCTGGTCTGAGTCTGACCCTCTCTCTCTCACAGATGCACGTGGTCAATGTGAAGTCGGTCCATCCTAACGTCTCTGCGGCGCTGGAGGATCCGACCGGACTCGCCGTGCTCGCCGTCTTCATTGACGTCAGTACAAACCTGTTAAAGCTGCGGTACCTGACTTTCACACCACCATCTGACTGTAATCAAACCTCACAGCCACAGAGCAGTGTGACATCACCACAGTGTGACATCACAACTGTGTGACATCACCACAGTCTTAACCTTAATGTGGATGGAGACAGTTTCCGTTTATCGACATTTGATCTGACTTGGTCTCTCTGTAGTCTCTCCTGGGTCTCTCTATGGTCCCTGACCCTCTGGACTCTCTCTGATCTCTCTCTGGTCTCTCTCTAATCTCTCTCTAGTCTCTCTCTAATCTCTCTCTAATCTCTCTCTGGTCTCTCTCTAATCTCTCTCTAATCTCTCTCTAATCTCTCTCTTGTCTCTCTCTGGTCTCTCTCTGGTCCCTGACTCTCTGGTCTCTCGTTGCAGGTTGTTTATGCAGATAACATTCACTTCAGTCACATTTCTGGAAAGCTCTCGTCTGTCGCCCACAAAGGTGAGTCTGACGTTGAGTGCGGGTCTTCGGTGTGAGATCTCAGGGTCTTCTCCCCAAAAGGACAAACGGTGAAAGTGAAGCCTTTTCCACTGATGAGCCTCCTGCCGAAGAACCAGCTGAGTCAGTATTTCAGGTACCATGGCAGCTTGACCACGCCCCCCTGCTCCCAGGCCGTGGTCTGGACCGTCTACCAGACCCCCATCAACATCTCATGGACTCAGGTACAGGACTGAGGCTGTAGATCCAGGACTGAGGCTGTAGACCCAGGACTGAGGCTGTAGATCCAGGACTGAAGCTGTAGACCCAGGACTGAGGGTGTAGATCCAGGACTGCGGCTGTAGACCCAGGACTGAGGCTGTAGATCCAGGACTGAAGCTGTAGACCCAGGACTGAGGGTGTAGATCCAGGACTGCGGCTGTAGACCCAGGACTGAGGCTGTAGACCCAGGACTGAGGGTGTAGACCCAGGACTGAGGCTGTAGATCCAGGACTGCGGCTGTAGATCCAGGACTGAGGCTGTAGACCCAGGACTGAGGCTGTAGACCCAGGACTGAGGCTGTAGACCCAGGACTGAAGCTGTAGACCCAGGACTGAGGGTGTAGATCCAGGACTGAGGCTGTAGACCCAGGACTGAGGCTGTAGACCCAGGACTGAGGCTGTAGACCCAGGACTGAGGCTGTAGACCCAGGACTGAGGCTGTAGACCCAGGACTGAGGGTGTAGACCCAGGACTGAGGCTGTAGATCCAGGACTGCGGCTGTAGATCCAGGACTGAGGCTGTAGACCCAGGACTGAGGCTGTAGACCCAGGACTGAGGCTGTAGACCCAGGACTGAAGCTGTAGACCCAGGACTGAGGGTGTAGATCCAGGACTGAGGCTGTAGACCCAGGACTGAGGCTGTAGACCCAGGACTGAGGCTGTAGACCCAGGACTGAGATTGCAGACCCAGGACTGAGGATGTAGACCCAGGACTGAGGCTGTAGATCCAGGACTGAAGCTGTAGACCCAGGACTGAGGGTGTAGATCCAGGACTGCGGCTGTAGACCCAGGACTGAGGCTGTAGACCCAGGACTGAGGGTGTAGACCCAGGACTGAGGCTGTAGATCCAGGACTGCGGCTGTAGATCCAGGACTGAGGCTGTAGACCCAGGACTGAGGCTGTAGACCCAGGACTGAGGCTGTAGACCCAGGACTGAAGCTGTAGACCCAGGACTGAGGGTGTAGATCCAGGACTGAGGCTGTAGACCCAGGACTGAGGCTGTAGACCCAGGACTGAGGCTGTAGACCCAGGACTGAGGCTGTAGACCCAGGACTGAGGCTGTAGACCCAGGACTGAGGGTGTAGACCCAGGACTGAGGCTGTAGATCCAGGACTGCGGCTGTAGATCCAGGACTGAGGCTGTAGACCCAGGACTGAGGCTGTAGACCCAGGACTGAGGCTGTAGACCCAGGACTGAAGCTGTAGACCCAGGACTGAGGGTGTAGATCCAGGACTGAGGCTGTAGACCCAGGACTGAGGCTGTAGACCCAGGACTGAGGCTGTAGACCCAGGACTGAGATTGCAGACCCAGGACTGAGGATGTAGACCCAGGACTTACAGAGAGAGACAATATAGTTATTAGTTATAGTTATATTGCTTCTCTCTGGTCTCTCTTTATGGTCTCTCTTGTCTCTCTCTAGTCTCCATCTGGTCTCTCTCTGGTCTCTCTCTCTCCCTGGTGTCTCTCTGGTCTCTTGCTCTCTCTCTGGTCTCTCTCTCCCTGGTCTCTCTCTGTTGTCTCTCTCTCCCTGGTCTCTCTCTGTTGTCTCTCTGATCTCTCTCTGGTCTCTCTCTCTCTCCCTGGTCTCTCCCTGGTCTCTCTCTGGTCTCTCTCTCTCCCCTTGGTCCCTCTCTCTGGTCTCTCTCTCCCTGGTCTCTCCCTGGTCCCTCTCTTTCTCTGGTCTCTCTCTGATCTCTCTCTTTGGTCTCCTTCTCCCTGGTCTCCCCCTGGTCACTCTCCTCCTGGTCTCTCCCTGGTCTCTTCCTGGTCTCTCTGGTCTCTCTCTTCCTGGTCTCTCCCTGGTCTCTTCCTGGTCTCTCTCTATCTGGTCTCTCTCTCTCCTTGGTCTCTCTCTCCCTGGTCTCCCTGGTCTCTCTCTCTGGTCTCTCTCTCCCTGGTCTCTCTCTCTCCTTGGTCTCTCTCTCCCTGGTCTCTATCTCCCTGGTCTCTCTCTCTCTCTCTGGTCTCTCTCTCCTTGGTCTCTCTCTCCCTGGTCTCTATCTCCCTGGGCTCTCACTCTCCTTGGTCTCTCTCTCCCGGTCTCTCTCTGATAGTAATGCCTTGTGTGATGTCTGTTTCTGTGCTACACATATACATTTCCTCTGTTGCAGCTCGCTCAGTTCACGTCGCAGGTGTTCTCCACAGAAGAAGACGCAGAGCTGCTCACTCCTCTGCAGAACAACTACAGACACATCCACCCCACGTTCAGCCGCACGGTCTCTGCCTCCCAGGACGTTCACCTGGTCTCCGGGGCCGCAGGTCTTCACACCGAGCCCTGGGTCACACTGGGACTGTGTCTACTCTGGCTCTTCCCCTCAGGACTGTAGACCCATTTAGCCCCAGCTGAGGCTGAGATGAGTGAGACATGTCTGTGTCTCTCCCTGGTTTCTCTCTCTGGTCTCTCTCCCTGGTCTCTCTCTCTGGTCTCTCGCCCTGGTCTCTCTCTCTGGTCTTTCTCTCCTAGACTCTCTCTCTCTCCCTGGTGTCTCTCTCTCTGGTCGTTCTTTCTCTGGTCTCTATCCCTGGTCTATGGTCTCTCTCTCTTTCTGCATTCTCTATCATATGTGCTCTCTCTCCCCCTGGTGTCTCTCTCCCTAGTCTCTCTTTCTCTGGTCTCTCGTTCTCGTTTATCTCTGTTCTTTCTCCCTCTCTCTCTCATTCTGGATTCTCTATCACATGCTCTCTCTCTCTGGTTTTTCACATCATGTATTTCTGACTTCTGTCACATCTTTAGTTCAGGTTTTTTCAGACAGAAAAGTGAATGAGAGAAACCCTCTCAGTTTAGACGAAATAAAATGCTTTCTATTAAGATGAAGTGTGTGTTTCAGAGTCTCTGTGAACATTCAGGCCTGTGTCTTTGTCTGAGGTCACACACTAGCTCTGCCAGTCACCAACACACACACACACACACACACTCACAGAGACACACAAACATACTGTACACACACGTACACAGACTACACACAGAGACACACAAACACGCACACAATTAGCTAGTGCTGGTTACCATGGAAAAAACCGTTTACCTCTGTCTGCTTCACGTGGCGCGCAAGACCGTTAGCATTAGCCTGTCAAAAAACTGTTTTCCTGAAGTTCTATTTATCAGTTTTTCTCATTGTTTAGTCAATTAAAAGCGAATAGTAAAAAAGAAACTATGAAGACGTCACTTTTGGGGGGTGAATAAAACTTCGAGATGTTCACAGAATGTTTAAGTGAAATTATTAGTTTTGCATATTTTTTAACATCTAGACTGAACTGATGCTGCAGTGAAATACAAACCTGAGAACAGACTGCCACTGTGCTGCATCACTGACATTTACCGTATCTATTCATCTTCATCTCAACCCTTACCATCAGTGATGCAGGTACAGGTTCAGCCCACCTACTGGAGAGCCAAACGTATGCTAATATTGTTGATAGCATGTGTTTGTAATTATTACATTTCCAGTGTTTGAACTGCTTGATTCTCGGATCTGTTGTTGATGAATCCACAACTTGTACAGTCCCCAGACCACTGCTGCTGTTGTGATTTAGGGGGAGACACAAATGCATTGAACTAGAATCTGTCTTTTTGATCATTACCATAGTAACCAGTGATGTGTCATTCTCCCTCCACCCAGCGTGAAACTATCGCTCTTTGGAGGGTGGTGTTGTCACATGGAGCAGTTTAAACGTTGCAAAGAGTAGAAAAGGCAAAGACACAAACGCCGAAAGAACAAAATATTTATATACCATGCAGCACAGGTCCAAACAGCAGTATGAAACACGCTCGATGGTGGATCCACGGGGAACTGTCCAAGTCAAAGGAACAAGGAGCTTTAACACGGTACATTCAGAGATCTGCGGGGCATCAGGTTTAGCCGGCGGAGTCTGGGGGCGGCTCATCCTTTCTGTGATTGTCGTACAAATAAAATAATAAAGTTCGACTGGAGTGACGGGTTTAATGACCAGAGAAAAGCTCAGAAATTGTCAGCGGCAAAAGCAGAATTCAAACCGACGGACCATGTGTGTGTGGAGCTAGCAGCGTCCGTAGCATTGTGTTAGCATCGTGTTAGCGGTATGGTGTCGTAAGAGCTAGCTTGAGGGGCTGTTTGAGCGGGAAACTGGAGCTAAACTTATGCTAATGTTCTACAGCCGCAGTCTTGGGTCTACAGCCTCGGCCCTGGGTCTACAGCCTCGGTCCTGGGTCTACAGCCTCGGTCCTGGGTCTACAGCCTCGGTCCTGGGTCTACAGCCTCGGTCCTGGGTCTACAGCCTCGGTCCTGGGTCTACAGCCTCGGTCCTGGGTCTACAGCCTCGGCCCTGGGTCTACAGCCTCGGTCCTGGGTCTACAGCCTCGGTCCTGGGTCTACAGCCTCGGTCCCGCTCCCTTATGGACCAATGTCTCTGTCTTTGTGTTTGTTATTATTGCCATTTCCTGTGTTCCAACGGTTTGATTCTCTGAGCTGTTGTTGGTGAATCCACAACTTTGTAAAAATCTCAGAGACGACTGCTGCTGTGACATAAATACATTGATTTGAAAATAAATGTAGCTTTCTAGTTTCAGCCAGATCCGTGAATATAAGGGGAAACGCTTCTGTCATGACCACACACACAGGAACGAACAGATGGAGACCAGAGAGAGAAACCAGCAAGAGACCAGAGAAAAAGAGAGACCAGAAAGAGGCAAGAAAGACCAGAGAAAAAGAGAGACCAGAAAGAGGCAAGAAAGACCAGAGAAAAAGAGGGACCAGAGAGAGAAGAGAGAGAAACCAGAGACAGTCCAGAGAAAAAGAGAGACCAGAGAGAGAAACGAGAGAGACCAGAGAACAGACCAGAGAAAGAGACACAGCTGCAGCAGAAATCACATCATTACAAATTCTTCGTCAGAACAAATTCCGATCCTGGTCTCGTGTCTGTGTCGGAGGAGCAGCAGCGACGGTTCAGTTCAATGGGTAAAAATGTCCCACTCCTCTTAGAAAAACCTTAGAAAGTCCTTTTTAATCAAACTATCATTTCTGTACAAACCCCCCAGAGTCCGCGTCAGTCCGGGTCAGTCCTATACGGCCGTGCTGAGGTCGGGCGAGAGGGAGGAGAGAGGGCCGGGCGGCAGGGTCTCGGCGGGGGAGTCAGGCCCGACCAGGAGGGTGCTGCTGTCTATGGAGTCCTCTCGCTCCTGAGGCGGCGCCACGGCAACATAGCCGTGAGGGTTCGGGACGTCCGCCTGGCGCCCGTCTGCGAGACCACCGGGCATCTGGACCTGGCCTGGGACCATCGCCACGCCAGCCCGGCCTGGAGCGGGGGAGAGAAGGGTGAGTAAATATGAGTCACTTATAAGTGCAAGTATGCCTACATTAAAACAGTGGTCCCTGGTCTGTCGCAGGGGTGATGTGTTCTCAAAGTGACACACCACGAGTGAAAACATTCTGGAAGCAAAACCCTCACCAGAGAGAGAGAGAGCGAGAGCGAGAGAGCGAGAGAGCGAGAGAGAGAGAGAGAGAGAGAGACCAGAGGGAGAGAGCAGAGAGAGAGACCAGAGGGAGAGAGCAGAGAGAGAGAGCAGAGAGAGGCCATGTAGAAACTAAAGCAGTGTGTTGTGTCTGTCTGAGCTCGTACCCAGATCCACGTAGAGCAGGCCGTCCGGGTGGATGGAAGCCTCGTAGGGGGGAGGCGGGTCGTCTGGGTGGGGGAGGTTGGGGTATTTGTAGGCGGCGTACGGTGGGGGAGGGTCGTGGAAGTGGAAGGCCCCTCCCTCTCCGTCGTCAGACAGGTGCAAAGGCGTCAGGCCGGTCCCAAACAGGTCCGGACCATAGTCGAAGCCCGGGACTCGTCTGCCCAGGTTAAAGTGGTGCACTGAGGACGAGCGGACAGGACAGTCACGACCAGAGGAGGGGGGAGAGAGGGGGGAGAGAGGGAGGGCGGAGGGGAGAGGGGGAGAAAGAGGGGGGAGAGTAGAGAGGGGAGAGAGAGAGCAGAGGGGAGAGAGAGGGGAGGGAGGAGTGAGGGGAGAGAGAGAGGAGAGGGAGAGAGGGCAGGGGTAGAGAGGGGAGAGCGCGGAGGAGAGAGGGAGGGGAGGGGGGAGAGGGAGAGAGGGGAGAGAGAGAGGAGAGCGCGGAGGAGAGAGGGAGGGGAGGGGGGAGAGGGAGAGAGAGGAGAGAGAGTAGAGATGGGAGAAAGATGGGAGAGAGGGGAAGAGAGAGGAGATAGGGAGGAGAGAAAGGGGGAGAGGAGAGAGGACAGAGATGGGGGAGAGAGCAGGAGGCAGACGTACAGTTTCCCCCGATCAGAGTCTCGATTCGCTCTCGTCGTCTCTGGCGCAGACGGTGGACCATGAAGAGCAGCAGAGACAGGATCAGGAACGAGGAGATGCAGCTGACGATCAGACGCATCCCACTGGCCATGGAGTCAAAAAGACTGCTCCCATCTGTCACACACACGACCAGTGAGAGAGACACTTGTAAAGGGAGAGAGCGGGGGAGAAACAGAGAGAAACCGGAGAGACCGGAGAGAGAGATCAGAAAGAGAGGCACACAAAGAGAGAGTGAAAGAAATCAGAGAGAGACCAGAGAGACCAGAAAGAGAGACAGACACCAGAGAGAGACCAGAGAGAAAGAGGGAAACCTGAGAGAGACCCATGAAGAGAGAGAAACTAGAGGGACACCAGAGAGAATTCAGAAAGAGAAACGAGAAAGACAGAAAGACATACACACAGAGAAAGAGAAACCAGAGAGACACCAGAGAGAGTGGAAAGAAAGAGAGAAACCAGAGAGAGAGACACACACACACATGGAGAGAGACCAGAGAGAGAGAGACCATAGAGAGAGACACACACACACACAGAGCAAGACAGAGAGCCCAGCGAGAGAGAAAAAACCACAGAGAGAGAGAGACCAGAGACAGAGACAGAGAGAGACACACACAGACCTGGGTCCAGGCAGGTGAACTTGCAGCACTCTTTGGGGTCCTTCCTGAAGTGCACGCAGCCCTGTGGACGCTCGCACAGCGCCGCCACACACATCTCGGGCTCGCCGTCGTGACACGTGCAGCTCAGACACGGGTCGTCGCCTTTGGGGGTGAAGTAGAAACCCTCGTTCACCACGTTGTCTTTGATGTCCACACACGTCTGCCCTGAGAACACACACCAAAGATCACACACATCCACAGACCAGGACCGGGACCAGGACCAGCATCTTATTAGCGTTTAGAACAGATTCCCATTCAGTCTTTTTACCTTTTTGCAGTAAAACCCCATTGGAAAACACATGCAAGAGTCCCTAGTGTGCAGCAGACAAATATAGAAATGACAAATAAGCTTCAAATTGCCAAGAGCTCTGGTGTGTGCTGTATGGTTTTTCCAATGTGGTTTTACTGCAAATGGCAAATACATTCTTCAATCTTGAAAATTACAGAAACAATCGACACTCTGAAACCGTGCGCTGAGTTGTTAGCACTCTCGCTTCTCAGAAAGAAAGTCCTGGGTTCGAATCCCGGTCTGAACAGCTCCTTTCTGAGTGGAGTTTGCATGTTCTCCCTGTGTCTGCAAAGGTTTTCATCTGGGTGCTAAAAACAGAGTTTTGTGGCTCTGGCCTGTGAAAGGCGCTATTTAAAAAAATATGACTTACTTATTTACTTAAACCAATAAAACAGCTTCAGTAAAAGTGAAGCGTAAAAGTGCTTTGTTCAGACTGATAACAGCTGAAAGAAGCTGTTAGCATGTTAGCATATCCAGATGTCCTGCAGCCAACGATTTCTTCTGCCAGAGGGAAGAAGCTGGAACATGGCTTTTTCAAGATTATTCTAAGATCTGGATTTCAGAGTCTGGATTCACAAAGAACCTCCAGAACCGACAGCTCACGACGGCTGTGATTTAGCGCGATAAAAGAATAAGACTGGAATAGAACCCAGAGGGAGCGGTGAAGCCTGTGATGTCACCACGTACGTCTTTTGCAGAGAAAGGGGAACTTCCTGTCGCAGTTCTCGGCATGCCAGCTGTGCAGGCCGCGCTCGTTCATGCTTTTGATCTGAAACCGCTGCAACTGAGCACAGAACACGTTGTCCTGAGAAGGAGCCGAGTCTCCGATGGAAGCCAGGCCCTCGGGAGGAAGGAAGACCTGCATGGCTCCTGAGAGAGAGAGAGACATATGGTGAGAGAGAGAGAGGACACATGGTGAGAGAGAGAGAGAGAGAGAGAGAGAGGACACATGGTGAGAGAGAGAGAGAGAGAGGACACATGGTGAGAGAGAGAGAGAGAGAGGACACATGGTGAGAGAGAGAGAGAGAGGACACATGGTGAGAGAGATGGTGATACCTTTGTAGGCCACCTCCCAGCGGCCCTGCAGAGAGTGGTTCTGGTTGGTGATCACGTACTGGTATCCCACCCAGAACCTACACACACCAGAGACAAACATCAGACCAACAGGATTTACTGTTTAAACACTGTGTGACTGTGGCGCCCCCTACAGGGAGAGACAGAGACAGCTCCCACTCTCCCCCTGGTCTGCAGTGATTGCTGTACAGTCTCTCTCTGGTCTCTCTCTCTGGTCTCTCTCTCTGGTCTCTCTCTCTGGTCTCTCTCTCTGGTCTCTCTCTCTGGTCTCTCTCTCTGGTCTCTCTCTCTGGTCTCTCTCTCTGGTCTCTCTCTCTGGTCTCTCTCTGTACAGTCTGACAGTCACGCACTTGCACTGGTCGCGGCGCTCGCACACGTTGTCGTCGAAGTCCACCTCGATCTTCAGGATGAACTGCAGCTCCTCGTTGGTCACGAACGTGGCGAGCGAGCCGTTGACCTTCTGACATGTGTCCACCGCCGCCCAGTAGTCCTCCTTCCTCAGGTACACTCTGTAGCAGCTCGCCGTCTTCTCATAATGGTGCCAGCCGCTCGGACACTTTTCTGCAGGCGAGAGAACACGGGATTTATGTGAGAGAGAGCAGAGACCAGAAATACCAGAGAGACAGACCAGAGAGAGAGAGAGAGAGAGACAGGAGAGACACCAGAGAGAGACCAGAGAGAGAGAGAGAGAGACAGGAGAGACACCAGAGAGACCAGAGAGAGAGAGAGAGGAGAGAGACCATAGAGAGACCAGAGAGAGAGAGAGACCAGAGAGAGAGAGAGAGACCAGAGGGACCAGTGAGACCAGAGAGAGACCAGAGAGAGAGAGACCAGAGAGATACCAGAGACCAGATACCAGAGAGAGACCAGAGAGAGACAAGAGAGAGACCAGAGAGAGACCAGAGAGAGACCAAAGAGAGACCAGAGAGATACCAGAGAGATACCAGAGAGAGAGAGACCAGACAGACAGAGACCAGATAGACCAGAGAGAGACCAGAGAGAGAAACCAGGGAGAGAGACCAGAGAGAGAAACCAGAGAGAGAAACCAGGGAGAGACCAGAGAGAGAGACCAGAGGGTCCTGGGTCTGGGTCTAAAGTCTCTCAAGCAAATCAAATCATATGACAATAAAAAATAAAAACATAATAATAAATAATGAATAATAAAGGCGTACTGTTGAAGCGGACCGGCTGAGCCACGCCGATGACATCCTCCACCTGATCAAAGCCGTTTCCAAAACGATATCTCTCCTCCGCCACAGCTGCAACACACGCCCCAGGGCAGGTGTGACTCCCACTGCCTCAGCCAGAGACAGGGGGAGACAGGAGGAGAGACAGAGAGAGAGACAGGAATGGAGACAGAGAGAGAGACAGGAGGGGGAGACAGGAGGGGAGACAGGAGGGGGAGACAGGAGGGGAGACAGGAGGGGAGACAGGAGGGGAGACAGGAGGGGAGACAGGAGGGGAGACAGGAGGGGAGACAGGAGGGGAGACAGGAGGGGAGACAGGAGGGGGAGACAGGCGGGGGAGACAGAGAGAGAGACAGAGAGAGAGACAGGAGGGGGAGACAGGAGGGGAGACAGGAGGGGAGACTGGAGGGGAGACAGGAGGGGAGACAGGAGGGGAGACAGGAGGGGGAGACAGGCGGGGGAGACAGAGAGAGAGACAGAGAGAGAGACAGGAGGGGGAGATAGTGATTGACAGGTGACTCACGGGGACAGTCGGCCTCATCGCTCTTGTCCTCGCAGGCCGTCCAGCCGTCGCACTGCCACGACAGAGGAATACACTGTAGCTTCCCACTGCGGCACGCGAACTGTTCAGGACACCGCTGCTCTGGGGTCAGAGGTCAGAGGTCAACACTGCTCTGGGGTCTACAGCCTGAGTCCTAGCTCTACAGCCTCAGTCCTGGGTCTACAGCCTCAGTCCTGGGTCTACAGCCTCAGTCCTGGGTCTACAGCCACAAACACGCAGAACTCATGCAACAGAAAAATAACTGAAAACTTGTGAGAGTTTTATCTTTGTTCTAATTATTTTATCTAATAATTTCGTCACAAACTTTTCCACATGAAAGGATCTGTTCTTCTAAAGTTACATTGAATCTTCCTGCTCTAGAAAACTCCTGGCACTAATCTGGTCTCTCGCTCTCTGGTCTCTCGCTCTCTGGTCTCTCGCTCTCTCGCTCTCTGGTCTCTCGCTCTCTGGTCTCTCGCTCTCTCGCTCTCTGGTCTCTCGCTCTCTGGTCTCTCGCTCTCTGGTCTCTCGCTCTCTGGTCTCTCTCGCTCTCTGGTCTCTCTCGCTCTCTGGTCTCTCTCGCTCTCTGGTCTCTCTCGCTCTCTGGTCTCTCTCGCTCTCTGGTCTCTCTCGCTCTCTGGTCTCTCTCGCTCTCTGGTCTCTCTCGCTCTCTGGTCTCTCTCGCTCTCTGGTCTCTCTCGCTCTCTGGTCTCTCGCTCTCTGGTCTCTCGCTCTCTGGTCTCTCGCTCTCTGGTCTCTCGCTCTCTGGTCTCTCGCTCTCTGGTCTCTCGCTCTCTGGTCTCTCGCTCTCTGGTCTCTCGCTCTCGGGTGTCTCTCGCTCTCGGGTGTCTCTCGCTCTCTGGTCTCTCGCTCTCTGGTCTCTCGCTCTCTGGTCTCTCGCTCTCTGGTCTCTCGCTCTCTGGTCTCTCGCTCTCTGGTCTCTCGCTCTCTGGTCTCTCGCTCTCTGGTCTCTCGCTCTCTGGTCTCTCGCTCTCTGGTCTCTCGCTCTCTGGTCTCTCGCTCTCTGGTCTCTCGCTCTCTGGTCTCTCGCTCTCTGGTCTCTCGCTCTCTGGTCTCTCGCTCTCTGGTCTCTCGCTCTCTGGTCTCTCGCTCTCTGGTCTCTCGCTCTCTGGTCTCTCGCTCTCTGGTCTCTCGCTCTCTGGTCTCTCGCTCTCTGGTCTCTCGCTCTCTGGTCTCTCGCTCTCTGGTCTCTCGCTCTCTGGTCTCTCGCTCTCTGGTCTCTCGCTCTCTGGTCTCTCGCTCTCTGGTCTCTCGCTCTCTGGTCTCTCGCTCTCTGGTCTCTCGCTCTCTGGTCTCTCGCTCTCTGGTCTCTCGCTCTCTGGTCTCTCGCTCTCTGGTCTCTCGCTCTCTGGTCTCTCGCTCTCTGGTCTCTCGCTCTCTGGTCTCTCGCTCTCTGGTCTCTCGCTCTCTGGTCTCTCGCTCTCTGGTCTCTCGCTCTCTGGTCTCTCGCTCTCTGGTCTCTCGCTCTCTGGTCTCTCGCTCTCTGGTCTCTCGCTCTCTGGTCTCTCGCTCTCTGGTCTCTCGCTCTCTGGTCTCTCGCTCTCTGGTCTCTCGCTCTCTGGTCTCTCGCTCTCTGGTCTCTCGCTCTCTGGTCTCTCGCTCTCTGGTCTCTCGCTCTCTGGTCTCTCGCTCTCTGGTCTCTCGCTCTCTGGTCTCTCGCTCTCTGGTCTCTCGCTCTCTGGTCTCTCGCTCTCTGGTCTCTCGCTCTCTGGTCTCTCGCTCTCTGGTCTCTCGCTCTCTGGTCTCTCGCTCTCTGGTCTCTCGCTCTCTGGTCTCTCGCTCTCTGGTCTCTCGCTCTCTGGTCTCTCGCTCTCTGGTCTCTCGCTCTCTGGTCTCTCGCTCTCTGGTCTCTCGCTCTCTGGTCTCTCGCTCTCTGGTCTCTCGCTCTCTGGTCTCTCGCTCTCTGGTCTCTCGCTCTCTGGTCTCTCGCTCTCTGGTCTCTCGCTCTCTGGTCTCTCGCTCTCTGGTCTCTCGCTCTCTGGTCTCTCGCTCTCTGGTCTCTCGCTCTCTGGTCTCTCGCTCTCTGGTCTCTCGCTCTCTGGTCTCTCGCTCTCTGGTCTCTCGCTCTCTGGTCTCTCGCTCTCTGGTCTCTCGCTCTCTGGTCTCTCGCTCTCTGGTCTCTCGCTCTCTGGTCTCTCGCTCTCTGGTCTCTCGCTCTCTCGCTCTCTGGTCTCTCGCTCTCTGGTCTCTCGCTCTCTGGTCTCTCGGTCTCTCTCGCTCTCTGGTCTCTCTCGCTCTCTGGTCTCTCTCGCTCTCTGGTCTCTCTGGCTCTCTGGTCTCTCTCGCTCTCTGGTCTCTCTCGCTCTCTGGTCTCTCTCGCTCTCTGGTCTCTCTCGCTCTCTGGTCTCTCTCGCTCTCTGGTCTCTCTCGCTCTCTGGTCTCTCTCGCTCTCTGGTCTCTCTCGCTCTCTGGTCTCTCTCGCACTCTGGTCTCTCTCGCTCTCTGGTCTCTCTCTCTGGTCTCTCTCTCTGGTCTCTCTCTCTGGTCTCTCCCTCTGGTCTCTCCCTCTCTGGTCTCTCTCTCTCTGGTCTCTCGCTCTGGTATCAGATGCTTCCTGGAGATAGACCTGAATATGTAACAGATAATCTCTGCTATAATCTCATATTCTCTGCCGTGTGTAAATCCCACGGCTCTGAGAGGAGACTGTGTTAAAGGTGAAAGACACATTTGAACTGTTGAGGAATGAGGCCTCGTTTAGACGGAGATGCTGCGAAACAATTAGCAAAAACATCTACAGCACAACTGAAAACAATGTCGTTCTAGCGCCTGGCCAGTAGGGGGCAGTGCAACTTTACAACACGACAGACGCAACCCCTCAGCAGTAGAACCATTTCAACATCATCCTCCTCAGGCAACAAAGACGTGAAAGAACCAACATTATTCTGCATTTAAAGGAGCAGTGTGTAAAAATGTGGCCAAAAGTGGTACTGCAGCCTCTCCCACTCTCCCTGACTCAGGTTGCCAGATATGCAGACGAATTCAGCAGGGACCCTAACAGCTGGATAGACAAGTTTTGTCAACAACAAATCTATAACCAACACCTTTTTCACAAAGATAGAAATCCTGGTTTTATTCCTTGTTTTGTCATTCATGATTTGAGAATCATAACGAGACCTGTTTTAGTTCTGCACCACATGGTACTTTACCAGTGAGATTAGCTCCACGCGGTGAGTTCTGGCGCCCGGATCACAGACTTTCTGATTGGTGAAACGGTGGAGGGCGGGACATCGAAATGAAAACAATAACAAGATTTAGGGGCTGGAAAAGTAATTTAGAAATTCAAATATCTCTGAACTACTGTTATCAGTAAAAGAAGTATTGGAAAAGAACCTTTGACAGACTATGGCCCTTTAACCCATTATGGGTTCATGATGACTTGACATGAAATTCTTACATTTTGTTACGGCAGCTGTGAAAATAGAAACTGAAACTAGAGATTTGCGTGGTTTTGTTTGGACGAAAGAGTAGAATTCTCCTCCGTGTTGAGATGCTGAGGTCAGAGCAGCAGAGAATTCACACCTTTTTCTTCAAACGTCTGTAAAACAGCCCCCGCCGCAGCAGCTGTTCTGTTCCACTCTGGAGGCTGTTTCTCAACTCTTGCGTTTTCACCTGAAACACAGTCTCCGTGTAAACGAAAGGACAAACCAACACCAACGTTTTACTGACGCAGCGTCTCTGTGTAAACAGCACCTCAGTGTGGTTTAATCTACACCAGATCACACACTTCCTTACAAGTATGTAATAGATAAAACAAGAGAGACCACTGAGAGAGAGAACAGAGAGAGACAAGCGAAAGAGATCAGATAAACTAGATAGCGGAGAGAGAGATCGCAAAGAAAGACCAGAGAGAGACCAGTGAGACTAGTGACCAAAGAGAGAACGCAGAGAAAGAGCAGAGACCAGAGAGAGACCATCGAGAGAGATCAGATAAACTAGCTACCAGAGAGAGAGACCACAAAGTAAGACAAGAGAGAGACCACAGAGACACCAGCGAGAGAGATCAGAGAGGGACCACAAAGACACCAAAAAGAGAGATCAGAGAGAGATCAAAGAAAGTATGCCGAGAGAGCAGAGATAGAGACCTCAAAGAAACCACAAAAAATGTAATTAAATCAGTCTATAAATTCTGCCTCTAAAGCAGTTTGCTTCAATCACGGGACAAACATCATGGTTTTATGGTATTATGGGCTAGAAGAGGTGAAAGTGTGAGTTTGGGGAGAGACCCATGTTCCACAGCCAGAGGAACAGCTTAAGAATGAGTTGAGAGACTGGTCCTGGTGCAAAAGGGAGGACTGTCCTAATGTGAAGTAAAGAAGGACAAAGGAGGCTGTGGAGAAACATGCTCCCAACGCCACACTCACTAAAACAACTCCAGATTCAAACAGTTTCCTTCTGTAGAGTTGGTTCTATTCAGCTGTTTTCAGAGAGAACACACCTGACCTTTCAGAGAGGACACACCTGTGAGTTACAAGACTCACAAGTCTCTCTCTCTGGTCTCCCTCTCTCTCTGGTCTCTCTCTCTCTCTCTCCAGTCTCACTCCCTGGTCTCTCTCTCTCTGGTCCCTCTCTGGTCTCCCTCTCTCCCTCTGGTCTCTCTCTCTCTCTCTGGTCCCTCTCTCTGGTCTCTCTCTCTCTCTCTCTGGTCCCTTTCCCTGGTCTCTCTCCCTGGCATCTATCCCTGGTCTTTCTAATGGCACTTATGGTTTCCTCGATTCCATCAGTGTGCCCCAGGGCAGCTGTGGCTATCACAGTAGTTTATCAATGTTGTGCATGTAGTCAGTGAATGAATGTCTTTGAGAGTCCAAAAAAACGCTGTATAAAACTCGATGCATTGTCTGCCATTTCTCCAAAACAACACAGTAAACACATTCCTGTTATTGCTGCACATATCTGCACACATAAATATCTGCACACGTAAATATCTGCACACGTAAATATCTGCACACGTAAATATCTGCACACATAAATATCTGCACACATAAATATCTGCACACGTAAATATCTGCACACGTAAATACCTGCACACATAAATATCTGCACACGTAAATACCTGCACATATAATTTAACGTGCACACATAAATAACTGATGCATGGCGTTAGCTGCATATTTATGATCTAATCCGTGGGCACCGCAGGCCTCTGACCAGCCGTGCCAGGGAGTGCATTTCACGGCCAGATAAATCAGTGATTCTCGCAGTTACCTGTTCGTGGAGGGTCCGTCAGAGCGAGGACAAAGAACAAGCAGAGGACGAACCCGCGGCTGCCCACCTTAGGCCACATTTATCCCCCATTCATGGTCTCTGCTCCTGAAGAAAAATACAAATCCACAGCGAGGCTTAAGCTGCGCGATGGCCCCGCTCTGCTTCAACCATTGACGCCGTTTCTGGTCATCTCTGCGCCAGAACCGCAAAACAGGATCAGCGCAGACTGTGTCCCATCACAGGCGCAAAAACCTGCTGGTTTGTGGGCGATAAAAGGTGACGGACGATGGGCATTAGCGCCGTGCGGGTCCGTGTTGCGCTGTGCTACTGGTCTGGGGAGATCCAAGATGGCGGCCGCATCATCACAACAGGGAGATCCAAGATGGCGGCTGCTCAATCACAACAATCTCAAACATTCACAAGCATCAGCTGAGAGAGGGAGGAGCTGCGGATTACAGGATTACAGCTCTGTGGGTTCTTCTTACGAGAGATATGTCAAGTGTACGTTTATAAGCCCCTTTGGAACAGATAAGCAATGCTAATGCTTAATGAAGCTCAATAGGGAAGTGCTCATGGACGGAGTTTGGCTCCTCTATCTGGCGCCTATTGATTTACATGTAAAAGTAAACTCCTAGCTCAAGTGTTTGTGTCACAATCACCATGTGCAAAGCTCTGCAACAACTTTATTTTCTTAGCTACTCCACATCATTATTTTTGACTCATTTTATTCAATACAACACAATACATTCAGAAGTATCACTGAACTTAGTGGAGCTTTAGCAACACACACAGTTTTTTCATCTCCTCACCAGTGGGTTGGAGCTGTCTCACAACCAAAATGTCTTATTGTGATCATTTTCTTTGTAAATCCCATCAACTAGATATGAGTGTGACATCACCACCGTTTTAGCTTTAATGCAGAGGAAGCCAATTTGAACATAGTTGGAGCCAGTTTCTTTGTATGGGTATTGTTCTGTAACAGAGGCAGATGTGTTGCCAAGACAGTTGCCAAAGCAAACTATAGTGTGAGATTTCATAACACTTTGAAGCAACTTTTGTTAAAGTTAAACTCATCATTCTATCAATGTGCAGAAGTCTGTACTTTTCCACTACTTGTTTTGACTATCTCTGCTGACACTGTGGCAGCTGCTGATTGGAGGTCTCCGTTTCTCCTGAGTATATTACGTCGTAACATCCCTTGTTCGTGTTGTTCGTGTTGTCTCTACCATCGACAATAAAACATGTCTTCTGTCTGAATTTAAGACACGATCCCAGACTTTGTCATCGTCTTCAATAGTTTCCCTTGTGAATGAAGGCCTCGGATTGGTCATTCCATAAATTAAAATCCATGTGCATAAATGTCCTGGATCACTGTCCCGACATACTCCTGCATCAACAGAAAGTCCCAATGAAACAGAAAAAAGTGAGAAACTTTAGGGAAGTCCATAATGAGAGAGGCTGTAGACTTTGACTGAGGCAGGCAGTAGTTTGTTTTATGTAGCAGTAAAAACAGTTTAAACCACAAAATACTCAATGATGAAACTGTTCAATATTTAGCTGGTAAATAGTATTCAATCCATTACTTAAAGTATGTACAGTATAATTTTATAATGTTGAATGACTATTTTTAACCAATTCACACCGAGCAACACAGGTTTGATAACAAGCGGTTTTTATTTGAATACTGTAACTCAACACAGCACTCGCGACTAAAAAGTACTGTACTCTACTCTGTACTCTACTCTGTACTCTACTCTGTACTCTACTCTGTACTCTACTCTGTACTCTACTCTACTCCTTTAGTCCCTCTTGGTCCTGGTTCTATCCAGGCCGAGCTGGTGCTAGCTAAAGTGTTCTAACCATGGATCTATCTGACAGTGATTGGTCAGAGTGCGGTCAGCACTAGATCATATACGGAATCGGGACGGAAGCGGAAGTAAAAATAACAAACTACCTATTCATGCCTAAACTTAACCAGCCATTCCCATAAAATAACCCCAACCCATCCTTAACCCTAACCTTAACCATCTTAAACACCTAAAACTTAACCAGTCACCATTTAAGGACGAATTAGTCTTAAATTAATTTGAAAGTAGGATTGTTACTTCCGGTTTCGTCCCGATTACGTATATGATCTAGTGCCGACCGTCAGAGTGCTGCTGGAAGCCATGGTTACCAAGGAAATTCCCTGGATACTGGTTTGTTGTGAGGTTTCTAGGATACGGTACCAGATACTAAACTGTATTAGAAACACAATCAGGTAGAGTACAGAAGAGCAGAGTACATTAGAGTAGAGTAGAGTCGGTGGAAACAGGGCTAAAGTGAACTCAGCGATGACCTTCAAAGACTTGTATAAAATAGTTTTTTACATAAACTTCACGTTTCTGAAGCAAAAAGACACAAAACTACACAGAGCAGGACCAGGGCTGCACAAGGAAACACACATAGTTTATGTTCACTTCTCTCACTAGTTTTAATGTATTCTCAGAGATCTTGTTGTTACATGTTTTTTTGAGGCCTTGATCTTGGTCCAAGTCTCGGTCTAGTTCTGTCACGTCTTCAGACAGAAAAGTGAACAAGATCCCCCTCAGCCAATCAGCTGTCAGTAAAAAATAACTGCGTTCTAATAAAATAAATACAGCATGTTGTCACCCCTCTCTCCCCCCTCTCCTCTCCCCATCCTCCGTCCATTCTCCCTCATCCTCTCGCCCCTTGTCCACTCTCCCCCGACCTCTCTTTCTCTCTCCCCCGGTCCCCCTCTCTCCCCGGTCCCCCTCTCCCCCCGGTCCTCCTCTCTCCCCGGTCCTCCTCTCTCCCCGGTCCTCCTCTCTCCCTGTCCACTCTCCCCCCCTCCCCTCTCCCCCACCAGTATGACCACAGTGCATTCTCGCCCTAACAAACAAATCCATGTTGACAGAGACAGAGCTGGTGAGTCCACATTAGAAAAAGTCCGCTGCCTTCCGTCTCTTGGGCAGCTGCAGCAGATTGTCTGTGAGGGAGGTGACGTCTTGAGAACTGGGCGTCTTGGCCTTGAGCGGCGTTGGCGTTCCCGTCGGCGTGGCGGGGCCGTTGAACGGAGACTTTGCGACGCGCCGGTGCGAAGGGGACGGCGTGTAGCTGGCTCTCAGTGCTTTGTCTGTGTATTTACTGGACGTGCGGTTCACCAGTCTCTGTAAAGCCGGGCTCAGGGCGGGGCTCATGCCTTTAGGTGTCAGACTGCAGAGAGAACACACAGATTAAAGCTGGAGCACCTTACTTTTAAACCACAGAAAGAAACTGTCAGAACAGAACACATGATACAGATATTGGTTTTGTATCAAATGTCCCGAATCTGCCCCAAGACCTGAGCTATAACCATAGACTGTATATTAGGAGTGTGACATCACCGCAGTGTGACACAGACTGTAAATTATAACGGATATAGTCACATCCATCTTAGCCGCACTTTTGTCTTCTGTGGGCTTTTTCAAAAAATGCTTTTCCGCATGTGTGAGCTGCACGAGCCCCATTCATTTAACGAGTGAATTCTGAAGTCCACAGCGGCTAAACTAGACTGGTCCAGAAAAAAAAAAATCCGCTCAGCATCTGGAACCAAGAGCCACTTTTGGACCAAGAGCCACTTTTGGACCATCCTGTAAAGATGTTTTCAAGAGAAAAAAAGGCGCCATACAAAAGCATCTGGTAACTCTTTCCGGGTACACCTCCACCGGCCTGGAGTGAGATTGCAGCATGTCAGCGAACATGCTCATGGACCTTTTGGAGCCGGGAACCACCTCCACTGGTGTGACATCACCACCGTGCAACATCACCACAGCCTTAATGCAAGAGAAGCCTATTTGAACATAAACTGGAGCCAGTTTCCTTATATGGGCATATGTTCTGATGACGTTAACTTCACACCATAACAGGAGCAGACATGTTGATAAGACAGTTGCTACTATTGGGCTTCAGTGAGTTAGCGGGTTAGCATTGTCCAAAGTCCATGTGTATACAGTCTGTGTTAGCATCGTCCCTCTGTCACAGTGTGTGTTAGCATCGTCCCTCTGTCACAGTGTGTGTTAGCATCGTCCCTCTGTCACAGTCTGTGTTAGCATCGTCCCTCTGTCACAGTCTGTGTTAGCATCGTCCCTCTGTCACAGTCTGTGTTAGCATCGTCCCTCTGTCACAGTCTGTGTTAGCATCGTCCCTCTGTCACAGTCTGTGTTAGCATCGTCCCTCTGTCACAGTCTGTGTTAGCATCGTCCCTCTGTCACTGTCTGTGTTAGCATCGTCCCTCTGTCACTGTCTGTGTTAGCATCGTCCCTCTGTCACTGTGTGTGGATGAGGACCTGTACCTTGCCAGGTTCTGTGTGGCCTTTCTCAAAGCTTCCTGTTTCTTTGCGCGATTCTTGGCCGCGGCTTCATTTGCCATCTTCAACCCAAGTCTTTCTCTCCTTCCAGGTTCTGGGATCTGAGGACAAGACGAAGGAAATAAATTACAACATTGTGCCTCGACCAGAACATTCATCAAATGTGGAGTTTATATAGTTTTAAAGTATATCACAGAGACAGACACCATTTACACTGCTCCCTGGTTTATCTCAATACTGTCTCCTCTCCTCTTCCTTCTTTCTTTCGCTCTCCCTCTCTGTCTGTCTCCCCTTCTCTCCTGTCGTCTCTCTCCTTTCTCTCCTGTCATCTCTCTCTCCTCTCCTCTCCTCTCCTCTCCTCCTCCCTCCTGTCCTCTCTCCTGTCCTCCCCCTGTCCTCCCCCTCCCCTCCCCTCCCCTTGTGTCCTCCCTCTCCTCTCCTCTCCTCTCCTCTCCTCCCATTCCTTCCTGGATGTTAGCAGCTGTGATCTCCTTTGTTCTGGGCAGTAGAGCTTCAGACGTCCTCAGTTTCAGAAACAGCTTCAGCCGCAGCATTAGTTCATTCAAATATTCAGTTTGACTTCAACACAAACTTCACTTAATATAAAGGTTAGAAATACACAGACTCCACTCAGAAAGGCCCGGTTCAAAGCCAGGACCAGTATCTTTACCTTAAACGATGGGCCGTGGTTTCTCTCGATGTGCGGCGTGTCAGAACCGTCCAATCGGAACGGAGTGCTCTCAATCTCTCCCCACGTCATGAGAGGAGAGTCTGCTACACCTACAACAACAACAACAACTGTTACCACGACGACAACAGCAGCTCTCGTATGCATTCATGCTACTAACAAACCCGGAAACAAACATTGTGTGTGTCCTGTCCCTGGTTTTCTCAGACACACATTTTTAAAACATTAACAGAGAGAGCAAGAGAGACCCAAGAGACAGTGAGAAACCAGAGAGAAACCAGAAAAAGAAAGAGAGAGGAGAGAGAAAGAAACCAGAGAGAGAGCGGGAAAGGCCGAAGAGACAGAAAGAGAGAGAGGAGAGAGACAGAGAGAGCAGAGAGAAAGAAACCAGAAAGACAGAGAGAGGAGAGAGAAAGAAACCAGAGAGAGAGAGAGAGAGAGAGGCCAAAGAGACAGAGAGAAACCAGAAAAAGAAAGAGAGGCGAGAGAAAGACAGAAAGAAACCAGAGAGAGAGCAAGAGAGGCCGAAGGGAGAGGGACCAGAGACAAAAAGAGAGAGAGCAGAGAGAATGAGACCAGAGTGAGACCAGAGATGAACAGAGAGAGGCTGAAGAGAGTGAGAGGAACCAGAGACAGAAAGAGAGACACACAGAGAGAGAAGGACACTCACCAGGTGCAGGGGAGGGCGTGGCCACATATCCAAACCCATTCACAGACGGAGACTCCTGAGGGATGAGCTCCTTTCCATCCGGACCCACTTTACCCTGTTTGAACTGGAGACAGAGTCCGACATGAGCGCCGCACTAAAGCCCCAGCTCCACCTACTCCACCTGCTCCACCTGCTCTATCCTACCCCCCCTGCTGGTGACTGTGGTTACCTGAGCGTTGAGGGCGGCCGCCTGCTGGATCTGGCTCTTGTTGAGGGCTTTGCTGAAGGGGTCTGTGATGAAGCGAGTGTTTCTGTGCAGCACCTCCCTGGGCTTCTTAAAGGCAGTGTCGTCTGGAACTCCTGAGGGGACAGAGAGACATGTGACTCCCTCTGTGTGTGTCTGTCTCAGAGTGTGTGTGTGTGTCTCTATGTGTGCATATTTCTATGTGTGTGCGTGTGCGTGTGTGTGTGTGTGTATATTTATATGTGTGTGTATGTGTCTCTCTGGTCTCTCTCTCTCTGGTCTCTCTCTCTCTCTGGTCTCTCTCTCTCTCTGGTCTCTCTCTCTCTGGTCTCTCTCTCTCTGGTCTCTCTCTCTCTGTGTATTTCTGTGTCTCTGTGCGTCTCTCTGTATGTGTCCGTGTGCGTCTCTGTGTGTGTGTGTGTGTGTGTGTATGTGTGTCCGTGTGTGTGTGTGTGTGCGTGCGTGCGTGCGTGCGTGCGTGTGTGTGTCCGTGCGTGTGTGTATGTGTCCGTGCGTGTGTGTGTGCGCGTACCTTCAGGATAATACATGAGTGTGTTCTTGGCCTTGTACTCCCAGGTCTCGAGTCCAGCTTTCACACACTCCAATGCCGCCTTCTCAGGAGCGAGCAGCGCCAGGTTCTCCTGATGACGCTGCGAACACGAAGGACCACATTTCTATTCAACGTTTACTTCAAACACTGAGTGGAGGTCTCCGTCTCCATGGGATACCATACACACACGTGACAGGCCGCAACGCTTTAGCTACAACACTTATTTAGACTGTGTATTTGTGTGAACGAGAAGGACAGAAGGCTCCGAATACACAATGTACTGCCCCAATAGTGGAAAGGACGGGGGGGACGGGGGTGCATCAGAGGGAGGAGAAAGGGAGGGGGCACAGACCTGTTGGAACTCTGTCTCTGCGTCGTACAGCCAGGCGTGACGCAGCTTCTCTTTGTCTTTGGCCAAGTCCATGATCTGTTCGAACGAGGAGTTGTCTTCACTCGTGTGTTTGGCCAGAAACCGATCCAGAGACGGGAGCTCCTTCTCTTTGTCCTCGTCGTCTTTGTCTGAGGCACAGGAACAACATGAAACAGAACTCACCATGGAGAAATGTACAGTTACATTTGGCTTCAATAAGACCAGGGTGTGGAAACAGGGAACAGGTAAAAAGATCAAAGAAATCTCAAGTGCGTCGAGGTAAAACAAAGTGTAACATCGCTGGAATAAGGAGCACCAAAAGAAGTGGTTTTACACTGGTCCAGACCAGAGCAGAGAGGATTCATGGTTTTACACTGGTCCAGACCAGAGCAGAGAGGATTCATGGTTTTACACTGGTCCAGACCAGAGCAGAGAGGATTCATGGTTTTACACTGGTCCAGACCAGAGCAGAGAGGATTCATGGTTTTACACTGGTCCAGACCAGAGCAGAGAGGATTCATGGTTTTACACTGGTCCAGACCAGAGCAGAGAGGATTCATGGTTTTACACTGGTCCAGACCAGAGCAGAGAGGATTCATGGTTTTACATGGTCACACTGGTCCAGACCAGAGCAGAGAGGATTCATGGTTTTACACTGGTCCAGACCAGAGCAGAGAGGATTCATGGTTTTACACTGGTCCAGACCAGAGCAGAGAGGATTCATGGTTTTACACTGGTCCAGACCAGAGCAGAGAGGATTCATGGTTTTACACTGGTCCAGACCAGAGCAGAGAGGATTCATGGTCCGAAACAAGCTCCACCTCTGCTGCTGCGATCTAAAATACTGCTGCATTTTAATCAGGGCGACACGGTGGCTGAGTGGATAGCACTCTCGCCTCTCAGCAAGAAGGTCCTGGGTTCGAATCCCGGTTGGACCAGGGCCTTTCTGAGTGGAGTTTGCATGTTCTCCCTGTGTCTGCGTAGGTTTCCTCCGGGTGCTCCGGTTTCCCCTACCACTAAAAATATGTACAATAGGTCTGGCATGTGCCTCCTGTACTGGCACCCCCACTCCCAAAAATAACAATTGTAAACCGCTTTGAGACTCCGATGTGCAGTGAAAAGGCGGTATATAAATAAAGATTACTTAAAGATTACTTACTTACAATATATTGAAAAATATTGTTATCACGATATTGGTGCGTGCAATATCCGTATCGAAAATATGTGCGTTTTATTTTCCTTTATTAAAGACAACAAAACAGACACATCAACATTCAACAAATACAACAAACAAACAAACAAAAAAAGTATATAAATAAATGCATTTTTGAATGTCATTAATGCTTTTGTTATTTGTCTCTTGCGTTTAAATGCAGATTGCAATTTAGGTGAAAGAAAAAAATATCGCAACAATATTGTTATCGCAATACTAAACACGCACATCGAATATCGCTCTAATTTCCAATATCGTGCAGCCCTAATTTTAATAGAATTGTTAGCTACTTTTAGAACGATCTATTGATTTGTTTTGTTTGTTTGGATCAATAAAGTATCGATCTATCCATGAGATACTCGTGCACATGCGGCTGCTTTACCTCTAACCCCGCTCTTGTGGCTGGCAGCAGGAGATCCGGGCTGCCCCACAGGAGTCTCGAAGCTGGCGGGTGTAACATCTGTAAAACAGTAGAACATCTGTATAAAGGCCGTCATAATAAACAGATGAACACGGCGTCTCCGGTGTCACTTACATGGCGCCGCAGACTGAGGCGTGGCTTTGGTCAGAGACGATCCGTATCTGATGGAGATCTGCCGCATTCTCTCCAGGTCTCCATTTTCTTCTGCCTCTAAATACTCTCTCTGCGCCTGGAGCTTTGTCACATCAGGGAAGAAGTCTCGCTGAATGATTTTCTCTAGATTCTGAGAAAATAAAAACACGGTCAGGCTCAGCAAAAGAAACACACTGAGTCCTGAGTCAACAGCCTCAGTCCTGGGTCTACAGCCTCGATTCTGGGTCTACAGCCTCAGTTCTGGGTCTACAGCCTCAGTCCTGGGTCTACAGCCTCAGTCCTGGGTCTACAGCCTCAGTCCTGGGTCTACAGCCTCAGTCCTGGGTCTACAGCCTCTGGGTCTACAGGCTCAATCCTGGGTCGACAGCCTCAGTCCTGGGTCGACAGCCTCAGTTCTGGGTCTACAGCCTCAGTCCTGGGTCTATAGCCTCAATCCTGGGTCTACAGCCTCAATCCTGGGTCTACAGCCTCAGTCCTGGGTCTACAGGCTCAGTCCTGGGTCTACAGCCTCGATTCTGGGTCTACAGCCTCAGTTCTGGGTCTCAAACCCTGCCGTGTCATGATCCCAGTGTGTTCACCTCTATGTATTCCTCTTCGTCCAGAACTTTCTTGTTGGGTTTTACGTGGTTCTGGTCTTCAGCTGGGGACCGCAGGGCGACAGTCGTGACTGCGGACGGGTCCAGAGTTCCGGACAAGGCTTTCCTGACGCTGGTACTGACCTCCATGACTCTGAGCCTTCACTGAACCAGAGTTAGTATTAGAGCAGTCACAACACTCCCGTCTGCATCATAACAACGATCACACTGAGCTAAAGCTAATGCTAACATGGATGTTTTCATCAGACGACACCGGAAGTGAGCTCTTCTTCTCCTTGTTCCACTTTCCAGCTCCGTCCGAACCACACTGCCCCCAGAGGCCAGAGGATTTACCATCAGCCTCCGCTCATGGATCTACTCTACTCTACTGTATTGTAAAATTAGAGTTTCAGTGTAAAAATAATCTTTATTTGGAAGCATCAAGGAAGTGACTCGTTGCATTAAACAGAAACAATCAATATTTACATTAGATTCACACAGAGAAGGAAAGAAAGTGGTTCTAATCTGGTTTAACAACATTTGTTGTGTGTGTCTCCCCTCTTTCTCCCCTCTCTCTCCTTTCCTCTCTCCCTTCTTCCCTCTTTCTCTCCCCTCTCTCTCTCATCTCTCCTCTCACCTCTCTTTTCTCTCCCCTCTCTCTCCTCTCCTATCTCCCTTCTTCCCTCTTTCTCTCATCTCTCCTCTCTTTTCTCTCCCCTCTCCTCTCCCCTCTCTCTCCCCTCTCTCTCCTCTCTCTCCTCTCTCTCTCCTCTCCCCCCTCTCTCTCCTCTCCTCTCCTCTCTCTCCTCTCCTCTCTCTCCTCTCTCCTCTCCCCCTCTCTCACCTCTCCCCTCTCTCTCCTCTCCCCTCTCTCTCCTCTCTCTACTCGGCCTTGTTCCACTTAATAAACTTGTTTTTGAGGGTAGACTTTGACAAAGGCTGAAATTAAATCCATGACATACAGTATAAATATGAAATCATTCTGGAGGCAGGAAGTTTGAATAAAAACTGTCCAAACGCTTTGTCAATAATCAAACAAACAAACAGATAGATGTATAGACCCAGAGTCAGCAGGAGTCCTGAGGGAGGCCTGGGTCTGAGCTCTGGAACACGGAGCACGGGAGCCTCCTCTGACGTCTCCACTTCGCTCTACGATTCTTAAACCAGACCTGGAGGCAGAACACAACTTCAGACACACACACACACACACACACACACACAACACAATACATACACATATACACACATAAACATACATAAACATACACACACACACACACACACACAACACAATACATACACATATACACACATAAACATACATACGCACACACACACACACAACACAATACATATACATATACACACATAAATATACACACACACACTCACACACACACACAACACAATACATACACATATACACACATAAACATACACACACACACACTCACACACACACACAACACAATACATACACATATACACACATAAACATACACACGCACACACACACACACACACACACAACACAATACATACACATATACACACATAAACACACACACACACACTCATACACACACACACACACAACACAATACATACACATATACACACATAAACACACACACACACACACACTCATACACACACACACACACAACACAATACATACACATATACACACATAAACACACACTCACACATAAACACACACTCACACACACTCACACACACACACACACACACACACACACCTCCACCCGCTCCTCCTGCAGTTGGGCCCGTCCTGCCAGCGCCTCCCTGGTGTGGACGTCTGGATACTGGTTCTGCAGAAACAGCTCCTCCAGTGCCTCCAGCTGCTCCTCCGTGAAGATGGTGCGATGACGCCGACTCCTCCTCTGCGTCTGCGCCTCCTGCCGCTCCTCCTGCGTCTGCGCCTCCTGCCGCTCCTCCTGCCGCCACTGGTCCGGGAGCAGAGAGGAGGACCAGCTGTGGCCGTAGGCTGAGAAACAAGTTTATGTGTGTCTGTTTGTGACTCAAATACACAAATCAATGGTGTTTATTTTTGTATCGCTCTAAACCACAACAGTATTTATCACTGAGGACGATCAGAGAATCACACAGCTCACACACAGGAAATTACTCTCCTCTTTTCTCATCTCTCTTCAGTCTTGGTCCTGGTCCCTTCTCCTCTACTCTTTCCTCCTCTCTCCTCTCCTCTACTCTTTCCTCCTCTTCTATACTCTCCTCTCTCCTCAGTATTGGTCCTCTCTCCTCTACTCTCCTCTCCTCTCCTCTCTCTTCTCTCTTCTCTACTTTCTTCTTCTCTCCTCTCTCCACAGTATTGGTCCTGGCCCTCTCTACTCTCTTCTCCTCTCCTCTACTCTCCTCTCCTCTATTCTCTCTCTTCTCCTCTCCTATACTTTTCTCTCTCCTCAGTATTGGTCCTCTCTCCTCTCCTCTCCTCTCTCGTCTCTCTCCTCTACTCTCTACTTTCATCTCTCCTCAGTATTGGTCCTCTCTCCTCTACTCTCCTCTCCCCTCTGTCTCCTCTCCTCTCTCTTCTCTCTCCTCTACTTTCTTCTCCTCTCCTCTCTCCACGGTCTTGGCCTTGTCTCCTCTCCTCTCCTCTCTCTTCTATACTCTCCTCTCCTCTCATCTCTTCTCTCTACCGTACTTTCCTCTCTCCTCTCCTCTCTCCTCCTCTCCTCTTTCCTCTCTCCTCAATATTGGTCCTCTATCCTATCGTCTCCTCTCCCCTCTCCTCTCCTCTCTCTTCTCTCCTCTCCTCTCTTTACTCTCCTCTCCTCTCTCCTCCTCTCCTCTTTGCTTCTCTCTCTCCTCAGTATTGGTCCTCTATCCTCTCATCTACTCTCCCCTCCCCTCTGTCTCCTCTCCTCTCTCTTCTCTCCTCTCCTCTCTCTTCTCTCCTCTCTTTACGCTCCTCTCCTCTCTCCTCCTCTTCTCTCTCCTCATTCACTCCTTCATACCTTCATGACCCCTGTAGTCCGTGCGGAGCCCCTCTCGGCAGCAGCAGCAGCAGGAGCAGCAGGAGCAGCAGGAGCAGCAGCAGTGATCCGACAGACTCTGTATCCTCCCTTTGGCTCCTGCTCCGTCCGCACTTTTCAAAATGTTGTCGATGCTGAAGGGAAACCTCTGCCTCTCCATCGCTGCTTCCTCCCTCTCCTCCCACCACCTCCTCCTCCAGCTCCTTATAGTCCCCTCTGTAATCCCATTCTGTAATTGTCTCCAGTGTGACTCCTGTCTAATCTGGGAGTTTTTGTGGAGGGGTGAGAGAGGACAGGAGATTCCGATAATCTCGTTTTATGCCTTTTTCAGCTCAGATCTCAGAGAATAAGTGCAGATCTCATTGTTGGGGTTTTAGAGAAAAGGAGATTGGTTTGTGCTAAAGCAGGATCAGCGATTTGGCGGCTTCAGGATTAGCGTTTAAACACATTTCATAGTGTCACTTTCTGCTAATAATCTGATGGAATGAGATTTGTTATCGTTGTGGAGCAGTCTTTTTGACTCTGATAGCGACGCACAGGTAAAGGTTAAAATTCATCCTGGACACAAAGATTTCATACAACACCGTTTTTAAGAATTAATGGATTTTCTTGAATCCGCCTTAAGCTTCTTTGAGGCCTTTGTCCGCAGTGTTCGCTCGCTTTGAAATTATATGTGTAGATATCGCTCAGAGCAGGGGTTCTCAAGCTGTGGTCCCATAAGAGCAACTGTGTGTGGGACATGTGTTTTTAACTGCAGCCAATATGTACTGTATGTGTGTGTGTGTGTGTCTCTCTCTGTGTGTGTGTCTCTATCTGTGCGTCTCTCTCTCTGTGTGTGTGTCTCTCTCTGTGTGTGTGTCTCTATCTGTGCGTCTCTCTCTCTGTGTGTGTGTCTCTCTCTGTGTGTGTGTCTCTCTCTCTCTGTGTTTCTATGTGTGTGTGTGTCTCTCTCTCTATGTGTTTGTGTCTTTCTCTCTTTCTCTGTGTGTGTATCTTTCTCTCTCTCTCTGTGTGTGTGTGTGTAAACCATTTCTGAGGGGGATGGCAGTCAGAGCTGCACCCAGTACACAAAGCACCAGCCCCTCAATGTTCTTCCTGCAGGAGGTACTGTAGGTCCACAGGAGCCTTGATTATTCAGTGGGGGCTTCAGGCAAAGTGGGGTTAAGTGTCTTTCCCAAGGACACAACGAGGGCGGACATCAGTGGGAGTCGAGAAGATCTACAGTCTAAGTCTCTCTTTGGTTTCTCTCTGGCCTCTCTCTGGTTTTAGCCTCTTTGGTCTCTCTCTGGTCTCATGCATGAGACTAGAGAGAGACCAGAGACTAGAGACCATGAGACTCAAGGTCTCTAGTCTCTGGTCTCCCTCTGGTCTCTCTCTGGTCTCTCTCTAGTCTCTGGTCTCTCTCTGGTCTGGTCTGGTCTGGTCTGGGGGGTGAACTCTGTGAGCGCGCGCTCCACTGGGCGGAAAAGGCGGGAGTCTGCCGCGTCGCTTCCGCGTCCTGCCGCGTCCTTCCGCCCAGAGAAAATGGAAGATAAGTTAATTCTGTCCGTGTTTAACTTTCCTGAACTTTACAACGCGACGCTCCCGAACTACCGCTGCACGCAGAGCCGTGCGGCGGCGTGGAAGAGCATCAGCCTGACGCTAGGGCTGCCCAGTGAGTTACACTTTATATAAACTTTCAGTAAAGTTCAGTTACGTAACTTACTTTAAAAACCTCAGACACAAAGAGGCGGCGCGATCACACGGCCCCGCGTCACAGACATCTGTTACCGTTAACGTGAGCACGCGGAAATCTGTGCTGCTAACGTAAACATGCGGTAATCTGTGCTGCCGCGCGGTGCTCGCGGTAGAGTCCATGCGGCAGGTCGCGCACGCGGCACAGTATAACGGGAATCTCCCGGGGGTTAGTGAGCGATCAGCGGCGCTCACGGAGAGAAGTGTTAAAACCCCTGATTATGCTGCAGCTCCAGGCGAAGTGCTACTTTACTACTGTTTTACACTGTACTTTTAGTGTATGTCAGAAGAAAACATTTGTAGGGCTCCCAGGTCTCTCTCTCTCTCTGTTATCTCAGGTCTCTGTCTGGTGTCTCTCTCGGGTCTCTCTCTGGTCTCTCTCTGGTCTCTTATCTGCTTTCTATCTGGTCTTTCTCTGGTCTCTCTCTAATCTCTCCGGATTCTCTCTGGTCTCTCAGGTCTCTTTAGGCTCTGTCTGATCTCTCTCTGGTCTCTCTCTCTGACCTCTCTTTGGTCTCTCAGGTCTCTCTCTGATCTCTCTTAGGTCTCCCGCTCCCTGATCTCTCTCTGGTCTCTCTCAGGTCTCTCTGGTCTCTCTCTCTCTGATCTCTCTCTGATCTCTCTCCCCCTGATCTGTCTCTGGTCTCTCTCTCTCTGATCTTTCTCAGGTCTCTCTGGTGTGTGTGAGGGTTGTACAGCCTTAAACAAACAGCTGCCACTGATCGTGGGCAGATACACAGATTAGAACACATCACCACTGTCATAAACCAGGCTCCTCTGTACATAAATAATTGTTGAAAACAGTTATTTCGATGAGATAAAGTGTTTTTTGTTTTGTAGCCGACGAATGCAAAAAGAAATGGAAGAACATGAGAGACCGGTACCTGAAGGAGGTGCGTCTGGAGGTGAAGAGCCGCTCCCTGCTCTCGGAGCCGGTGCAGAGCCGCTGGAGGTACAGGCAGCTCATGAACTTCATCGCTCCCTTCACCGGCTCCAGGGTCAGCCTCAACGACATGTGCCCTGAGGACGAGCCGGAGAACCAAGACCCGGAACCAGGAAGCGCCCAGGGCCTCACCGGCACCGCAGACACCATCAAGACCCCGCGCTCCGGAGCCAAAGCCATCCCACACACCGACACCAAGCCTCGCATCGCCTCTGTGCCGCAGGACCCTCAGGCCTCCAAGATCTCCTCCAGCATCTCCCCCATCGTCAACAAACCAGGACGCAAGAGACGCTACGCCCAGCCCGAGAGGAGGACCAGCGCCGCCGCAGACCAGGGCGCTCCGGAGACCAGCGACACGACCAGAGATGAGGACCAGCTGTTCCTGCTCAGCTTCGTACCAGCGCTGAAGAGACTTGCTCCTCAGAAACGCTGCGAGACCAAGATGAGGATCCAGCAGCTGCTGTACGAGGCCGAGTTCAACGTGTGCGAGGCGGAGAGAGAGGCCCAGGACTGAGGCCCAGGACTGAGGCCCCCGCCGGACCATGTGAGGGACTGTCTCTGCTGGTTTATGAGCTGTGATGTCACCAGCTGAGACTGATACAGACTCTTGAGCTTCTAATTTTGATTTATGGTTCAAATTATTTAGAATTAATATTATAGAAACTGGAGGCTTTTGGCCAAAGAGAGAGTCGAGAGAGAGACTTGAGAGAGTCGAGAGAGAGACCAGAGGGAGACTAGAGACAGAGACCAGAGAGAGACCAGAGAGGGACCAGAGAGGGACCAGAGAGGGACCAGAGAGGGACCAGAGAGGGACCAGAGGGAGTCCAGAGAGAGACCGGAGGGAGACCAGAGAGAGACCAGAGAGAGACCAGAGAGGGACCAGAGAGGGACCAGAGAGGGACCAGAGGGAGTCCAGAGAGAGACCAGAGAGAGACCAGAGAGAGACCAGAGAGAGACCAGAGAGGGACCAGAGAGGGACCAGAGAGGGACCAGAGAGAGACCGGAGGGAGACTAGAAAGAGAGACCAGAGGGAGACCAGAAAGAGAGACCAGAGAGAGACCAAAACGAGAACAGAGGGAGACCAGAGGGAGTCCAGAGAGAACCCAGAGGGAGACTAGAGACAGAGACCAGAGAGAGACCAGAGAGGGGCCAGAGTAGTCCAGAGGGAGACCAGTTGAGATTAACTTTGCATAAAAGGAAAGAGAGGGAAGGGGAGAGAGGAGAGGTCACTTCCAGATGTTGTTGTGGATTAATCCGCTGCAGATTTTGATGCTTTGAAATATTAACTTTTTTAACGTCTTTAAATGAGTTTCAGACAAAAGTAATACATTGATAAATCTGTTGCAAACAAACAAGAAAACTCTGACCGTTTTGAATTCAGCAAAATGTGTTACTGTCGCTGTGGTAGAACTTTATTAAAATTAAAAGGATTTGTCAAAAAGTGTTATATTTATCTTTATTTAAAATGAGGACAAATAGCAGTGGAGAGAGACACAAGAGACCAGAAAGACTAAAGAGACCAGAGAGAGACTAAAGAGAGACCAGAGAGAGACTAAAGAGAGACCAGAGAGAGACTAAAGAGAGACCAGAGAGACTAAAGAGACCAGAGAGAGACTAAAGAGACCAGAGAGAGACTAAAGAGACCATAGAGAGACTAAAGAGAGACCATAGAGAGACTAAAGAGACCAGAGAGAGACTAAAGAGACCAGAGAGAGACTAAAGAGACCAGAGAGAGACTAAAGAGACCATAGAGAGACTAAAGAGACCATAGAGAGACTAAAGAGAGACCATAGAGAGACTAAAGAGACCAGAGAGAGACTAAAGAGACCAGAGAGAGACTAAAGAGACCAGAGAGAGACTAAAGAGACCATAGAGAGACTAAAGAGACCATAGAGAGACTAAAGAGAGACCAGAGAGAGACTAAAGAGACCAGAGAGAGACTAAAGAGACCATAGAGAGACTAAAGAGAGACCATAGAGAGACTAAAGAGACTAAAGAGAGACCAGAGAGAGACTAAAGAGACCAGAGAGAGACTAAAGAGACCAGAGAGAGACTAAAGAGACCATAGAGAGACTAAAGAGACCATAGAGAGACTAAAGAGAGACCAGAGAGAGACTAAAGAGACCAGAGAGAGACTAAAGAGACCAGAGAGACTAAAGAGACCAGAGAGAGACTAAAAAGACCAGAGAGAGACTAAAGAGACTAAAGAGACCAGAGAGAAACTAAAGAGAGACCAGAGAGAGACTAAAGAGACCAGAGAGAGACTAAAGAGAGATCAGAGAGAGACTAAAGAGACCAGAGAGAGACTAAAGAGAGATCAGAGAGAGACTAAAGAGACCAGAGAGACTAAAGAGACCAGAAAGAGACTAAAGAGACCATAGAGAGACTAAAGAGACCATAGAGAGACTAAAGAGACCATAGAGAGACTAAAGAGAGACCAGAGAGAGACTAAAGAGACCAGAGAGAGACTAAAGAGACCAGAGAGACTAAAGAGACCAGAGAGACTAAAAAGACCAGAGAGAGACTAAAGAGACCAGAAAGAGACTAGAGACCAGAGATAAACTAAAGAGACTAAAGAGACCAGAGAGAGACTAAAGAGACCGGAGAGAAACTAAAGAGAGACCAGAGAGAGACTAAAGAGACCAGAGAGAGACTAAAGAGAGACCAGAGAGAGACTAGAGACCAGAGATAAACTAAAGAGACTAAAGAGACCAGAGAGAGACTAAAGAGACCAGAGAGAGACTAAAGAGACCGGAGAGAAACTAAAGAGAGACCAGAGAGAGACTAAAGAGACCAGAGAGAGACTAAAGAGAGACCAGAGACTACAGAAAGAGACTAATGAGACCAGAAAGACTAAAGAGAGTGACTAATAAGACCGGACCCATAACAAATACTGTAGTTTAATAACACTTTGAAATCCAGTTTATTTAATACTAACTGTACAGAAGTTTTTCAAATGTAAAAAAAAAAATTGAAAACATCAAAGTGAATCTGATACAAACTTTATTGATTCTTTGCAGACAATATTTACAGAGAAAACATTCACAGCAGCTCATTCACTCTGAGCTGCTGTCGATCTCTAGAGCAGAGGACTGTGACGGTCCGGGACATTTATACTGTTTACATGTGTTACTTCTGTCTCCATGGAAACCTTCATAAATGTGCTCTATACATAAAGTGGATTGGAGACAGGACAGTTTAATGGGAGGGGGGACAGGGGAGAGAGAGAGGCAGGGGGAGACAAGAGAAAGAGAGGAGAATAGGACAGAGGAGAGAGAGGGAGAGAGATAAGGGAGGAGAGAGAGGCAAGGGGGAGACAAGAGAAAGAGGAGAATAGGACAGAGGAGAGAGAGGGAGAGAGAAGGGGGGAGACAGGAGAGAGAGGAGGGGGACACAGGAGAGGGAGAGAGAGATAAGGGGGAGAGAGAGAGAGAAGAGGGGGAGACAAGAGAAAGAGGAGAATAGGACAGAGGAGAGAGAGGGGGAAAGATAAGGGAGGAGAGAGAGGCAGGGGGGAGACAAGAGAAAGAGGAGAATAGGACAGAGGAGAGAGAGGGAGAGAGAAGGGGGGAGACAGGAGAGAGCGAGAGAAGGGGAGACAGAGGAGAGAGAGAGAGAAGGGGGGGACGTAGGAGAGTGAGAGTTCAGGCTCCTCCTCAGGCGATCAGGAGCCAGAACACGATGGCCAGAGCCACAAAGAGGAAAAGTCGAGAGAGAAACTGTTCATCTGTGTGCTGCGGGGTCCCAGGGGCCGCTGGAGAGAGAGACACAGGTCAGACACAGAGACAGAGAGACAGAGAGAGTAGAGAGACAGAGAGACAAAGACAGAGAGACAGCGAGACACAAAGACACAGAGACAGAGAGACAAAGACAGAGAGACAGAGAGACAAAGACAGAGAGACAAAGACAGAGAGACAGCGAGACACAAAGACACAGAGACAGAGAGACAAAGACAGAGAGACAGAGAGACAAAGACAGAGAGACAGAGAGACAGAGAGACAGAGAGACAGCGAGACACAAAGACACGGAGACAGAGAGACAAAGACAGAGAGACAGAGAGACAAAGACAGAGAGACAGAGAGAGACACAAAGACACAAAGACAGAGACAAAGACATAGAGAGACATAGAGCAGAGATACAGAGACAGAGACACTCACCGGGTGGCGGTCTCCCATCGTTTATGTTGAAAGCTGTGGCAAAGATACCGAACGGAAAAGCCCCGATTCCAAATGCCGTCTGGAATCCTCCATTTCCAAATCCAAAACCATGAAACCTCTGCAGAAAGAGCAGGTGATGTCACACACTCAACCCAGGACTTTACAAAGTTGAGGATAATCCAGAGAGAGACCAGAGAGAGAGAGAAAGACCAGAGAGAAAGACCAGAGCAGAGAGATAGACCAGAGAGAGATCAGAGAGAGAGTCCAGAGAGATAGTTCAGAGAGACACAAGAGAGATCAGATAAATAGTCCAGAGAGAGAGGGATCAGAGAGAGGGTCCAGAGATTGTCCAGAGCGAGAGATCAGACAGAGAGAGAGACCAGATCAGCAAAATCAGCAGAATCCCACCTGCCCTTTAACATTTCTAAAACCCTATTTGCACGGGATTAGTCCCTGTGGACTTCTGGTCATTTCAAAATGGCCGCCCACTCCGGTGTTACTTACTGAACATTCGCACGGGAAAATAAGAGTGAAAATAGTGAATATAGTAATTTAATGAAGTGAAGTTTCTAACCAGAAGAGTGAGTCTGTGGAACTGCACTTACACCGTGGCTTTCAGGCTCAGGCCGTTGTCCCTGTGGTCGAGGGGGGGTTCTCTCTCTGGTGAGTGAGAAATCATGTTTAGGACTCTCTTTGTGAAGCGTACAGTAGTGTTTCTCATCCTGGTCCTGACCTGGGATCCTGCCGCCCGGTGCTCCCTCTGCCGTACAGTGGAATGACTTTATCTCGACTTATTCCCGCTTTACACACAGGACACACTTGTCTCGTCGGCCGAGTCTCCAGCCACTGCACACAACACTCCATTAGTAATAAATAATAGTAATAATCATGCAAGTATCATTATATCTACATAAACATATAGTCACACGACAAACACACATGTCCTGGTTTACCTGATGCAAACAGTGCCAGCTGGAAAAGAGAAAAATAAAATATGAAATTAATCTTTGCACAAAGTTTATAAAGAAGTCCACAAATAAATAAGAAAAAGCTTAAAGCAGATGTCCAGCTCATTTTGACTTCACCCTACTCCCTGCTCTAAGCCAAGGTTACCAAGGAAATTCCCCGGATACTGGTTTGTTGTGGGTAGGATGCTAGAATACGGAACCAGAAATTAAAGCTTAAACGTAGAGTAGGATTGGTGGAAACAGTGCTTTAGTGGCTGTCAAAATGTGCACAAGGACCAGGACCAGAACCAGGAGGCTCACCGTTTTTAACACAGAGTAGTCATAGTCTCGATCTAATACAATGAATTATATCATATCAAGGGCGGCAGTAGCTCAGTTGGTAGAGCATTGGCCTTTGAGCCAGAAGGTCGTGGGTTCAAGCCCCGCTCAAGACTTTCACCATCGACTCCCACTGACTACTGTCGTTGTGTCCTTGGCAAGACACTTAACCTCTGGGAACACCAGCCACAGTGGGGCGGCTGCGGCTGTAAAGTGCCAAACTGCCGTTGTGTCCTTAGGCAAGACACTTCACCCCCATTGCCTAGAATGAGTCTGGTGTGTGTGTGAATGGTTGGTGGTGGTCGGAGGGGCCGATGGCACATACTGGTTGCCTCGCTTCTGTCAGTGTGCCCCAGGGCAGCTGTGGCTACATTAGTAGTTTATCACCACCGTGTTTGGAGTGAATGAATAATGACACATGTGAAGCGTCTTTGAGTGTCCAAAAAAGCGCTATATAAAACCGATGCATTATTATTATTATTATCTTTATTATCATGTAAATAAACTAGCAATAGTGGCATTGTACAGTCCCACATGCATACTGTATATAATTGTCTGTGTTATAAATATGATCCTATTCTCCTGATTAGATGCTAAACTGCATTTTTTCTGCATTGCTCTGAACATTGTACTGACTTAATCTAATCTGAGGTTATAATATGTCAGGTCTCTTACAACACTGCCGCAAGTTTATCAAATGAATTGGACATCTTTGATTGACAGCTGTGACTCAGAGCTGTGGTAGTGACACTGACCAGAACAGATGACCACACAGGCTGATGACGGCGTCTTTGGCCGTGTCCAGGCAGATGTTGCACTCGAAGGTCCCGTCCTGGTTCCCACTGTCGGCTGCAGAGGAGCTGGACGTGGTGCCTTTACTTTCTGCGGCTGAAGCCATTTAAAAAGTGTAGTTCTTTCCAAATGCCGCGGGCAGATGTGGCTACGAACGAACCCACAACGTTTTAACACATGTATCTGGTCAGGGAGGCTGGATATGTTACAGGTTTAGCAGATAGATGCAATATCCAGGCTCATAACTGTCTGATGCTAATGCTAACAGCTGGTCATAAGCTAATGTTGTTGATGCTAACGCAGCTGAACAGGGAGTTCTCTACGTCTCACAAAACAGAAAACAGAAATAATCAAAACAACAGCAAGTAGGTACTTCCGGGTATGCGCAGTGTTTTACTTCCGGCCTTCTCGAGGAAACGCACACACGTTATTATTATAGATCCATGGCACACACACAATAACATAATATTTAGTCTATAAAACACCTACATACAATCATACTTGGATCATACACGTACACACATGCTCACTTAAACACACAAAGACACACACACACTGTACAGAGTTTCGGAGAGTGACGTCATGTGTCGACGTCACTAGGCAGCACCGCCATTTTGCCGGTCCACTCCTGCACGCGACCGTCGGTAACAAACGTGCGAGGCTGAAGGTAGCTAGTTAAACGGCAGTGATGGTTCGGACGTGTTGCATACTTGGCTGCAGAGTGAGGTCGCACGACAGAAAAGGTAATAGGTTAGACAACGGGATTTCTTTTTATGTTCTGCCTGCGTGGAAGAAGCATGAAGGAGACCTGGTTTCTGATGTTAGCAAAAGGAGACGGCTAGCTTGGTTGGCTGCAGTGAGAAGAGCTGATCTCAAGTTCTCTTCTATCATCCCCAAACATCTAGTGGTGTGTTCCAGACATTTTTTATCAGGTAAGTTCTAACTGTTGTTTTGCCAATACATGATTGTTACGTTCAGTCCTGGGTTTGGAGGGTGTTAGTCAAAGGGTCGGCACTAGATCATGTACGGAATCAGGACGAAACCGGAAGTAACAATCCTAGTTTCGAAATATTTTTAAACTAATAAGTCCTTAAATTGTGACTGGTTAAGTCTTAGGCGTCTGAGTAAGACGGTTAAGGCTGGGTTGGGGTTATTTTATGGGAATGGCTGTATAAGCAATAAACCGCGGTAAAGAGGTCCGGCTTTCCAGAACCAGCGGTAAAGAGGTCCGCACGTAAAAAGAGGGGTGTCACATTATGCGGTTACTTACGGTAACACAGGAAAGCGAAGCCGCGGGGATGGGCCGCCACAATGCATTTTTTAACATGATTCTTTTTTTATACATAAAAAACCTTAGAAAAAGCTTTCACTGCACACTTGTTCACTGTGAAGCCCTCTATTATTGTGCAAAGTCACATTCACTTTTACTGTGGAAATTCCTAGAAAATAGGGGTCAAAGTGTGCAATAATGATCCAAAATGCACTTTTTAACCTGGATTTTTAAAAAAAGTAAAAAACCTTAGAAAAAGCTTTCATTGCACACTTGTTCACTGTGATGCCCTCTACTATTGTGCAAAGTCACATTCACTTTTACTGTGGAAATTCCAAGAAAATAGGGGTCAAAGTGTGCAATAATGATCCAAAATGCACTTTTTAACCTGGATTCTTAAAAAAAGTAAAAAACCTTAGAAAAATCTTTCACTGCACTGTGAATGTGACTTTGCACAATAATAGAGGGCATCACAGTGAACAAGTGTGCAGTGAAAGCTTTTTCTAAGGTTTTTTACTTTTTTTTAAAAATCCAGGTTAAAAAGTGCATTTTGGATCATTATTGCACACTTTGACCCCCATTTTCTTGGAATTTCTACAGTAAAAGTGAATGTGACTGCACAATAGTAGAGGGCATCACAGTGAACAAGTGTGCAGTGAAAGCTTTTTCTAAGGTTTTTTACTTTTTTTTAAGAATCCAGGTTAAAAAGTACATTTTGGATCATTATTGCACACTTTGACCCCCATTTTCTTGGAATTTCTACAGTAAAAGTGAATGTGACTGCACAATAGTAGAGGGCATCACAGTGAACAAGTGTGCAGTGAAAGCTTTTTCTAAGGTTTTTTACTTTTTTTTTAAAAATCCAGGTTAAAAAGTACATTTTGGATCATTATTGCACACTTTGACCCCCATTTTCTTGGAATTTCCACAGTAAAAGTGAATGTGACTTTGCACAATAGTAGAGGGCATCACAGTGAACAAGTGTGCAGTGAAAGCTTTTTCTAAGGTTTTTTACTTTTTTTAAAAAATCCAGGTTAAAAAGTGCATTTTGGATCATTTTTGCACACTTTGACCCCTATTTTCTTGGAATTTCCACAGTAAAAGTGAATGTGACTTTGCACAATAGTAGAGGGCATCACAGTGAACAAGTGTGCAGTGAAAGCTTTTTCTAAGGTTTTTTACTTTTTTTAAAAAATCCAGGTTAAAAAGTGCATTTTGGATCATTTTTGCACACTTTGACCCCCATTTTCTTGGAATTTCTACAGTAAAAGTGAATGTGACTTTGCACAATAATAGAGGGCATCACAGTGAACAAGTGTGCAGTGAAAGCTTTTTCTAAGGTTTTTTACTTTTTTTAAGAATCCAGGTTAAAAAGTGCATTTTGGATCATTATTGCACACTTTGACCCCCATTTTCTTGGAATTTCTACAGTAAAAGTGAATGTGACTGCACAATAGTAGAGGGCATCACAGTGAACAAGTGTGCAGTGAAAGCTTTTTCTAAGGTTTTTTACTTTTTAAAAAAAATCCAGGTTAAAAAGTGCATTTTGGATCATTTTTGCACACTTTGACCCCCATTTTCTTGGAATTTCTACAGTAAAAGTGAATGTGACTTTGCACAATAAAAGAGGGCATCACAGTGAACAAGTGTGCAGTGAAAGCTTTTTCTAAGGTTTTTTACTTTTTTTAAGAATCCAGGTTAAAAAGTACATTTTGGATCATTATTGCACACTTTGACCCCCATTTTCTTGGAATTTCTACAGTAAAAGTGAATGTGACTTTGCACAATAATAGAGGGCATCACAGTGAACAAGTGTGCAGTGAAAGCTTTTTCTAAGGTTTTTTACTTTTTTTTAAAAATCCAGGTTAAAAAGTGCATTTTGGATCATTTTTGCACACTTTGAACCCTATTTTCTTGGAATTTCCACAGTAAAAGTGAATGTGACTTTGCACAATAGTAGAGGGCATCACAGTGAACAAGTGTGCAGTGAAAGCTGTTTCTAAGGTTTTTTACTTTTTTTTTTAAAATCCAGGTTAAAAAGTGCATTTTGGATCATTATTGCACACTTTGACCCCTATTTTCTAGGAATTTCCACAGTAAAAGTGAATGTGACTTTGCACAATAGTAGAGGGCATCACAGTGAACAAGTGTGCAGTGAAAGCTTTTTCTAAGGTTTTTTACTTTTTTTTTTCAAATCCAGGTTAAAAAGTGCATTTTGGATCATTTTTGCACACTTTGAACCCTATTTTCTTGGAATTTCCACAGTAAAAGTGAATGTGACTTTGCACAATAGTAGAGGGCATCACAGTGAACAAGTGTGCAGTGAAAGCTGTTTCTAAGGTTTTTTACTTTTTTTTTTAAAATCCAGGTTAAAAAGTGCATTTTGGATCATTATTGCACACTTTGACCCCTATTTTCTAGGAATTTCCACAGTAAAAGTGAATGTGACTTTGCACAATAGTAGAGGGCATCACAGTGAACAAGTGTGCAGTGAAAGCTTTTTCTAAGGTTTTTTATGTATAAAAAAAGAATCATGTTAAAAAATGCATTGTGGCGGCCCATCCCCGCGGCTTCGCTTTCCTGTGTTACCGTAAGTAACCGCATAATGTGACACCCCTCTTTTTACGTGCGGACCTCTTTACCGCTGGTTCTGGAAAGCCGGACCTCTTTACCGCGGTAAGCAATAATGGGTAGTTTGTTATATTCACTTCCGCTTCCGTCCCGATTCCGTATATGTTCTAGTGCTGACCCTAGTCAAAGCCACCTCCATCATGAACAACACCTCCCACTGCACAGGACTGTAGAGGAGCTGAGGAGTTCCTTCAGTGGAAGACTGAGGCACCCTCAGTGTAACTACCGCAGGGCCTTTATCCCCACCGCTGTCAGACTGTACAAGTCATTTTAAGTCACTGTATAAGACTGAAAAAACCTGCACAAATATTGACACTGTTTCTGATTGCCACTTTTTATTGTACATAAGTCCTGCATTTAACATGTTTGCACATTTCCTCTCTTTTGCACAATCTTGAGTGTTTCTATCCATGCCAAATGTGACACGTAAATTTCTCCCTTGTGAGATAAATAAAGCATAGCATATCTTGTTTTGAATGTAATCTCCTTTGTAAGGGCTAAAAGTACCGGCTATTTTTGCATTGCCATAAAGTCATATAATGCTGGTTTCAACGAGATACTACGTTTGCTTCCCTTTGATTATCAATGAAGAACCATCTCCTTAGCGTAGGTTAAATGATGTTCTAGTTTTAGCCACAACATTTTTCAACATCACTGTGCCTCATTGTTTTCTACTGTGTTTAGTTATTATGGAAATTATGTTTGCATGTTCCAGGTAAACCAGCGTATGAAATGGACGAAACAAATCCTGACTGGGCTCCAACACTGCATTTGGGACACTCAGAAGTTCGTACCTCACAATTAGACCGTTATGAACGAAGACTTAAAAGAAGGAAAAGAGGAGAAGAAATGAGAGGTAAATGCAACATAAATCAAAAACATTTGTGTTTCTGTTGTATCATTACCTCCTATGTATTTAATGATACGTTCACTTTCATCAGTGCTTTTATATAACAGCACTTATTGTGATAAGGGTGTAGGCGTTTTTTGCCCTGCATATTTCTTCATTAAAAAAATGGTAATAACTCAACGTTTCAGATTGCTACCCCCATTAGTCTTGGTAGAGAAAAGTTTGTTTTAAGATTCATTCATAATTGTATATAGTACATCTTCTGAATTTTACGTCACAAATATCATTATTATTCTTATTTTTTAGATTGTTACTTTAACGTTATTTTTAATTTATTAATTGTGAAATACTATGCAAGCTACTGTGACGACGCAATTTCCCTTGTGGATCAATAAAGTTTGTCTAAGTCTAATTCTCTTGATTGGGCATTCCGTTTGGAGCAGCAGAACCTGAAGGTTCTGCTGTAGTAGTAGTAGTTTCACCTCCGTGTATGGAGTGAAAGAATAATGACATGTAAAGTGTCTTTGAGTGTCCAGAAAAGCGCTGTATAAAACCGATGCATTATTATTTAGAGATTTCACAGTGCTTCTAATAAACATTGGCTTTACTCTGTGCAGAACAGTGATGAAAATGGTTCATCTTTGGTAATTCTAATTTTTTTCTTCCCAGGTAAAAAAAGTGATGATCCACTTTCTCCAGACTACGTCCCTTCTATCTTCAATCCTGTCCCATCACCAATGAAGAGAGGACTGCATCAGATGGATCATTTGAATAGAAGGGAAGCTGCTAAAAGAAGACTGGAACAACAGTCAACTGAACCAGATGACATGGCAGCTCTTGAACAAGACTCTCCTCAAGCTGAGGCTACTCCACTCTTCACTGATGCAGGCACAGGCCACATAGACCATAACTATTATTCATTGGAGGCTGGTCACTGCGGTGGTGTTGGTGGTGGAGGTGGTGGTGGAGGTGGTGGTGATGGTGGAGGTGTTGGTGGAGGTGTTGGTGATGATGGGGGTGTTGTTGGTGGTGATGGTGGAGGTGTTGGTGATGGTGGAGGTGTTGGTGATGGTGGAGGTGTTGGTGATGGTGGAGGTGTTGGTGATGATGGGGGTGTTGTTGTTGGTGATGGTGGAGGTGTTGGTGATGATGGGGGTGTTGTTGGTGGAGGTGTTGGTAATGGTGGAGGTGGAGGTGTTGGTGATGGTGGAGGTGTTGGTGGTGATGATGGGGGTGTTGTTGGTGGTGATGGTGGAGGTGTTGGTGATGATGGGGGTGTTGATGGTCGTGTTGTTGATGGAGGTGTTGGTGATGATGGGGGTGTTGGAGGTGGAGGTGGTGTTGGTGATGATAATGATAGTAATAATGACCGTAGAAATGAGAACAATTTTCTGGAGTGGGAGGTGTATGCTTTTCGGGCGGAGAATATGTTTCTCAAAGAGAAGATTTCAAAAATGGAACTGAACGCATCATCTCTAAAAGACTATAACAAAAGGGTCCTCATGCTGACGGGAGTGCAAACCTTTTCTATTCTGATGACACTTTTCCATGTAGTTTCCCCTCATCTCAAAATGAAGTCCAGCCTCTCATTATTTCAACAGTTCTTGCTCACACTAATGAAGTTGAGAATGAATTTTAGTTTTGACTTTTTGGGGTTTCATTTTGGGATTGATTCACGTAGCGTCTCTGAAGTATTTAAAAATTGTATCAATGTTATGTTTTGCAGATTGGTTCCTAGTCTCTTATTTTGGCCTGAGAGAGACGTTTTAAGAACAACCCTCCCAAATACGTTCCGAAACGAACAGTTTAAAAACACCGTCTGCATAATTGACTGTTTTGAAATATTAATAGAAAAACCAAGTAATCTTTTAGCCAGTGCCCAATGTTACTCTACATACAAATCGCATCACACAATGAAATATTTAATTGGAAAAAGCCCACGCGGCTGTATTATTTTCATTTCTAATGGGTGGGGCAGTAGAACAAGTGACAAGTTTATCACAGAAACCAGTAAATTTTTATCACATCTGCTCCCAGGGGACCTTGTTTTAGCAGATGGAGGGTTCAATGTAAAGGACTCTACTCAGGCTTTTCAAGCTGATTTAAAAGCATTTACTCGGGGAAAGAAACAGTTAGACCCGGTTGATCTAGAGGACTCTACAGCCCTTGCATCCCTCAGAATACACATTGAAAGTGTAATTGGAGTGGTTCGCCAGAAATACGCCATTTTACAAAGTATTGTGCCTGTAACATTCATGAATATTGACAGCGACAGTGATAACATAATGTACCTAGATAAAATTGTGAAAATTTGTTGTGCTCTGACTAATGTATGTGGATCTGTTGTACCCAGTGAGAAATCCACTCAAATTTAATAAATGGTGCAAGTTGCTTTAACTTTTATTTTGTGATTTTTATTTTTCAAATCAATTGTTTTGGTTCTTTTGATTCCAAGGAAACTTTGGTATTTCTTCACAAAGCAAAATCCAGAAACTCAAATGAACATGCTGTTCTTCTTCTCTACAATAACAGCACTCCTGTCCCTTACCTGTCCCTGGTGCTTTAGGAGCAGAGAAATGATTTTTCCTCATCTCGAAACACCCGCTCAACAAAAGGCGCAGTGCACTCTTTTTCAGTCCAAAGAACAAAATCACAGTAGCTTTTTCCAGTGACGAACAGCTGCATCTGAACTTGATAAAAGTAGGCATGATCTGTCTTTAAACTTAAATTCCCATTAAGATAATTTTCAAGGCAGAATCCGGCAATGGTTTTAACAGCCTCAGACACTGTAAGATCCTTGGCACGGAATGGGCACTTAATTTCAACTACACCTGAACCACAGCAGCTGCATGAAATGGAACAGTCTGGTGAGGCTCCAACGTAGGGGTGCCTTGTGGAAATGGTGAAGCCACATCATCAACCTGAACTTTTGGCTTCCTTTTCATTCTCACAGCCATATCTGAACATAAGAGAACATGGCAAAGGAAGGTTTCTCACCCATCATCTGTACTTAGCAAGTTTTCCCGACGTTTCGTCCTCAAACTAGCGGACTTCTTCAGGGAATGAATTCTCAGACCGCGCGTTGGAGATTTATAACCTATGGGTGTGGTTAGCCACACCCTAATCCTGATACTAACTCATAAACAATCTAAGGTCTGCTTGATGTAGAAGGGAGCAGATCTAACGACCCTAACTCATTAGCATGTCACAGACCTATTGTCTGCTGGGATGCTCAAGTGGAGTGCAGGTTTCACCCCTCCTAACCCATTAGCATGTCACTGACCTTGTCCCAAGTTAGGGCGTTGTTTTTAGGATGTCGTCACAGATGCGAGGCAAAACAAATCTTAATCCTCCTCCTCTGTTAAGAGAAGGTTTGTGTTTCCTCACAAAAATGGCTTCTTTCACCCCTCTCTCAAACCAATTCTTCTCCCGAGCCAGAATTTTAACCTCTGTGTCATCCATAAGAGAACATACTTATTATCTGGTAACATAATGTATACACTAATTAGGCCTACCTTGTTGTCTCCGTTAAAATCATAAGGCAAGGCAAATTTATTTGTATAGCGCAATTCATACACGAGGCAACTCAAAGTGCTGAACAAAATAAAGCATTTATCATAAATAATCACAGAACATTAAAAAGAAAGATAAAAATATAAAATCCCTCAGTTGTATGCACAGCTAAACAGAACTGTCCTGGTTTTAAACATTGTCAGAGAGGAGGCCTGTCTCACACTTTCAGGAAGATTTTAGCAGCATGAATCTGAAAAGCAGCCTCCCCATGTTTAGTTCTGACTCTGGGCACTAACAGGAGTCCAGTCCCTGTGCTCCTCAGAGTCTGGCTTGGTTCATATGGTACTAACATGTCACTAATATATTTTGTAATATATAAATGATTGTGGATAACACATCTTTCTAATGTGTGACACTGATGGTTTTTGCATGTCTGATCTTGCGGGTGCTTTGAAATTTGAAGCAGTCTCTGCTCAAACCACATTTTAGATAACAAACAGCTACGCTTTATCGTTTTAAAAGTAAATACAGAGTTTAGGCACAGCTGATATAAGGAACAAGGTATGCATTGATTTAAAATGTGTAAAAAGTAAAGTTTGTTAAATATGTCAAATAATAGTCATGGTAAGATAAGTTAACACTGTAATTATGTAGTAAATAGACATAATTGAAAAGCTTTTGTTTCTGTTCTAGCTCTTACACACACAGAACATAAAGAGACACACACAGAACATAAAGATACACACACATTTACTTCATTGCTTCCATTTAGTCATTTGCTGAGTTTCTAACACTTCTATTGACTTTGATCTGGAGTGACGTCTTGCAGACCGTACGTCTTCCGCCAGCGCCGCCTCCGTCCTGGACGCCAGAGACTGTTTCAGGATCCTCTTAAAGTCTCTCCCAATAAACACACAGCACACAGGGGACACCAAACTGTGTGCTGCTGCGAGGGTCGTCCCGAACTGCAGCCCTGCGTGGAGGATCTCCGAGCTTCCCAAGTCCACCTCCAGCAGGATGAACGTGTGGTACGGAACCCAGCAGCAGAAGAAGCCGCAAACCAGAGCCGCCAGGACCCTGTAGGGCTTTGAGGACCTGAGCGTCACCCTCTGCAGCTGCACAACCAGCACCGCGCCGCCCACAACAATGATGAGAAACGGAACCACAAACCCACAGACGAAGCGTGTGTGCGCCACGGCCCTGTGCTGCGAGCGGGTTGTGTAGTGGGAGTAACACTGTGTGAGCAAGCCGTGTGTGGTTGTGTGTCTGTAGACCAGAGACGGCAGGGTCAGCAGAGAAGAGAGACCCCAGACCATGGACAGAGAGGCCGCGGCTCTGCGGGGGGTCGCATGGTTCTAAGACAAGAACAGTTAAAATAAACATCAACAAAGCAGAACAAAAAGAGACAATAATAACTAGAAACTTGCAATGGCTGAAGCCATTGCGATTGACTGCGGAACAGATCTAATGTGGAAATCTGCTAAAAAAAATCCTTGAAATCCTTTAAAAAGCCTTGAAACTGTTAAAATACTTGATAGATATTTGAAACTCCTGAAGTCCTTGAAATTGTTGAAACCTTTAAACTCCTGAAATCCTTGAAACTTTTTTAAACCTGGAAACTGTTGAAAGTGTGGAAACTCCTGAAATCCTTGAACCTCCTGATATCCTTGAAACTGGTTAAATTCTTAAACAGCTGAAATCCTTGAAACTACTGAATGTATTGAAAGTGTCCTTGAAACTGAAAAATCCCCTCACCGCTGAAACAATTTGGTTCCTGTAACTAAGGAAACCTGGTCTGTGGTCATTATCTGGTGGTGGTCTGAGTCTTCGTTTGGGTCTTGGTCTGGTGGTATAATGCAACCTATTAGGTTGCATTATACATGAAAAAACCCTATTAAGTTGCATTATACTGGTTTACATGAAAAAAACCCTATTAAGTTGCATTATACTGGTTAACATGAAAAAAACCCTATTAAGTTGCATTATACTGGTTTACATGGAAAAATCCCTATTAAGTTGCATAATACTGGTTTACATGGAAAAATCCCCATTAAGTTGCATTATACTGGTTTACATGAAAAAAACCCTATTAAGTTGCATTATACTGGTTTACATGGAAAAACCCCTATTAAGTTGCATTATACTGGTTTACATGTAAAAACCCCTATTAAGTTGCATTATACTGGTTTACATGGAAAAATCCCTATTAAGTTGCATTATACTGGTTTACATGGAAAAATCCCTATTAAGTTGCATTATACTGGTTTACATGTACAAATCCCTATTAAGTTGCTTTATACTGGTTTACATGTAAAAACCCCTATTAGGTTACATTATAGTGGTTTACATGTAAAAACCCTATTAAGTTGCATTATACTGGTTTACATGAAAAAAACCCTATTAAGTTGCATTATACTGGTTTACATGGAAAAATCCCTATTAAGTTGCATAATACTGGTTTACATGGAAAAATCCCCATTAAGTTGCATTATACTGGTTTACATGAAAAAAACCCTATTAAGTTGCATTATACTGGTTTACATGGAAAAATCCCTATTAAGTTGCATAATACTGGTTTACATGGAAAAATCCCCATTAAGTTGCATTATACTGGTTTACATGGAAAAATCCCTATTAAGTTGCATTATACTGGTTTACATGGAAAAATCCCTATTAAGTTGCATAATACTGGTTTACATGGAAAAATCCCCATTAAGTTGCATTATACTGGTTTACATGGAAAAATCCCCATTAAGTTGCATTATACTGGTTTACATGGAAAAATCCCTATTAAGTTGCATTGTACTGGTTTACATGGAAAAAACCCTATTAAGTTGCATTATACTGGTTTACATGGAAAAAACCCTATTAAGTTGCATTATACTGGTTTACATGTAAAAACCCCTATTAAGTTGCATTATACTGGTTTACATGGAAAAATCCCCATTAAGTTGCATTATACTGGTTTACATGAAAAAAAACCCTATTAAGTTGCATTATACTGGTTTACATGAAAAAACCCTATTAAGTTGCATTATACTGGTTTACATGGAAAAATCCCTATTAAGTTGCATTATACTGGTTTACATGGAAAAATCCCTATTAGGTTGCATGATTACACTGAAGTCCTTGAAACTGCTGAAGTCCTTGAAACTGCTGAAGTCCTTGAAACTGCTGAAGTCCTTGAAACTGTTGAAGTCCTTGAAACTGCTGAAATCCTTGAAACTGTTGAATCCTTGAAACTGTTGAATCATTGAAACTGTAGAAATGTCTGAAAGAGCTGAAGTCCTATTAAAATGCATGGGCCTATTAAAATGCATTGCAGAATTCTCAATGCAGATTTTTGTCCGATTGCGGAAAAACCGGAAATCGCTGAAGTCCCAAAAGTAATAGCAATAATCTCCCAAACATGTGGAACGTTTTGATGTATAACTTGTGGAAATTGTTGAAAATGTGAAAGCTGTGAAACGTGTCAAAAAAAATGACGGAATAAAGAAATACAAAACCAATGGTTGACTGCGGAAGGTTCCGCAGTCAATCAATGAGATAACTAGAAACTTGCAATGGCTGAAGCCATTGCGATTGACTGCGGAACAGATCTAATGTGGAAATCTGCTAAAAAAAATCCTTGAAATCCTTTAAAAAGCCTTGAAACTGTTAAAATACTTGATAGATATTTGAAACTCCTGAAGTCCTTGAAATTGTTGAAACCTTTAAACTCCTGAAATCCTTGAAACTGTTGAAACATTGAAACTCCTGAAATCCTTGAAACTTTTTTAAACCTGGAAACTGTTGAAAGTGTGGAAACTCCTGAAATCCTTGAACCTCCTGATATCCTTGAAACTGGTTAAATTCTTAAACAGCTGAAATCCTTGAAACTACTGAATGTATTGAAAGTGTCCTTGAAACTGAAAAATCCCCTCACCGCTGAAACAATTTGGTTCCTGTAACTAAGGAAACCTGGTCTGTGGTCATTATCTGGTGGTGGTCTGAGTCTTCGTTTGGGTCTTGGTCTGGTGGTATAATGCAACCTATTAGGTTGCATTATACATGAAAAAACCCTATTAAGTTGCATTATACTGGTTTACATGAAAAAAACCCTATTAAGTTGCATTATACTGGTTAACATGAAAAAAACCCTATTAAGTTGCATAATACTGGTTTACATGGAAAAATCCCCATTAAGTTGCATTATACTGGTTTACATGAAAAAAACCCTATTAAGTTGCATTATACTGGTTTACATGGAAAAACCCCTATTAAGTTGCATTATACTGGTTTACATGTAAAAACCCCTATTAAGTTGCATTATACTGGTTTACATGGAAAAATCCCTATTAAGTTGCATTATACTGGTTTACATGAAAAAACCCTATTAAGTTGCATTATACTGGTTTACATGAAAAAACCCTATTAAGTTGCATTATACTGGTTTACATGGAAAAATCCCTATTAAGTTGCATTATACTGGTTTACATGGAAAAATCCCTATTAGGTTGCATGATTACACTGAAGTCCTTGAAACTGCTGAAGTCCTTGAAACTGCTGAAGTCCTTGAAACTGCTGAAGTCCTTGAAACTGTTGAAGTCCTTGAAACTCTTGAAATCTTGAAACTGCTGAAATCCTTGAAACTGTTGAATCCTTGAAACTGTTGAATCATTGAAACTGTAGAAATGTCTGAAAGAGCTGAAGTCCTATTAAAATGCATGGGCCTATTAAAATGCATTGCAGAATTCTCAATGCAGATTTTTGTCCGATTGCGGAAAAACCGGAAATCGCTGAAGTCCCAAAAGTAATAGCAATAATCTCCCAAACATGTGGAACGTTTTGATGTATAACTTGTGGAAATTGTTGAAAATGTGAAAGCTGTGAAACGTGTCAAAAAAAATGACGGAATAAAGAAATACAAAACCAATGGTTGACTGCGGAAGGTTCCGCAGTCAATCAATAACAAAAGCAAACTTCAAACAATCTATTATTTGATATGATGCTATGAAGCTACAATTGCATTTGTGGAGAATGCATTGTATAAAACATGTTTCATGAGGTATTGTGGAGTCAGTCTTCCTTCCACACATCTCCAAAAACTACAATAAATCAAATATTCTGCCGCCTGCCTGCTCCTCCACACCCAGAGACCACATCAGCCCTGTCTTTAAACCCCTACACTGACTCCTGTTCCATACCACCTCCACTACAGGGTCCTCATCTACAAGTCCACAACCTGCTCCTTCATACCTAACTGACCTCCTTCATCACTGACTCAGATCCACAGACACAGACCTCCTCACTTCACCCAGAACCCTGAGGACCTGAACCCTGAGGACCGAGTCTGAACTCTGAGGACCTTGTCTTCTGAACCCTGAGGACCGAACCTTATGAACCTGTTAGTATTAGATAGCAATATGGCCTACGTGCAGGACTGTACAAGGACCAGTGATGGGAATAACGGCGTTACTAGTAACGGCGTTACTAACGCCGTTACTTTTTTCAGTAACGAGTAATCTAACTAATTACTTTGACTGTAACTATAACGCCGTTATCATTTCCGACATCCCGTTACTGCGCGTTACTAAAGACGCACAATGAACTTCTCTTTTTACTTCGTGATAGGACTCGTGCGCGTGTTGTCATGAGAGAAGGATGAGAAAACCTCTCAGCAATTATTGGCTGATGTAAAACATATTTCCTTTACAATCCACATGTCTACAGTTGAGAGGATGGTCATAAATTGTGTTTTTGAAACAAATATGGGTCTTAATCGCGCTCAACCACGGCTTGTATCACCGTGAGGGCTCAGAGGAGCGCATGTGAGCGCAGAAGTCGGCTGCATACAATTCCATCAATAAGCTCCTTTCTCTTCCTGGTTTATCTGCTAAGGGCTGCAACAAGTTTGGCTAACATACATATAACACATTTTAAGATAATTTAAAATGCACTTACGGCAATTTTTCAATTACTATAGGAATGATAAGAAAGAGAGGTGAAGTGTAAGACGGTTGATTTTAGAAATTGGATGCACCCGGCTGCACCTAGCAAAACAGAGTAGTTTACGGAGGACACACGCGTTTTGTTTTACTTTTTAAAACTAATTTCCAAATGGAGGATTACATATCTACGCTCAAACTATTATCTGGACTTAAACACAGAACTGGTCTGAACTGAAGTTGTCTGTGCAGGTCATTTATAAGGTAAGACCCATAACTCATAGTTTTGCGTTTTGTATGAACAAACAATGCGGCCATGAAACATATTTTGCTGTAGCCAAACAAATGGTCCACTTGATTTATATGATAAATATGTCCATCTGATTGGA